CGACAAAGATAGATCAGGACATTACCTAAAGAAGCCAAGAAAAGCAAAACCTTAGAAAAAAGTTAAAATTAACACTTTAACCTTCTATAAACCACTCAGCAATAAAGATTTAGACTTCAGCACAGAATTAATCTATAAGCACTGTAGATCTACTGACACTACTTATAAATGTAATAGAAAATAAGCAGCAATTTAAAAAGAAAACTATAACTGCAATAATTGCTACTTATAAAACCCTAACTATAAATGCTAAGGATGCCTAGACTGTGGATCTATGGAAGGATATTAATACAGTTGCAAAGGCGAATGGTGACGAAACATGGAAGCCATGTGTAAACTCTTTAAAGAAGAAGATAAATTAGCTAAGGAGTACTTTAAAGAACAGGAAAGGGAACTCCTAGATAAAGAAACTAGTGAAAATAAAATTGTCTACGATAATAAATATTACTAATGCAGTTCCTAGAAACTATAATATAATGAAACTTGCCTAAAGTTTGACGGAAAAATGTATAAATGCCTACGATATTACTTATGGAATATAAATTACTGTTGCAAGAAACTATAAAGATTAGATAGATTAGTCCCATTCTATATATATTAATATAACCTCTGTTACTCTTAGGACCCTGATTATAATTGTAAAAAATGCAATATCTATAAATTAATGGATGAAGAATATAACTGCATGTATATCCTAGAAGTATAGGTAGAAGAAGAAGAAAAATGAAAAGAAAGACAACAGTATTTTAAAGAACATCCACTACAGAAGATAAGTTTAGAATAAGCACGAGAATAAATAAAGGCTACTAAACTAAACCTTAAAGACGCCTATACCTGCGTCTTAATTTATAATATCCTTAATGCTTTTAATAAAGATTGTAGAAAACACTACTGGAAAGATTGTAATAGTATATACTGTTAAATGTATATGCTTGATAAATTAAAAGATTGGTATAGTAGATGACTAAAGCAAGTTAAATTAAAGGAGTGTCTGACAATACACTTCCTAGACTGCACTATACCATACTGCAAAAAGCACGGCAAGGAAAAACACCAATTTTACCAAATAACTCAAAAGCTCTTACAAAGAGGCTATGACTTCAGCAATCACTTAAACAGAGGACAAGGAAACAAAACCTTAATTAAAAATTATCACCAAATAATTAAAGATCAAAATAATTAAATTAAATGCTAATAGTGTAAGAAATATTAATCTAAGACATAGCAAGAAAGCCCTTTGGATATGATCATTATTGACTTAATTAGAACATTTAAAAAGAAGCTGGTAATTGATGGATATTTAAACCAGCAACCAGTTAAGATCTATGTAGATAGCGGTTTGGATTGCAACTTAATTGCTGACAGCCTGGTAGACTGGCTTGGAATACTATGCATCGTTAAGAAGACCTTATTGGTTGTCTTTAGTATTGCAAGCATAAATATGGGAATAACTATTACCCATGAGACTAATTATCTCCCTGTGACAGTTGTCAATTGAACCGAGGACATTAAGTTCGATATACTGGACCTACAAGACTGCGACATTCTGCTAGGACATCTATGGTTGGAAAAATATAATCCTATGATTAACTGGAAGATAAAAGAGATAACTTGGGAAGAAAATATCTCCCTGAAGTTGTGACTAGGCTAGGAAGGGGGCAAGGAAAGCAAAGATGTGCTTATAGACCCATAACCAAAACCTCCTGCGTAATTAAAGAGAAAGAAATAAAACAAGAAAGATAAGGCTAAGAAAATGGAACTATAAAAGAAAGTTAGATTTAACCTTGAAAAATCATCGATACTACTATAATACAACAATCGGCGACAAAAAGCAAAAATCGTACGAATTGATAGAATTATTGCTAGATATTGCACAGAACTAGCAGAACTTGATATAGTATTGGCGAAAGTAAAAGAATAAGCTAAAGTTAATGAGGATAAGCCTTTAGCTAAAATACTATAATAATATCGGAAGTATAAGAAATTATACTAGCAAGTACTTGAAGAAGGATTACTACCTTACTTAAAATGGGATTATGAGATCGTTCTTAAGGATAGAACTTTACTAAAGCTCTATAAAATCTACAATCTTAATGAAACTGAGCTTAAAATACTTAAAGAATGGCTATAAATGTAATTGGATAAAGGATATATTAGGGTGTTAAACTCTTTAGCAGGGTACCCCATTATCTTTATACTAAAGAAAAATGGAAAGCTTTATTTAGTTATTGACTATTGACAGCTTAATGAAATAATAGTTAAAGATAGAATGCCTTTACCACTGATCTTTAAGATTAGAGAAAGGCTATAAGGCATGAACTGGTTTACAGCCCTGGATCTTACAGGAGCCTATGAACTTATAAGAATGAAGGAAGGACATGAATGGATGACTGCCTTTAAAATAAGATATAGACTATTTAAATATTTAGTTATGCTATAAGGACTTATAAATGCACCAGCATTATTCTAGAAGAGAATTAACTTTATTTTTAAGGAATACTTAAATGACTTTATAGTAGCTTACATTGACAATATCTTAATCTTCTTAAGGATATTAGAAGAACATGAGGAATATGTCTATAAAGTATTACAGAAACTATAAGACGCCAAGCTCCTTGTTAACCTAGATAAATGTCAATTTTATATATAATGAGTTGAGTTCCTTGGATACATTATTACACCAGGGGAAGTTTAAATGAATTTAGATAAAGTTGCTGCTATCTGAGATTGGGAACTCCCAGAAACCCGTAAGGGATTATAAAGTTTCTTGGGACTCGCTAACTACTATTAAAGATTTATTTAAGGATACAGCAGAATTGCAAAACCACTGACTGATGCTACTTGACTTAAGGAAGATAAGAAGGGCAAGAAAAAACAGAAAGACAGGAAACTATTCTGGACTGATGAAATGAAATCGGCATTTCAGGAACTTAAGGATGCCATTACCAGCGAATTAATACTTACTATATATGACCTAAGTAAGCCTGTTGAAATAGAAACAGATGCTTTTAACTTTGCTTTAGGAGGAACCTTAGGATAGCGAGATAAAGACGGAAGACTTAAGCCAGTAGCTTTCTTCTCCAGGAAACTACATGGGCTAGAACTAAGATATCTTATCTATAATAAGGAATTTTTAGCAATTATTGAAGCATTTAAAGAATGGCGATACTATTGCCTAGGAAATAAGCATAAGATTAAGGTCTACACTGACTACTGGAATATATTTTACTTTACGACTATGCAGTGACTCTCTGCACGATAAACTCATTACTTTGAGTTCTTAATGGACTTTAATTATAAGATTATCTATTGTAAAGGGACAGAGAATGGAAGAGCCGATGCATTAAGCTGAAAAGAAGAACACTTTGAAGAAATTCCTGAATTTAAGGCATAAATTCTGCATAAAAATAATTAAGGGAATTATAAGCAAATTAGAATTAATACTTTATTTATTGTGGAAGAACATAATCCTATCTTTAATAAAATAAAGGACTAAATTAAGGATTGGCAACTAGAACAGCTCCTTGAGGAAGTAACTATAATTGATGGACTCTTAAGATGGGATGAATAAATCTGGGTACTAGAAGAATTGTAAATAGAAGCAATACAGGATGTTTATTGTAGTATGATTGCAGCAGTACACTGAGGTGTATAAACCACCTATAATTATGTATTATGCTACTACTGCTTTAAAGGACTTAAATGAAAAGTTGAAGAAGTTATTAAGAAATGCGACATGTGTAAGAAAACGAAGGATGAACGACATCGGCTATATGGGAAATTACAACCTATCTCAGTTCCTGAATGGAACTGGTATACTGTTATATTTAACCATATTACTGATTTACCAGGGTTAAAAGAACCACTAACTAATATGGTCTATGACAGCATTTTTGTAGTAGTAGACAAGCTCTTTAAGCAAGCCTACTTTCTACTATACAAGAAGTCTTATACTGCAAAAAATCTAGCATATCTATATATGAGGTATGTATTTGTAGAATATGGACTACCAGTAGAAATTATATTGGATAGAGGAAATACCTTTGCTTTTAAGTTCTGGCAAGAATTAATGGCTAAACTTGGAATTTACCATAAGCTAAGCACTGTATACTACCTACAAATGGATGGCTAAATGGAAAGAATGAATTAGGTTATTGAAGCATACTTATAATGCTATATTAACCTTGTATAAAACGATTGGGTAGAAAAACTCCCTGCAGCATAAAATTAATACAACAGTTCGGTCTTGGAATCTACAGGAGTTATACCGTTTTACGCTAATTATGGATTTACACCGGAAGCCTATAGACCACCCTGCGATGGTTTAAACGCGGAAAATGCTTAAATTTTAGCTGAAGATATGATTGAATTACAAAAAGAACTTAAAGAATAACTTGAGTTTATTTGAGATTGCATGAAGCGACAAGCTGACTGCATAAGGATTGGAGGACTAACCCTTCAGGAGGGAGACATGGCCTACCTACTATAGCATTTGCGCAATAAAAAGTTGCTAAATATTAAAATGAATCGGCCAAGCGATAAATTGGACTTTAGAAAACTTGGACCATTTAAAATTTTAAAGAAAATCGGAGAAGTTAACTATGAACTGGACCTACTCGATAATATAAAATTAAAAACAGCCGTTTTTTACGTTTTACTGCTAGAAAAGGCACTAGTGGATGAAGAAACAGGCGAACTAATTATGGATAAAATTATTGTCCAGGATGAAGAAGAAGAATATGAAATTGAAAAATTAACTTGCATGTAAATAAATAAAGAAACAGGTGAACGAGAATATTTCGTAAGATGGAAAGGATATGACTCATCCGAAGATGCATGGGTCCCTGAAAAAGAACTTAAGAGGAACGCTTAGGCGATTCTGCGGGGATACCATTAGTCTCTAGGGATGGAAATAACGACGGGTTCAAATCGAACGCGGACTAATTAACGACGTTAATGGACTGGGACGGGCCGGCGGAACTAGGCACTGACACGATAGCCTGACGAGCAGCGGCCTCTGCCTCTTTACGCTCAATACGATCCAATTCCTCTAAGTCTGTAATGCCCTGCGAAACTGCATGTCTTATCTTTTTATACTACATTTTCTTCTGCTTACGAAGACGCTCGACCTTTGCATCGGTACGTCGATGCTCTTCCTCAGCTTCTTCAAGCTCATTTTCTAAATGGAAATGATGTGCAGCAATACGCTCCAATTGCTCCGAAGTCAAACCTCGGACATCACAATATGACTGGTTTAACCTGACGCACTCTGAATAGCGAGAAGAATTGGTAGGAGATAATAAACATTCCTGATGACCTTTGGAAATACAGAAAGAACAATGTTTGTCTATTTTATTGGCACCAGCGATAACTGATTTAAATAAAGACTTGCGACGCGTGGTCTTGGGATGAACCGATTTTGAAATCTTGTCTGGCATGATAAGGTTAGTAAGAAGGAACCAGAAAAACGCTAGCAAAAGAACTAGGGAACAACCGCACTCATCAAGTGGGGGATGCGTTATTTATACTAAGATTTATAAAAGGTCTTGGGGACAAGACCAACAGGAGGGGAGTATTGTGTTACGACCCGCCTCTTATGGTTGCAACAATGGGCCTACAGGGTAGGCCAAACCGGATTAACGTAGGACCGACCTACCAATCACAACGGATCATTAGATTATTACAATGATCCAATGATCCACGAACGGATCATCGATTTCATAAGATGATCTACGATAGATCATTAGAATCTACAAATGATCCAGCCTAATTAACTGGATATATAAGTTTACTTCTTACTTTTATTTAGATAGCTTAGATAGCCAGTTGTTAACACAGTTTTACATCTACAGATTGGAAAGCCCTTTTAATCCCTACTGGTGACTATTATTGTGATATCATTGCCCATAGGTTTCCTAACCTATCTGCCAACATAAACCCGAAGAACTTATTCTAGGTTTGTCCCTTGGGAATCTACCCTATACTAACTATCTAGTGTACGGTTCGTTACAGGTTTATAACACTTAGCAGTAGAGACAGCTTATTTAGTATTCAAGCAAGTATATTTAATATCTAAAAAACTATAATTTACACTATTACAGTTAGTAAATATAGCTAATTAACTATAGTTAAAAATTAAAGTAAGTAACTTAAGATATATATACAAGAGGCAAAAATATATATAATAATAAATATAATTTACAAGTACTATATTATAGTTAATATAATAAATAAATACTATAATATAGCATTTAATTTCTATAATATAGTAAATAATATCGTGCTATAATATAGTACAGTAAATATATTCTATAATATAGTAAATAAATGCTATATTATAGTAAGATAAGCGCTGTAATATATTGGGCAAGTATAGCGTTAAGAGTGCTGTATTTTAGTGGAAAGCCCTGTATTATAGCGGCTAAAAGTATAGGAACTTCCCTCTACAAGCCCCGCTCTTTTGGATACCAAATATGACTGCTTGGATACCGGATAAGATGTCCCTAGTATTACGTATTATGCCTGGCCATTAGTTGGTGTCTATCGGTTGGTTTTGGGTTTGGTAGGGCTAGTGCTATCGAAGCCAAGTATGAGGCATTGGTGTTGGCCACTAAACCGATACTTCCCAAATGCATGCTTGGAGTCAGGTAATATTCAGACACTATATAGATAGTTAATCATTTGAATAATACACGGTATATTATCATTGGTATTGTCTCTTCTTGTCGTGGTGCTTATACAGGCTCTCTGAGGTGATTATATAAATTTCACTTATATTTTCTGGTATCTCTGTACCCTATCTGTCTTTATGCTGTAGCATCTTGGCAAAGTTTATTTATGGCGCACAATGCCTGCTCTCTCTTTATCCACATACACCAGGCCAGGCCATGCCAACGCCTGGAGCCGTAAAGTACTCTAGGTAGAGGACCGATATGACTTGCAACGTAGTCAAAAGTGGGAGTCTTCCCAGAGATTCAATAGGTGAGCCCTCCACAACTGTATCTTTTACATTTTAATTTAATTTACGTAACTATAGAACTTTGCAAAAGCACTAAAATCCGGTTGTACTCATTGACCTCAAGAGAGCAGCGTCCGAGAAAACATAAAGTCCACTTACCCAGGGTTTTTTTTTACCAGTCTATAAATTGATTTATTAATGAAGCTACTAGTTAAATCTTGATGAAAAAATGACCTTATATAAGCTCAATTAATATTGTCTTTTACATTTAGCTAGTACTACTGGCCAATTCTCATATATCGGGACAGTATAACGGTCAACCTAAGCGCATTAATTACTGTCTATGGATTTAGGCTGCTGGGATTGCTACTAGGCTAATGATTGGTTGGCACTTTTATTTTCCATTTACCCGGTGGATCACGATGTCCACCTCTATCCTAGGTAGCTTAAGGCCATGGCTTTCCTATTATTACAGATGAATACGACAAGCCCTTGTAAACTATCTAAAACTTACTAACTACGACAGTACAGCCATTATGGGCTCAAATTCAACCAGCCAAGGGCACTGGGTTCACACCTGGGCTAGTATGCCAATAATTGCAGAAAACGATAACCTCCCCCCAGATGACTTTGTAAGTATGACAACATAATTGGGGGAATTTTGTGATTTTAAATTACCTAAACTGTGGGCGTCTTTCTAAATACTCTAAATAAGCTCACTATGGAACTTTAATTGCAGATACAAGAGAATGTGGTTTTTCGAAACACCACTATTCGTCAAACCGTGCGATTGTCAATTGGGACGGAGAAGCTTCTGCGAATCAGGCTATCCAATGCGTTTGGATCCGAGCCTCTTACCATAGCAGAAACAACACTAGCACTGACGACCAAGAATAAGTCAGGGACTACAGATATTCAATCTCAAACGATACAAAACGTCACTTTCGGCGGGAGTGGATCTACAACTATTCCGGCCAGAACACTCATGGTTTCTGACAGCATAAGCTTTGGGTTTCCTTTAGAACCTAACACCGTTCTAAGTATCAGTATCTTCCTTGAAGCTGGCCATAACGCTGAGTGTATCACTACACACCCAGGGAGTCGCACCACATCGTATTTTACTAAAGGAAATAGAGTGTCTGAAGAGGATTTCAATCACCTTATAGTCAGGCAGACTGATCACTGGTGGGTAAAAACTGCCTTCTTTCCCCCCCCCCCCCCACCCCCCCCTTTTTTTTTCTAAGAAATTCCCCTTGAGATACTATTATAACGTTTGTGTTTTGCTCTATATCTATAAAGCTTCTGACAGTGACATAGGTACTACATTAGTGGTCTCGAAGTGTTTGCATCACAATGTACACGAGCCTTTGCCCTCATTGGGGACAGCATTACGGACGGCAGATGCAGCCTTACTAACGGCGATACCCGGTGCGTTGATCCCCTCGATCCAAAATTAGATGATGTAATTAATTGCTAATTGACTATAAGTGAAGATGGCCAGATATTCTATTCAGACGACTACAGGCCTCTAAATCGCATACTTCCCTTGCGGTCGTGAATCAGGCAGCTGGGGGCAACCGCGTTTTGGATGATGGCCTCGGGCCCAGCGTGTTAAGCAGGCTAGATAGGGACATAATATCTCTCTCTGGTGCCAGCGCTGTTTTAATTTTTGAAGGTGTCAACGATATTGGCATGGCACCCGCCGACTGTTGGAGTCAAGAGATCTTAAGCAATCGCCTAATTGCAGCGTATAAGCAAGTTGTTATTCGACTACGAGCTCATGGAATTGCGATCTTTGCAGCAACATTAACACCTTTTGGCCTTCCACAAACAGACCTCAGAGGACGTGAGGATACATCCGTCACATCTTATTCCGATCCAGTTCGGGAGTCTACGAGACAGAGCATCAACAACTGGATTCGCACGAGCGGCATCTTCGACGTCGTAGTTGACTTTGATGAGATCTTGCGGGACCCAGAAGACCATTCGTTGCTAAAGAGAGAATATGACTCGGGTGATGGATTGCACCCCAATCAAAATGCATTCTACGCTATGGCTGATTATTTCCCTATTCATGTTTTTGAGAACCTATTCCAGACATAGACTGTAGTAACTTCAGGAATGAGAGTTAACCATTATACATTCAATATGAGCGAATTGCATATTTTGTGCTACCTCTAACGTAAATATTAATACGGGCCGCCAGGCTATGGTTATTAAGTGTGCGACCCAGGAGAAATGCTTGGACACAAAAGCTATTCAGAGCCTAATAAGATTGGGTCTTTAGGGTTTGCCATTTTCCCATTTTTTTGGGCCAAAGCTAGCCACATATACTCCGGCCATAATCCATAACCTACAATATAACGAACGAATGACAGACGTAAGAAATATAGTGACGAATATAGGATTCTCCACAATAGGTGAGATATTCTGTCCCCTATAACTTTATAAGAAGAATCACATCAGCTGTACTTCAGACGCAAAGAGTGAGATGAAATCAGGCTTTAGGAGCTAGGGGACCGGGTACGGAATTCGCCGAGAGGTGTTCGGGGGGCTTGTAAGGTGTTGAATGGATAATCAGAATAGTCTGAGGATCCTTTTGTTAGCCAGCTTACATCTCGTAGCTATTTGTCTTTATACATGTGTTTTGAGCACATATACTCCCTATACAACGCTATTTATAGTTTAGTCTAATTGCTGCAAACTGTAAGCCATGGTCATATCTTTGCGGAGTGGCAAAACTAGAGGCGAGCGATACATTTGATAGAGTAGAGTATTCCGGTAAGAGTCAACTGATGACATGTTTCATTCAAAGCAACGAGACTAGCTTTAACGGGTCAATAACGCCTCAAAATCTACATGCAAAATCAATAGAGTAATGATTTTGTATCTTGAAGATCAAAGAAAATGTATCTTTAGTTCCAAAATCGAGATGATTTCCAGATTTCTATAAAACCTGCCAGAATCAGCTGAGCTGCTCATTCAGAGTTTAATCCACAATGCCTTGTGGCAATAATGAAATATAGTCTATGGGAGCGAGTTCGCTCCCATCCGGTCTACCAACTATCGTAAGGGAATCGCCTTTTTTTACATCTACTTTATTGAAGGTGACTCGAGTCGCAGAATGGCCATCCATGCGGTCCGAAAAGTCATGACTCAGTTTATCTTCAAGATCACCTTTCCAAGCGCCAATAAGTATGTCGTTCAAGAAGATTTGATATTGTGATCTGCCACCCAGATGATCATAGTAGTTGATCGCGATATCATAGATCCCGGAAGGAAAAGCAACAGTACACTGTGCAGTGCCTATATCCGCTCCTGGCATTGTCGCGATCGCTTTTCCTCCAGATGCAGCCTCGAATGGCGTCACAGGAACCACTTCGTATCCTTCAAGCGTCATATCTTCGGCCTCAATTCTCCATGCATGGTTACCAACTCGGTGATGTTCGTCTTTGATCCCACACTTGGCGTAATAGAAATTGTTGATTGAGTCCCGCCAGACCAGAGCATGGCCCGCTTGATACCGTAGACGAAAAGCCACATGGTCAAATCGATCATCGTCTATCAATCCCCGCAAGGCTTCCCACTGCTGTGGAAATGTCTGTGCGACACAAGCTCCAGAATAGTGGGCGTCGTAGAAGTGTTGAATCACTGTTTTACCTGATTTTAGACGATGGGTGTACGGAACATGGTGAAACCATAAGAGAAGCTCATCAGGAGTGGTATCAATGCACTCAAACCGCTCAGCAACAACTTGAGGATATTGCCCTGCATTTCCTGTTCCCGTGGCAACAGTTCGGTCCATTCCAATAGAATGTGCGTCAGCACGAGTCCACTGGCCCCATCCATTGCCATCCTGCGCTGCTGGGCAGGGGCCATAATGACAATGCGTGACAATATCGCACAAGGTTTGAATGCCGAGGTTACCGCTGTAATCTTCATATGTCGGCCAAGAAGTCATGAAAATATTTGTTATGGTATTCGCGATGGTTTTGTATAAACCGAAGGTCAATTGTGCCCAACCTTGGATTATGTCCACCTCGCTCTGCTGAGGGTCCCAAGTGCACAATCCATATGCATACAGATTGGCCATTGCAAGATGACTGCCCAGCCATGTAAGATCGTTGCCTACATTAACCACTGCCGCGTAACCACTTTTGCTCCAATTGAACCGTTGACCAGAAACTACGTCTCGGACCAATGATTGCTGGCCGTCTATATGGAGATCAAAATCGAAAATCGTCTTCCAAAGCGGTGGTAAATATACGACGTGATCTTGTTGGCCAAGATACTCCTGCGTAACCTGTAATTCTAGAATAATTGGCGTTTTCCGCAGGTGAGCAAGAAGAGGCGACGGCGGTTCCCGAATCTGAAAATCAATGGGGCCGTATTTGATCTGAATAATGACGTTATCTTCGAATTGAGTATCTAGTCCATCAAAATACTCAACAGCCGCGTTTGCCCTATCATTTTTCCAATCCGACTCATCGAGGTGGTGATTGTAGACGAAGGCGCGGTAAACGACGACACCGTCACCATGCGGCTGCAAGGCTCTGGCAAACATGTTTGCACCATCAGCAAGAGTGCGGCCATATGTCAGTGGGCCCGGCTGTCCTTCAGAATTCGCTTTGATCAGATATCCCAACATGTCAGAGACATGACGGTACAGCTCAGAAGTAATGTCCTCCCACCAAGAAATGACGTCGGGATCCAGAGGATCAGATGTCTGCAAACCTCCAAGGCCCTTTGGGGTGTCAAAGTTCAAAGAAATGCCAATTCTAACTCCCCATGGTCTCATGATGTCAGCAATCCGAGCCAGTCCTTGCATATTAATGGGCTTAAGAAGGTTATAATTGGAGTTGACGTTATTTACGATCAGACCATTCAGTCCGACAGAAGCCAGCAACCGCGCATATTGTTGAACACGGGTCAGGTCGTCGAGCACATATCCGTCCGCGAAAAATATCGATGGACCTGCATATCCTCTTTCAATGCTGCCGTCCAGGTTATCCCACTGATTTACCCACCGAATTGGAGCACTGGGATTGGATATACGCATTTCGGGAAGCGGGTGGTTCTGCGACAGAAGTCTGAGGAGCTCAAAAGCGCCGTACAGTGCACCCCGTTCGTTTTGGCCAATGATTTCCGTAGCCTTCCCGTCCTTACAGACGAGACAGTATCCATCCTCTTTGAGGGACAGGGTTTCATGAATATCCCGGCCGGTAGACGAGAATGTTTTTATAGTTCCTACAACAATAGAGGAGCTGGCTGCGGTTCCCAAGAGCTTCGTCTCAAGACTAACATTCTGGCTCAGAATCTTGGATAGGCCGAATTGCAGCTCTCTCGCGGCAGTGAATATAGGGCTACTTTGGCTGTCCATATGGGAGATAATTGTCGAGTATCGGGTGCGTAGGCCGGCACACTCATCAGGAAGTGCGGCATACCGCAACCAACCGTCGAGGCCAGTCTCAGGCGGAAGCATATTCAAAAGAAGGCTAGGAATTTAGAGTAGTGTAGGTTTGACGAGACAAATGCGAATAATAGGATGAACACTAGTTAAGCTTTTTCGGATTGAGTAATCAGTTTTTGAGAGCTGCGAGACACAAAATAGTCTCGTTATCTGCGACGGCTACTAAGTACAACTCAATTCCCCTGCTTTTTTCCAATGCATATTCGACATAATACTGGTTGTCATTAACGGCAAATTTACTTCAGCCTGAGATACCCAGTGTGCAAAGCTTCGTTCAATATGCGGGGTATTTAAAATCAGTACAGGGAGCTGGAGTGGAGCAAACAAGGAGTCCCAAAGGGTCAAAATTGGCTTTTGTCAGTTTAGCATCCACTAACGACACCCTGCTCAAGTTATGCGCTGAGCTCAACGTAGGGGGCTGAAATAGCACTAGTTAATATTCTAGTCAAGGTCGTAGGGAACATGGCAGGCGTTATGTTTTCCAAGAATTCCACAATCATCTAGAGGGACCTTAGGAGCGAGCGGGTAGAAATATTTAAGAACTTTAGTCTCTACAGCAAAGCAAATGGCTTCACGTCCTCTCCATACTCTCCATGCTTAGCAAATTTACGAACAGAAAAAAAAAATCGGGGTACTATTCGTTATTTGATACAGACTAGAGATGAAAGCTGCAGCGTGGGGCTCGTGGCAGCGTCTGCACCCACCGCCCCAGCAGCGAGCATTAAGATCAATAGTATTTAGGCGAGCTTCTCCATGTCAGGCTGCATAATCTCAATTGAGAAAAAAGTCACTTGATCTTCTCATTGACACAAGAACAGATGCAGGATTCAGCATCGTACGAAATTACATTCCTTGAACCCACTGTCCTCTCCGTTCTCCGTTGAGACAAACAGCTCTAGGTTGGCCTCTAATAAGCCCAATCCCACGTGGGATGGGGACGGCGAGCGTCAAAGTTGGTTCACCAAACCAGCTTTCAGCTATGGTGTTAAGACTATTTATACGGATGCTTGGAGTTCACCAAGTTAGCAAGTCATCTAGTTGATGTTCTTGGGAACAGTCCTGAGCCCTCTAGCGTTTACTACTTTTTACCATGTAGTCTCGATTCATTCGCCCCGGTGCAATGGCATTGTCATGTGCGGTACTTTCCCGAATGTGATTAACTCAGCATTCCATAATACTGACAAATCTATCTCCATCATGTTTACCAACAGCCACAGTTTGTCGCAGCTTGCTAGCATTGCTAACCCCACTGAGAGGAAATGTAGCGCATAAGCGTAATCGACTAATAACAATCACAGAGTAACCAACCCTAACAGACAAAGCTCATCTGTTGAGGTTAGAGTTCCTCTCAACTGTTGCCATCGTCAAATTCACTTCGCTGTCAAGGACTCCAACTACCTGGGGGTAGAAAATCGGGCTAGATAGCTGGTAAAGATATATATTAAAGACCTATGCCGCTGCTGGCGATCTCTGGAAATAGGTAGTTGCCGTTATTTTATGTACTCGTGGAAATCTCCTTTGTAAGCTGCTGCTTACCAGCACCTGTCTGTCTTAGCTAATGCTGGAATGTGGCCTCTCCCTCTCTTAGTGTCAAGGATTTATAGCAGGTGTCTCTTTCCAATGGAAAAGGCAGAAAGGCGTTATGGTGCCTAGTATTCTAACCAGATGCTAATCACGGCATCTGTCTACTTTTCCGCCATCCCTAATGTTCTTTGGACCTCACGAGATTCTATGCGTGTTTGTAATGATCATTTTGAACCTCCCAAGTATGTCGCTCTAGGAGTTTACGTTCCCATCTCTCTAATAAAGACAGTGTTACAAACTCACCTGCACAGCTTTACTCGAGCAAGTTCTCCAATTATCAAATTATCAATTTTAGCTAGCGTCAATAATAACGGTGCAACACCCTTAACACCAGCGTGTAGGGGAGGGGGGTTTCCACGGGTGATTTTTCCGGCAGCTGACGCTTTTCCCCATTCAACTAGTCGTGCCGTTTCTCCGCAAAATGGCAAGCCTGTCTAGACATTTACCCTAAATTCCTTGACGGGGTTGCCGACATCCAATACCAAGAATGGCTCTCTGTCGTGAAATGCAGTATAGTCAAAAGCGCCAAAAATGATTGGTCGGAAAAATGCTTTCAACGGGTAAATCCATACAAGTTTTTGCTACATACGCTCATCCTTTGGTTCGTGAAATTATGGAGCATTATACTGGGAGATATGTTTTCCAACTGGTACATTACAATTTAAGTAAAATATAACATAACTCTGCTAGAATACTACAAACTTAGTCAAACTCTCAGGTTAAAAAGGAAAAATTTACAACAGGCTTGAAAATAGTTTAATATAAGATGACCTAGCTGGAATTCGAACATGAAAATTGGATTTCATCTGGCTAAACTAACAGCACTACTAAAAAGTCCCTTAAGAAAAAGCTGAAACATTGGAAGCACGTCATGATGTGAGTTTATTGTTATTTGGTAAATTCAGGCATTTCTCTTCCGTCGATAGACGCATTTTTGAATTCACGCGCCTTCAGATTTTTGGAAAATAAAAGATCCAGTTCTTCGTACGTCCTGTCTTTGCTTTCAGGGAGGCGAAAGTACCCCCATGACAAACAAAGCAGCGAGAAAGCGGCGGCCAAGAAGGCTGTTTTACCTTTCAAGTTTCCCGCAGTAGGATTCAGGGTATAGGGAGCTACAGTGGCGCTAAACACATTCGCAACATTGTATGCGTTACGAGCCAGAGAAATACTCTTTGACCGAAGGCGGGTGGAAGATATCTCGCCAACAACGATGTAGGCAGTCGGACCAATAGTCAGCTGATAGATGACGTACCAGACGAGATACATAATAGCCTGGCCATAACCGAAACCTGTTGTCTGGTGCGCAAGTGCTAGAAATCCAAGAATAAACATGGCACAGGACATGCCGGCATATCCGAAGAGCATGATCCCACGTCGACCGAATCGTGCAGTCACAAAGACCGAAAATAGAGTACACAAGAAATGAATGCCCCCTTGTCCAATTGTCATTTTGTAAGCATTTGCTGCCGGCAACCCAGCTTGCTCGTAAAAGTAGGACGAGTAATTAGCGATGGCAAAGCCACAGAGAACCTGAGACGCCCAAGCAACGCATCCAATTTCGGTGCGCCACAGATTCGTTCCACGAAAGCAATCCCTGTATGAGGAGCCTTCCGTCATGGCTGTCTCTAGGTTGGTAGTTTGAACCATCAAAGCAACGGATTGCTTGCCGGTATGCGATTTCTTGGAGGAAAGTCGCTTCATGGACTGCTCCGCTTCGTCTATACGACCTTTTCGAACAAGCCACCATGGAGACTCAGGGGCAAACAAGAGCAGAGGAATAACAATAACAGGCCAAACCCATTGAATAGCCAGTGGGATTCGCCAAGACCATTCATCGGTGCGATTTACCAAGCTGTAGAGAACGCCGTATGAAACGAACTGGCCGATTCCCCAGCAAAGGACAACGAAAGTCTCGAGGTATGCACGAAGGGCTACTGGAGCAACTTCTGAGGCATATGCTGGAGCCAAAGTGGTGAAAACTCCCCATGCCAAACCACAGAGCAACTCGCCGGCAAATAGCACCTCGATGGTCTTTGAAAAGAAGGGGATAAACAGAACACCGCTGAGAAACACGAGAGTTCCCAGAACGGCTTTTTTGTGACCAAACCACTCAGTAATAAGGCCGTTGATATAAATACCAACGATGTTACCCAGGGGACTGGCCAGTCCTAAAGCAGTCTGCCACTTTGCCTCCAACTGGTATTTTCCTTGCCCTTGGGGATTCCCAAATTGCCGTTGGAAAGCGGGATACGCGAAAAGAGAGCCGATGAGAGCCGTGTCATATCCGTCCATGATAACAACGATTGAGACAATCATAGACCACAAACATGCTTGTGGGTACATCTTGACTGCCTTGAGGAAGGTCAAACTATGTTCTTCCTCTGTTGCATTGCGAGCGTCTTCGGCGAGGTTGGTCCAGTTTTCCACTGTTTCGAAGGCTTCAAATTGAGGTGCACATTCGACCTCTGCTTTCTTATCTGCTCCCAGAGACATCTCTAGAGGCTGGAGATGAGACATATTCTTGGTTAAAGTAATTCGTCCGCATATAAGTAAAGAAGTAGTCAAAATCAGCGGCATTCTAACGTTGAATATAAGGTCTCAGTTTTCGGATTCTGCTAGTTTATTTTTAATACCCCACACTCTGCTACTGCGAAGCAGACATCTATGGGGTTGCATTGTGAAAGCATTGCTATCCCATGTCTCGTTACCAATTTAGCCTGCAATGCAGATAGCTGTTGGTTTAGCTGACAAGCTCTACCCTACCAATCGGCTAAATCTTTCTTTTTAACGGTTAAATACTCTTGGATCTAAAGATGAATAAAGGAATTAATAAAATCATTTTTACTATGAGAACTTACTAGTGGCGGAAATAATCTTAGGGTTCAGTTGGGTTGACTGCAGGCTATTTCATAATACCTTGGCTTACAGACAAACTACTCATGCAGAAGGGGATGAACCACTAACAAGTGCCTCCTCTCGCAGCCAGTCAGAGCCGCAGAAAGGGAGATGTCGGAGCGTCCCAATACGTGCACTATCCAAATCGCCACATGGAAAGATGCACTAGACAGAGGCGAGTCCTCTGAATGGAGTCGGCTTTGGCAGCTAGTGACATGTCGTCAGACAGTCCCCGATACAATGTCGGGCTTTAGGAGCATATTGTATTTAAAGAGTTCTGAATGAGGAGAGATCCATGCAGATACAAATCGTGTTTCAAAGACCGGTTAGTATAGCTACAATTCCAGAATTGAGATGGGCTTTGGCCCCAATTATAGTCCGTCTCCCTCGAGAACCACAAACACTTTCGCTGTTGTAGCCATGAACATCTATGCAAGCTATTTCTTGGCTAAAAATAATTTTGTTAATTAATAGGACTGTACTCGGCGGCGGCTAGGATAAGAGTGTCGATTCAATACAAACACAATATGACAATGCCTACATCTTCTTGTACATGACGGAAGCGCACACTTTCATTTCATGAGGATATTCTAAACATCCACTCCGCTACAACAGCATCTGCAGTATCACGCACACGGATATTATAATTAAATACGATCCCCTTCTTTTTACATACATCCGTACGCTGCTGCTCGATCCGTGAAAGCTCCTGAAGTAGGCGACGTTTTTGCATCAAGCTCCTCAATGTCCGGCGTATTTGCTGTAGTTGTTTATTTATTTTCTGTACCTCTATTTCCATTGTTCTTGTTATTTTGGTAATCAGGGCTTGCCTTTCAAGATAATATGCAAATTATTAAGCGTAAATAATTTAGAAGACGCTTGTTGGCATCTGTGGGTTATAATCCAACGCTGGTAAACTCCCCTCTAGCTGGATACAAGATACAGGATGTAAGAATGTTGTGACGAACCTGCAATCTTGATTCTATATCAACCAGTGGCTATGTAAGACATCTAAACGAGTGTGAGGAGTTAACTTATATATTTAGTTGGTCTTCTGGATTCCGGCGGCTCGTGAGTCGAGTTTCTTCTGATTGGTCCTTCAGACCATATTTAATCCGGGTTGTTCTATGCTGTAGGCCCATTATTGCAACTATAAGAGTCGGTTCATAACATATTGCTGAAATGGGTCTTCTCTGGTTATTATCCCAAGACGAAAAGGTAAATCCACGATAGTCTGCATCCGTCACTTCTTGGACCTTGTCTAAGTATTTATTTAAGCCTCCAAAGTACTAAGGAACATTTCTCCCTTGGCTTGACTTCCTAGAAGTATGGTTATCGGCAAAGAGAAATGATTTATCTTTGTAATATATGCTTCCTTTTGCAAGGGATCGACATTCTTTCATGTAATCGTTCTCCGCTTCTTGAGTAGCAGTAATAATAATTTTCTTATCTCTGTTTGCTTCATTCTCTTTTATTAAAGTCTCAGCCTTTGATATCAGCCCTGAGATGAAGTTGACTTGACCCTCAATTAATGGAGACATGTTAGCAACTGCTGACTGAGGCCCTACAATCATAAAGAAGTTGGGAAATCCTGCTTCCGATACTCCTAAATATGAAGTTGCTCCTTCAACCCAGTGCTGTTCCAATGTCTGATTAGGGCCACTAATGCCAATGGTGGACCAGCTGCCATCGGTTTCAAGACCAGTTGCATAGATGATAACATCCAACTCGTAAAGCTTTTCCTCAGTTTGAATACCCTTTTCGGTAATTCCAACAAAGGGCGTCTTTTGATAATTAACAATATCGACGTTATCTTGGTTAAATATTTCATAGTAATTTGCGCAGCAGACAGGTCGTTTGGCATATAGCGCATCTGGGAATGGCGTAAGCCTGTCGCGTTTCCCAGGATCTTCCACAATCTTGGCTATTTTTCGTTTCATGAAGTTACAAACTTCTTTATTTGCAGTTTCATTGGTCAATACATCTGAGAATGTTTTATAAACGAAAGAGAAAGCCATTACGTCGTTCCAGGCTGCCTCGAAAACTTTCTCGCGCTCTTCTGCGCTGACGCTAGAGGTTGGGTAGTTAGTGGCTTAAAACCGTACCCAAGAGGGCAATGCCGAGCTCCTTTCCAGAATTCGTCATAGTTGATGACTATGTTCTCCCTGTATTCAGCTGAGACTGGCCCTTCCCGTAGCCACAAATCAACTGAGTTCACATCAGGAAGAGGCGGCGATATGTTCTTGAGCTCCGAGCTCCATATTCGCGGAATCAAGGCCCTTTAACAGTGCGCTTTTTGCCTCTTTCAATTGAGTCAACTTCATCTATAGAGCCTTTACGCCAGCTTGTTCCAACAGGTCCGACTTCTTGCCAATCTCTGCATGTATAAGAAGGCCTTGAAATAATGACTCAAGAACATTCTGTGCCATGGCATCGCTTGTATATTCTTTTCTAAACTGCATTAACGTCAGATTGAGATACTGGCGCCCCAAGGGATCTACTCCGGAAGCCACGACTCAATGTCTTGTATGGCATACAACAATGGACAGTGAGCTATAATGCTGCCCGTGTCTCAAGGGGCTAGCGGAGGCTTAGGCAGTGCTTTACCCATTGCTACGTAGTATGAAAGAGTCGGTACTTGCACCTAGCTAGTGGTTACTAGGTATTTAAGTTTAATGTGGAGTAATATTAAAGTCTGAGCCCAAAATAGCCGTCTTTATTGCAAACACGTGTGTATTAGATGCGATTTTCTATATCTACTTGCCCGCTATTAGTCGAGCTTATACTCGCTTGGGATGTTTTCTGGCCATGCATCAACACCGTCCAAAATAGCAATACCCATTCCACCCATGAAATGAAGCTCAATATGGCAATGGAATAGCCAGGGGCCAGGATTGTCCACATAGTATCGAAAAACGCTCCAGTAAGCCTCTCCAGATACAGAGAACGCGGTGAGCCACGTATCGCGCAAACCAGGAGTCTCCAAGTTAAAATCTTTGGGTCGTTCTTTAATTGCCTCCTCAACACTGGTATAGTTCCAAACACCGGTTCCAAAGCCAATTCTCCACGTTTTGCTGCCGTGTTTATGAATGAAATGCTCAAAAGCTGACGTGTCCCCAGGTAGGGTGGAAACCTGCAAGATGAGATCAACCCAAGATCCATTCTTCGTACGGATCACTAGGTTCTCATTCTCGGTTCCAATAGTTGCATTGGGATAGAATAGCAACGGATCGTTGTTTTGAAAGTCAACGGGATATAGGTACTTGGTGTTCATAGTGTAATTGTATGGCGCACCAACACGGCCAATCGCCAGCAGATGTTCCTCGTCCGCCTTACCCGGCCGAGGCTTATTTGCAGGCCACGGTGACATGTGATCTGTGTCCAGCTGCCATGGAAAGTAGGAATTTTCCTCAACTTCTGGTGAGACGGGGTTGCCGCCAAATGACAAATATGGCTTCTCCGATCTCTCGTCTTGCCAATGTCCATCATATATCATTTCAGCATATCCTCCCAATACTTGTGAAACCCCAGAGTTAGGAATGCGCATCGTGTACTTTCCTGGTTTTTTATCAAGTTTGACCATTATCGAGAACGTCTCACCAGCGGACATTACCGCGGAGACAAATTTCTTTGGATTAACGTAGTTTCCGTCAACTTCGTACAACCAAAATTCGTGTTCGTCGATAGAAAAGGCAATCTGAGCGATAGTGGCAGCTGCTACAATGTGCATGCTAACCCAGCCGTTATTCTTTTTCGGATCAACAACTATTGATGCATTTTCATGCTTGGATGGCACGCAGCCTTCCAGAACACGTGGTGGTATTAGATCTGGACGTTTAGTGATGTTCCAAGGACCACCTTGGATTTGATCAAGATTTGCTGGGAAACATCTGGTCGCATACAAGTCAGCATCATGGTTTAGTGCAGAAACTAGAAAGTTTTCAGCTCTATTGCTTACCCTTTATCTGAGACCTGTGTGCCAGGTGGGAAAGCATCGTCAACTAGGCCGGGAGCAAGCTCTGATTCGAGGAACTTTTGGCCTGGACAATAAAGTTCTCCTTTTCCGTTAACTAAAATACTGTCAAGACAGCTATTACAACCGTTAGTCGCGAGATGAGCAGGCAGAATAAAGGTGGCATCAGCAAATGATGGTCATAAACATACAAGATTAGCATGCCCGAATCAGTAGATATCTTCCAGTACTCTTCAGAAGTATACTGGCTCCAATCAGATACTACTAGATATTCTGGATCTCGTGCAGCTTTCTCCATGGCTTCGATATCTTTTTGATCGCTAACTATCTGGCTCCAAAGCCCTGTGCGGTTTTGTTTTGGTCTGCGTACTCATTAGTTTATATATACAAGGTTTAAAAGACTAAAATATTGGTATAACGAACCTGATATGAATTGCTCCATAAAGTCCATCGACGAGAGACATTTTCTCATGGGAGTGGTACCAGTGATTTCCTGGAGGAGATGCTTTGAATTTGTATACAAATTCCTTTCCGGGCTGGATCGGGCGTTGACTAAGACCGGGTGTACCATCAGCCCAAGGACTATTTTTTTGGCTAAGAAGAAATCCTCTGTGTTAGTTAATCATTCTCAAAGATTAATTGGATGATACGGATCATACTCCAGGCCGTGCCAATGGACGGTCACGTTTTTGTCCATGTTGTTAATAACGGTTACCTATTAGGCGCCTCGTATTAATATTGAGAAATGAGTTAACCTGGAAGAGTAAATACTTGCTTCAACATCGTCCCCTTCGTCCCAGACAAGCGTTGGACTAGGAAATTGTCCATTGGTGTGAATAAGTTGTCTACTCTGTCCATTGGGGGCCCCCTCGTCCCAGGTAATGCGCAGAGTTTCCTGGACAGTCTTTGCCCAAGCGTTAGTGTAAAGAAGATGTGCTAATAGAAGCACGCACGGAAAGCGAATCATCATCAACGCCGATGCTGTATGCTTGAATATAAATTGAACAAGAATGAATCACTTAAGACAAATGACTGTATAAAGGTCTATTGCAATGCCGTTGTTATATAGAAAGTACGATTTTCTTATGGACGAGTTGGTGCTGAAAGAGAGTCTCTGCAGATGATATAAAGAAATAATATGACAAAAACGCTATGTCAAGCTGAGTGCAAGATTTGTTTGTGACATTGACGCTTTCGTCAAAACTAATATTTCCGAAAGCTGCGCTTTTCTTGGCGATGCCTATGGAGTGCGCATTCAATCATTTCCAATGGAAGCTCCATCATATTTACATCGATCGGTAAATATTACTGAACTTCGTAATTATAAGGCTACACTAAATAGGAATGTGTACCAGCTAAACACACAATGAGTTCTACGGTTGGGTTGTAGGAGTTTGCTGTCGCTCAAGATCGAATTGAGTTTAGCTTTAATTGTTTGCATTTCGCCGCCGCCAAAAAAATTCCGAATTAGGCAGTTTTCGAATATTAGGTAGTCGCTTAGCAACGCCTGGCAGGCATGCAAATTGCGCACGGGCAAAATCATTATTGTGAAAGGGAATCTATAAACATTCCCAGAAATAGATTATTGGAAAATGCGTTACAGTGTTAAGACTCAAATTCCCTATGATGAGTTCAGAATTGCTTTTACTGAACGCATAATTAAACTAATGAACGCAGAATTGACCAGTGAATGCAGAATTGGCCAATGAATGCAGAATTGGCCAAGGAATGCAGAATTGTCAATGACGAATGCAGAGTTAATTTTGCCGAATGCAATGTTGTTGCTTCAAGGACTAAAATCACTAGATATTTTCATTAGGTAAGCTCATATTTGTGTTTACTGTTCAGAGCTGCATTCATACCTCGACGTATATTAATCGCATCGTCAGCTCCCTTATACAACCCGCATTTTTTTCCACATGAAAAAATTTATCGCCTAGGAAGATCCAATGGCTATCTCAGACTCGCTTCCGCTCCAGCCCCAGCAGTTGTTATGTCTCACTATCACTGCATATCGCAAACCTGGACTCAGTGAAACTGAGTACCGAGATTACATGACTAAGGTCCATGCACCCTTAGTTAGCGGCCTTATGAAAGAATATGGAATTGTGCGGTACAACATGGTAGGCCATTTATTTCCTTCTGAGTGCCAATTGCTCAGTTCGAACTCTTACACTTTGGCAGACCCATAACGACAGTCAGAGTCGGCCATTGCTTTTCCAGCTCTACGACCCTGAGTTCTCGAAACTTTCTGACTATGACTGTATTGTGCAATTTGTATTCCGAAACATGGAAGACTTTCTACGCATGAAGGCTGATCCTCGGTTCTTGGAGAAAGTTGCTCCTGACCACAAAAACTTTGCCGACACTCAAAGGTCAACGTAAGTGATCCGCTATAAAAACTTGGAGTTGTGCAAATAACACAAATATTGACGATACGGTCACCACTAGCATGACTATTGGCTACTTCGAAGAGTTTCTGGATAACGGAGAGATCGTACCGAAATAAATAATAGCTTCGACGATAACTAGTTTTGCGATGGGCCTTGTATTACAGGTTGTAGTAACCTAGCATCAGAATATCGATGTAGAACTTGGAGGAATACATGGTTGCCTTTAGGATACGCTAATAATGCTGCTAAGATAGTATGAACAATACAGAGACGGTTCTTTGCAACCAATAGTTAGACCCTAATAACTACTCCACGGTGCATAAAACTGAATATTCACAGAAGAGAGAGATTCATATGCGGTAACAGCTTATTGTAAGAGGAATCATCGTGATTGTGAGACGTAGCGCGATATGTGTTGACTGAAACGAATGCTAAAAGCTAGTTAAAAAGTTAAGCAATTTAGAGAGCAGTCGATAAAAATGTACATGTGCTTCAAAATATGTTTATGGGAAGTTCCTAAATTTAGTATACTCATATTGACACATAATTGGACGTCAGATGTTACCAAGGAGGATTAATGGCACATGTTAATGTAACGTAGTATTGGATTATTCTGGAATGCTGTAATTTGTCATTAACGTAATGTAGTTCATAGGCATTGATATGATACCAGCTAAATATTCCGTGCTCACTACCATGGCGGATTCGATGCTTGCGTCAAAGGGCATGTTCATACGTTCGTGGTGGAATGTGGGTCTGGCTTAGAGTACATAATAACATTAATTTTAGCACACAATTAGTGAGCCACTTCCATATTTGCCGCTTTCGGCCCGGCTATAATGTGCTGCCGATGTCTCGAGCCATGAAAAAGCTGCGTGACCTAAACATCCGTACATATTTTGCTATTATGCATTTATGGTAAGCTTAATGTTTTAAAATTCCATGATCCTTGCGTATTAACAAAGAATGTAAATATATGATTTGCGACATATTCGCTTACGCAGCCAATTATTCCCTTCTGAGACACATTTCCCTTTAAACGGCACACTGGATTTACAAATATTATTCAATAGCTGAGTTATGCCTGGACGCTAATTCATGCTGTATTATGTGCAAAATACCCTAATTTCCCATACCCAGCGATTGCTTATCCGCTTTGCCCTGTGTCTCATCGAATAAAACTTAAATTTAGATAGCGTGATCTGTTTAAACATGTGTTAAAGCCGTTCGCGATCGAAAAGTTTCAAAGGATCTGCTCTTCTGACCTCTTTATTCCGAAACCGTATGTGGCTGATCTTGAATAATTAGTCAATGAGGTCACCTTGGAGACGTTCTTATCGCTACCCCAGTGATATGCTTCCCTTTCACAGTACTTAAGCTAAACGTGAGGAGAGTAAATGGAGAGCTGATTGTCCTATACGTTTGTCATTTTTTTTTCTTCTGTTTTATGAGCTTTACACTCATAATTTCTTCTTCATATGCTGGACTTGACATCCATCATGGAGCATCTGACAATTAGCCAGTCCAGCAATGAAGCTGACTCCTGTCGAGTTTTTGTTTTTGGGGACCAGAGCAGCTTCAGTCTGTCGAATTTACAGCTGCTTCTTCTTAAAAAAAATAATCCTTACTTGGCATCGTTCACTGATCGAGTCAATTTCGCTCTGAGACAAGAGATAGGTCGACTTACAATATCAGAGCGCCAATGGTTTCCTGCTTTCTCCAGCATACAAAATCTTGTTGCTCGGGGATTAAAGAAGGATAAGAATGCAGCGCTGGACAGCACTTTGACGACAATTTATCAGATATGTTGCTTCATCAAGTAAGACACCCTTTTTGATATTGGCAGGGAAGCCAGGCTAATAATGATGCACAGCTATTTTGGAGACTGCCAAGAAATATACCCATCGGGCCCAAATAATTACGTCTCGGGACTATGTATTGGAACATTAGCTGCAGCCGCTGTCAGTTCTTCAAAGTCGCTGGGTGAGCTGGTAAAAGCTGGAGTCGATGCTGTCCGCGTGTCATTAAAAGTAGGCCTCTTGGCTGCTCGAACAGCCGCTTTGTTCGGTCATCAGAGGTCCAACGGTCTCTCTTACTGGTCATACGTGGTTGCCGAGTCGCAATTTCCGCTGGCACTGGCTGAAAAGGCCATTGCATCCTATAGGGATAGCAGTGTAAGTGAAAATTTTGTCTCTTGTTACAAGCAAATATTTACCGGCTATGCAGAAAGTCCCGCCCCTGTCGTCGCCCTACGTTAGTGCCAAAGGCCAAAACTCCTGGACAATCAGTGGCCCTCCGGAAACTGTACAGAAATTTTTAGAGTCTTCACAATTTTTAGAGACACCAAAATCGACCCCTATCTCTGTGTATGCTCCGTACCATGCGCCACATATTTTCTCTGCCATAGACGTTGAGCAAATTCTGCATGATGTTGGGCCAGTTAGCGATCTTTCAAGCAAAATTTCTTTCATTTCTAGCTCGTCGAGCGGCAATACTCTTGGCGAGAGTTGCTTCCGAGACATGCTGTACCATGCCATTGAAAGTATTCTCGTTCTGCCGCTGGACCTACGGGATGCAGCCGCGAACATACAGAAAACTCTTAAAAGAGCAAGCTCTACGGGCCACTGCGCCATATATCCAGTCTCAACCAGTGTCTGTCCGAGTTTCAAGGCGTCGTTGTCACCCGAGTTGTCAAAAAGGGTCGCGATAGTCGATAAGATCATGGAGAGTATAATTGCAGATGCCGGTTTAAACTCCCCAAGGGCAGTCAAACCAAGTGATGCCAAGATAGCAATCATTGGCATGTCTGGGAGGTTTCCAGAAGCAGCAGATGTCGAAGAATTCTGGAACCTTCTTTACCAAGGGCTCGACGTCCATCGACGTGTCCCAGAAGACAGATACAATGCAGAACTTTATTATGACGCATCAGGCAAACGCAAAAACACAAGCAAGATCATGCATGGATGTTGGATTAATGAGCCGGGGCTATTTGATGCAAAATTCTTCAACATCTCCCCAAAAGAGGCTGAACAGTCTGACCCTGGCCAACGTCTGGCTCTAGTAACAGCATATGAGGCTCTTGAAATGGCGGGTGTCGTTGCAGATAGGACACCATCAACCCAGCGAGATCGCGTTGGAGTATTCTATGGCATGACTAGCGACGACTACAGAGAGGTTAGCTGCGGGCAGAACGTCGACACTTATTTTATTCCAGGTGAGAATCAAGTTCAACCTATAAATTGCGTCGAATTACTTGTTCAACTGCTAATTTGAAAAGGCGGGAATCGAGCATTCACCCCAGGGAAGGTTAACTATTTCTTCAAATATTGCGGCCCGTCGGTAAGCGTCGACACCGCCTGGTAAGCCTCCACGCCCTATTGGCTCAATGTATTTTCAACTAACATTACATCTGTGATAAGTTCATCCAGTCTTGCAGCAATCCACCTAGCCTGTAATTCGATTTGGCGGAATGAATGTGATATGGCGATCGCTGGCGGCACGAATGTCATGTCAAACCCTGACAGCTTTGCGGGGTTAGACCGTGGGCATTTTCTCTCGAGGACAGGTATGTATTTTGATAATGAGATTATGAAGCTACGAGTTAACAAGCTATTTACAGGCAACTGCAACACTTTTGACGATGCAGCTGATGGATACTGTCGCGCAGACGCGGTTGGCACCGTTGTTCTAAAGAGGCTCGAAGATGCAATCACAGACCATGACCCTATCCTTGGGGTCATTTTAGGCGCGCATACCAACCATTCTGCGGAGTCTGTTTCGATTACTAGACCTCACTGCGGAGCTCAAGAAGAGATCTTCTCCAAACTCCTCACTGAGTCTGGCGTTCCTCCTAATCAAGTCAGCTACATAGAAATGCACGGCACGGGCACACAAGCTGGCGATGCTACTGAGATGGCGTCCGTTCTCAGCTGTTTTGCTCCATCGACTACGCGACTGCCACATGAAAGCCTGTATTTGGGATCGGCGAAAGCCAATGTTGGGCATTCTGAATCTGCTTCTGGAGTTACAGCACTGATTAAAGTTTTATTAATGATGGAAAAAAACATCATCCCACCTCATTGTGGCATAAAAGGCAAAATTAATCATAAATTCCCGACCGATTTGGAAGAACGCAACGTGCACATAGCTATGACTCCAACGCGGTGGGATCGACTGGATGAATTCAACAACATTCGCCGTGCCTTTGTCAACAATTTTTCTGCTGCTGGTGGCAACACAGCGCTCATCATGGAAGACTATCCGGAGCTCACAATGAACTCATCACGCCCGGATCTTCGGACAGCCCACCTTGTGACAATATCGGCCAAGTCAATTCCATCTCTCAGGGGAAATTTAGAGAAGCTGAGAAATTTTGTTAAGCAGCAAACAGGTACAGATGATTTCCTGTCCAAGTTGTCTTATACAACTACGGCTCGGCGGATGCATCATCCATTCCGCGTTGCAATCCCAGCTGCAAATTGCGAGCAGCTGTTGAGCGCCCTGAACGACGAGATCAAACGAGACGCTCATAAGCGGTCCGAAGAAACACCTGTCGCTTTTGTTTTTAGTGGCCAGGGATCACAGTATAGCGGGATAGGTCAGCATTTATTGCACTACACAACATTCCGCAAAGAAATCGAGTCTTACAACATTTTGGCTCAACGACATGGATTCCCTTCCATTATGCCTCTTGTCAATGGATCTGTCGACATTGACGACCTTGAGCCGCTCGTTGTCCAACTCGGTACTACTTGTGTGCAAATGGCTCTTGCGAGCTTTTGGGTATCATTAGGCCTGCGGCCAGTCTATGTGGTTGGTCATAGTCTAGGCCACTATGCCGCACTAAAAGTCGCTGGCGTCCTCACAGCAAGCGACACCATCTACCTTGTTGGCATGAGAGCTCGTCTCCTTCAGGAAAAGTGCAGTAGAGGAAGTCACGAGATGTTGGCAATCCGAAGTAGCGTGGATCAGATTCAGAAATATTTGGATGCAAAGATTCACGATGTTGCTTGCATCAATGGTCCACAAGATACTGTTGTCAGTGGCCGTGTAGACGACATCGAGAACCTGTCTCAAAAGCTTGCGGCTAGCAACATTAAAGCAACGAGAGTCAATGTCCCGTTTGCATTCCATTCAGCCCAAGTCGATCCTATATTAGATCAGCTCGAATCTATTGCATCTAATCTCACCTTTCACTCTCCACACATCCCTCTGGGTTGCCCTCTACTGGGTAAGACTTTCCTTGCGGGTGAGTCGCCGACTTTTGAAGCCAAGCATATCAGAGACCACTGCAGGGACGCCGTCAACTTTTATGGAGTTCTACAATCAGCTAGAGACGATGGTTTAATTTCCGCGAAAACAGCCTGGGTTGAGTTGGGCCCACACTCAGTGTGTTCAACGCTCCTGAAAGCCAATCTCGGCCAAGACATCACCGCCGTCCCTTCTCTGATGCGCAATAAAGATGGGTGGCAGGTCCTAGCCACGAGTCTCCAAACTTTGTATTGCAAGGGATTATCCATTAACTGGGATGTATATCACGAGGACTTTGAAGCTTGCAAAGAGGTATTGAGGCTGCCTGCCTACAGCTGGGATAACAAGAAGTACTGGATTGATTATGTGTATGATTGGCTACTCACACGAGGAGATCCTCCCGTACAACCAGTTGCCCCAGCACCAGCGCCTATTTCTACTTTCTCAACTGCCTCTGTGCATCGGATTGTCAATGAGATTATAGATAAAGAGAGGCTTAATCTCACTGCAGAATGCGAATTTACAAGTGAGAAATTACATGAAGTGGTGTTCGGTCACGTTGTTAACGGTAATCGCGTTTGCACATCGGTACGTTTTCAGTGTTTTTGTTTGATGAGTGACTTTCTAACATTATATTAGTCATTATACACAGATTTTGGTGTGACTTTGGGCACGTATGTCCTTCAAAAATATCGTCAGGATCTTGATGGCTACTCAGTAGATATCCAGGATATGGTTGTTCACAAACCTCTAGTCCACAAAGACGGTCCATCTATGCTCCTGAGGATTAATATCGACCACGACATGACTAATAGCAGAATGGCAAAAATGTCTATATATAGTATAGATTCTAAGGGAAACAAGACAACCGACCATGCTCAATGCAAACTGCATTTCGAACGACCAAAAGTCTGGCAAGAAAACTGGGATAGTACTCGATACTACGTCGAACGAAGCATCGAGTGGCTCAAACAAAAGGCTGATCAAGGTCACTATAGCCGCCTCTCTTCTGGCGTTATATACAAACTTTTCTCCAGTTTAGTCGACTATAGCAACGCTTACAAGGGTATCCAAGAAGCTATTGTTAATGCCGAGGACTTTGAAGCCACCGGCTTAGTCCGGTTTCAAGTTGATGAGGGCACCTTTCAGTGCAACCCTATGTGGGTGGATAGCTGTGGGCAGCTTGCTGGTTTCCTAATGAACGGGCATGCAAAGACTCCAAAAGACCAGGTTTTTATCAACCATGGCTGGAAATCTTTTAGGGCCGTAAGAAAATTCAGCAAAGACAAGACCTATCGCACCTATGTCAGGATGCGGCCAATCGAAGGTACGATGTATGCCGGAGATGTTTACATCTTTGATGATGAAGGCATTGTCGCAGTCTGTGGCGATATCAAAGTAAGTTTAGTCATGCAATCTTTTGAACGCTTGTTAATGATATGCATAGTTCCAAGGTATTTCCCGCAAGGTATTGAACAACGCAATGCCGCCACCGAAATCTGCGAACGAGGGTCAACCCCGTTCTCGTCCTGCGCCAGTTAAAGAAATTCCCGCGACAAATATAGCTACCGTATCATTAAGTCCTATCTCTCGTCATACTGAAATTGAACCTCTAAAACTCGATGCGGCTTTGAAATCGGCGTCTGCTGCGTCTGCTGCAAGAGATCCTATGCACTCTATTCTCAAAATCCTGTCTGAGGAGATTGGCATTCCTTTGGCCAGTGTCCAGGATGACTTCGTCTTTGCAGACAACGGAGTTGACTCGCTTCTTTCTCTCAAGATTTCTGGACGATTTCGCGAAGAGCTTGGTCTCGACCTTGAATCATCAGTGTTCGAAACTTGCGCAACGGTTGCTGACCTTGTTGCCCACCTTGGCTACAGTACTTTCTCATCTGATCAGTCCACTGACCATTCAAGTGTGGCCGAAGGCGTCTCCGCGACAAGCGACCCTGTCGGAACCCTGACGAGCAGCGCCACTACGCCTCCGCCTCGTAGTCTGCGAGAATCTGTATCTTCCAGCTTGTGCAAAGACGTATGCGCTATCCTGGCAGAAGAGATTGGTGTGTCTACGAGCGAGATCATGAATGATGCTAATCTTGGTGAACTGGGCATGGATTCGCTTATGTCACTGACTGTGCTTGGCCGTCTTCGCGAGGAGCTAGAACTTGAGCTCGATGATGACTTTTTCGTTTCTTATCCCGACTTTAGTTCTTTCAAGTCAATGTTCCAGCCAGCTCTTCCGCACGAAATTGAGCCAGATATGTCTGAAGAGCTGAAACAATATCGCGCAACTTCAATTCTCTTACAAGGAAATCCGAAGACTGCTCTCTATACACTGTTTCTCCTCCCAGACGGTTCCGGCGCTGCAGTTTCATACGGACCCATCGATGCTGTTGGCAAAGATGTTTGTGTATACGGGCTCAACTGCCCTTGGCTTAAATCTGCTAACAAGCTGGTCCAGTTTGGTCTCAAGGGTTTGGCTTCGCTATACATTGAAGAGATTCAACGCAGGGTTCCACACGGACCTTACAACCTAGGCGGTTGGTCTGCAGGAGGCATTTGTGCTTATGAAGCAGCAATTCAACTTACAAGGCAAGGAGAAACCGTCGATCGTCTCATTTTCCTTGACTCTCCCAATCCAATCGGTCTAGAGAAGCTTCCCGCACGGCTATTTGACTTCATCAACGGCTTGGGCCTCTTTGGGGATGGCAAAGCACCGGATTGGCTACTAGACCATTTTCTCGCATTTATTGATGCGCTTGACGAATGGAAGCCAGTGCCGTGGTCTGAAGCTTTGGATAACAAAACACCACCGCCGCGTACATACATCCTATGGGCCGAAGATGGTGTCTGCAAGGGCATTGTTGAACGCCCAGAGTACAGAGATGATGACCCGCGGGAAATGCGGTGGCTGCTTGAGAACCGAACCAACTTTGGCGGCAATAACTGGGACGTTTTGCTCGGCGAGAGAAATCTGTCGATTGAACGCATAAAGGATGCGAATCATTTTACAATGTTACACAAGGGTAAAAACACAGAGCGCGTGGCGGCTTTTATCAAGAATGCATTCACATGAGTAAGAACTTATTCATAGTAAACGGAATATAGGTAGCTTGTGTTTCTTTCTCTCTTTCTCTCTTTCTCTCTTTCTCTCTTCTTTGTTGCGATTTAATTATGATATCGAACTTAATTTTTAATAATTTTAAACCTATCTGATATATGAAGTAATTTATGGCTTTCAATTCTCTTTTAAAATGTTTCCATGTAATTTTCCTTTCAAGAGATATCTATTGTTTGTCAAGTTCTACAAATATTTTTGTTTGTATTAATCAATGGCCTGGCTTTTGTATCCCAGCATATCCCGTGAGATACTTATAACTTGAATATTACTCCAGGTTATCGGGGCTTAAACTAAGAGTACGCTTGGTTTCCGTTAGGTATAACGTTTGGTGGGGCTTGGGCTGCGGGCGTTTATTAGCTAAAGGGAGCAATTCGTTTTAGTGGCCAATCGTGGAAATAATTTGGAGAACCATGAATTCCTGTTACTAATTGGTCTATCTTCGAATGGAATGCCGATGCATAGCGATTCCCAGCACTTCGTTCTATTGTCCCACAATTGATAGGCTGTTCCCTTTGTATGAAAGAGAGATAACTACATTTCGTCGATTTACGAAAGCGTCATCGCAGTACTAGCCGGAACACAAGACGAATAAGGTGCCCAAAATATGAAATGGAATTAAAATCAATCTTTATTGGTATATTCAAAGTGCCGGGACTTCGTATACTCGTATATATTCAGAGTGCGGAACACACCGGCATTATTAGCATTCGACATCCGCGCGCCCTTGGCCAACCTTTTCCCCGCGCTGATTCACGCGACAACCACAGTGGATCCGTACCGAGGCTAACCTTGCTGAATTCTGTACGCTACCCCTTGCTCTATTCTCTCTCGACGTTTAAATGTAAGTCATGCTGCACGCTGGGTGGAGGCTAACCCCGGGGCTAGGCTGGTATATAGTATATCGTATAATCGTATACATTCAACTTCCAGCACCTAAGTAGGGTGTATTAAGTGACTAATCAAAACCTGAAGAATTTAAGAGCCGCGTTGTTTCTAAATTTTGCAAGTTTCCATTCATTCTATCCTTCTACCTTACTCATTTTTCTTACCTTACCATATCATCTTGTATATTTTATCCCATCATGGCTCCTGTAAAGCTCGCAGACTACCTTTTCACTCGGTTACGTCAACTCGGTGTAGAGTCTGTTCATGGCGTTCCTGGAGATTTCAATCTGACTATGCTAGACCATGTTGAGCCCGCAGGCCTTAACTGGGTTGGCAACACCAACGAGCTCAATGCCGCGTATGCTGCCGATGGATATTCTAGGATAAAAGGGCTCGGCGCTATTGTGACAACATTTGGTGTTGGGGAGCTATCGGCAATTAATGCCATTGCAGGCGCCTATGCTGAATTTGCACCTGTCGTACATATTGTGGGCACTCCTGCCCGGCAGATCCAAGAGGAACGAACCCTGGTGCATCACACTTTGAATGACGGCGAATTCAAAAGATTTTCACAAATGCATGCACATGTCACTATTGCGCAGACTCGGCTTTGGGATCCCATGACTAGCGCTGAGCAAGTCGACAACATCCTAGTTCAGTGTCTCTTGCACTGTCGACCAGTGTATGTGGAGCTCCCTGTTGATATGGTGGACGCCATTGTTTCTGGAGACAGATTGCAAACGCCAATTCTGATCCCAGAACCGCAGCCTACTCCCAACTTGGATGACGTTCTTCTCAAGATTATCAGCAAAATCGAAGCCGCTAAACAGCCCGTCATTTACGTGGATGGTGAGAGCAGGCCTCTTCGCATCGTAGAAGCGGTGCAGCAGTTCGTATCAATGACGAAATGGCCAACCCTAACGTCTCCTTTTGGCAAGGGATTGATGGATGAAACAGAGCCCAACTTTATTGGCGTCTACCAAGGAAAATTTGGACCAAAGGCTGTTCACGATTTTGTGACAGGGACTGATTTAGCACTCTGCTTTGGCCCCCACTACAGTGGCACCAACACCTACATGTGGAACAGTATTCCGCAAAGCAAAGAGACCATTGAGTTCACCACCTCGGGAATCAAAATAGGTTCAGACTTTTACCGAGACGTATCTACTAGGCTGGTTCTTTCTCGCCTCCTCAAGGAGCTTGACATGTCAAAGATCGCCTCTTGTAGCTCAATGCTTGACTTGCCCAGATACCAACTTCTCGCACCATCATCAATCGCAGCCGACGACATTATCAAGCAAGACAAAGTATGGAAAGTTCTGGGTAATCTCATTCAGCCTGGTGATATTGTTATGGGTGAAACAGGCACACCTGGTTTCGGTGTTCGCGAGATGCCAATGCAAAAGCACTGCCGTGTTTTCAGTCATGTCACTTGGTTATCTATCGGTTATATGCTTCCAGCCGCCCAAGGAGCTGCCCTCGCCCAAAAAGAGCTCATTGCTGCTTCAAAATGGCATAACATTAGCACAGCCAAAACTATTCTATTTATTGGAGATGGTAGCTTCCAAATGACGGTACAGGAGATGTCGACTATGATTAAACACAATCTTAACGTTGTAATTGTGTTGATTAATAACGACGGATACTCTATCGAGAGATTCATTCATGGGAGAAAGCAAACATATAATGACGTTGCAAGGTGGCGCTACATCGAAGCTCCAAGCTTTTTTGGTGCCCCTAAAGATACATATACTGCTTCTGCCAAAACATGGTTCGAGCTGAATGCTATCCTAGAGAGGTATAAGTTGAATAATGCCGAGGGTCTGTCTATGTTTGAGGTGGTAATGGAAAGAGAGGATGCCCCTCCTGGACAATTGCAGAAAGTGTTAGAGATGCAGATTGAACGGGAACTAAAGAATTGAGGCTACATATAATACTAAACAAAGAAAAAAAACGCAATACATTTCACTGAGAAACGCGAGCATGATAGAAATTGATAGAGATTCTTTTTATCAATGCGACTGGTGAATTATCATCCCACAAAATGTATGCATGTCTACTACCTAATACACAGTACGAGCCTTGCCACAAGACACTGATCGGGATGTCAACCTCGTAACTAGGATTGTGAAGTTGCGTGCCCTTGTTTAATTCGTCTGGCGGCACCTCTTAGCCATTGTAGCTTACCAATGGTGTTGCTGTAATCAGTAGTAACAATCCAACTGCATGGATTACCCACGCCGCCAGGCCAGCCATGAGGCCAGCCATGAAACCTAATCCCAAACTTAGTGCTGGCTGCAGCTGTCAGAGTGCAACGTACATACATGTCTTGGCCTAATCCACGCCGCCTGACCCCCCCACCCCGGGGATTGTTTGCTATTCTGATCTCTGTCAAATGGATATCAAAGTCGTATCTAAACCCATATATTTATCAATATTATTTATAAAGCCTAGAAACATCCATGTACGCCCTGCCGACTACATGTGTTGACTTAGTACATTTTGTGGAGAAGATGTAGTTACGTAAATAACCCAGAAGCCGGCCAACCGTCAGTGAACAGGTGAACAGATACTAGGTGGATTGTGCAAATGATATTTAGCCTTGAGCCCAAGGTGAGTGTGACAGTTTGAGCACTGGATTGTACCGAGAGACAAGAAGCTGTAAATCGAGCCCAATATGTCGCAAACGAACCAGATATGCCTTACGAGGTTGACTGCCTCTGAACTGCCTTCTCCTGCCGACATACTCTACCCCGCGCCCATGGAAGCACCGGGTGGAATTGAAGTCACGCCAATATTGCCCACGGTGGTAGAAGGGCCAGCCCGGATTTCAAAGGAACGGTCCATCATTGTTATTGCGACGCTCTCAGCAGTCAGTTTCCTAAGTAGCCTAAGTACTGGCCTCTTAACCATTGGCCTTCCACGGATGGCAGTGGACATTGGGTTGCAAGACTATCTGATCGCATGGTAAGGATAATCCAGTCTCTGAATATCTTGATTCCCATTTGAAAATACAAAGTCTGGATAATTCATGGCCGCTATACTAACTCTTTTGCCAGGCCGTCATCCGTATATACGTAAGTCGTCCCGTGGTTGAATGCACAGTTTTTAGGCGCGTATATTATAGCACTAAACGCCTTAAATTCCAGATTGGCTAGTGGATCTTGCCTAATCATCGCTGGATCCATCGCAGACGTTGTTGGCAACCGTCTTGTCAACACAATAGGCTGCTTCTTGGTCGGCTGCTTCATCATAGCATGCGGCGTTGGCAGAACTGGCATTGAGTTGATTATGTTCCGCGCTTTCCAAGGCGTCGCTGTGTCACTTTGTCTCCCTACCTCTGTTGCAATTGTTGCTAGCATTACAACCAGTGGCCGCCAGCGAAATATTGGATTTTCTTGCTTAGGTTTTGTGCAGCCCATAGGTTTCTCTCTCGGCTTGGTCCTCGGCGGAGTGCTTCTGGATACAGTAGGGTGGAGAGTGGGATGGTATATATGCGGTGGGCTAACAATAGCTCTATTTTTCATCAGCTTATGGGCTTTGCCGGTGGATGAAAAAGCTGAAGGCACAGTCTTATTACGACTTCGGAGAGACATTGATTGGATTGGTGCAATCCTGTCTTCTGCCTCTCTAGCACTCCTCTCATACGCTCTTGGGTAAGTCTCGCATCTCCAAGATGCTTTGAGCAACCTAGTGACTTTCATAGGGTGATGTCGAGCGGTGTGCACAACATTGCAATCCCAGGGAATATCGCAGCGCTTACGGTTGGTGTACTGCTTATCCCGTCTTTTATCCTTTGGCAGCGGCAACAAGAAAAGGAGGGAAAACCAACCCTGATCCCCAACTCCTTATGGAACAATAGAACATTCACAACCGTCTGCCTTTTGGTTATTTTTTCTTACGCTGTTGTAAATGCTATGGAACTTTTCTGCAGCCTATTGTAAGCTTTCTCGTTCAGTGGTAGAGAATGTGGCCATTGAGTAACGACTAATCGCTCGCAGCTATCAAAATGTGCAGCAACTCTCTGCGCTCCAGGCGTCTTTGCGTATCCTGCCAAGTCTCATTGTAGGGGCATTGGTACAAGTTTCAACTGGTTTACTAATTCACAGAGTTCCTGCATTTTATCTGCTTCTCGTATCCATGATACTGAGCGCGGGGGCACCACTCCTGATGGCAACCATAAGCGTGCACCAGCCGTATTGGTTTAATGCCTTCTTCGCACAACTTGTTTCTCCATTTAGCGCAGATATCCTCTTCACTGTCGGTTTACTCGTTGTCTCTGATGTATTTCCAGCCCGCATGCAGGCCTTAGCAGGAGCAGTTTTCAACACTGTTGCCCAATTCGGTACTTCAGTTGGTCTGACTATCATGGCTGTTATTGCAGCCTCGACCACAAACGGTTCTAAATTAAAGGATAAGAACTCTCCGGATGCGCTCATGTCAGGGTATCGGGCGAGCTTCTGGGCTGCTTTTACTTGGATGTGTTTGGCGTGCTTCATTGGCGCCTACGGGCTGCGGAAGATGGGAAGGGTTGGGCTAAAGAGAGACTAGCGGCGCTACGCATACAATTGCAAACTATCCTACGTCAATACAAACATGAAATTTTCAGTGGAATAAAGACTGTATCGACGGCTGATTAGGAATGAATATCGCAATTTAGATTGGTTGCTAATAATAGTGAGCTTTTGTTTTCTAATCTGACACTTAAATTGCATGATTCGTGATATAATTGCAATATGTCTGGATAATAATGAGATCGAAAACTCGTTATTTCTTCCAGCAATTAAAATGTACATTCAGGCATCTTGAATCACTCGTCTTGGAGACATCTGCAGATGTACATAGAATTTTTCGGACGAGTGTATGCTATCTATTATATTAATAATCCACCACCTATCATATAATTGTTCTTGCATTTGTCAATTTGTGTCGTCCCTCTGCTACAGCGTGTTCGTGTATTTCTTCCAGTAGCACTGCGTTTGCATGCACTAAAACTTAGCGCTGTAAACAGATGCGTCCGACATCAACAACGGGCGGCAAAAAAACATCCACACTATCATACAGTTTGCGACAACTCGGGAATAGTATAAATAAGCTCATAAACAATCATGATATTGATTCCAACTGAGAAGGCACTGCATTATATTTCTCTGGTGTTTATCACCAGAGTAGCGTTTTCCGCCATTAGCCCAACACGCCACCTGCCTACTCCCGGCCAGAAACTTTTATTCCTTCGGGCTACCATTTTGTCATCCTCATAGCATTGCGACGTGTCAATGGTCATTAAGCTTGAAGCTTTCCCGCTGAAAACTGGCGTAAAGGCACACCAAGAATCCGTGCCCGGAAGCTCACCCTGACTACCGCGACCCTTGGGGAGCGGTGGGTGAACACACTCAAGATCAATGCCGAGAAAACTTAGCCATGCACTCGAAAACGGGAATGATGGAATAAGCGGCACTGGCTTCATTGTGGCCTGAAAAAACGGTGTGGAACTAGCCATTGCTTCTGTCTTATCACCAGAGGTGTCGTGAGGATACACTCGTACGGTAAGCGACTTATCAGGCATCGCTTCCCAGTCAAAACGAGCCAAATGCTTTGGTATATTCCAATCTAATATGTGCAAGTTAGCGATTTTAATTCCAGAAGCTAGTGTAATCGCATCCAATAATTTTATGCCGCCCACTATATGAAGATAAGATACGACCAACTTACTGGCTCTGCCGTTAAAACAGGTGTGCTTCTGTGAGACGTATAACCGAGTTGCTTTATAAGCATAGCCTCTCTTATACTCGCCATTAGAGCCTTGTTTGATCCATTCGAATTTACCGGGTACAATAACCAGCTCATCATATGGGCCAACTGGAGTCTCCTTGTACCTAATGATTTGGATTGTACCCACCCCTCCGACAGGACGGCTGATTCCAAGATCAGCAAATTGAGATGATAGCTCAAGCGGCGAGTAAGCAATATCAAATGGAAAGTTTTCAGCTTGTGAAGCAGAGATCCAGAAGGCTGCTGAAAAAACATCTGCTTTCAAAATCCATGGCGGGGGTGCAATAATAATGGGATCGTCATTGAGTTGTTGTGACATAGGCGGTCAATATCTCGAAAATGTGACAATTTGAGGCATATATATATATATATATGTAGAGAGAGAGAGAGAGTTACAGTTTTGTACTCGGATAATTAATTAAGTAGCGTACTTCGCAGCTTTATAAACATTGTTGACAGAATCAGTTTCCACTGTTAGGCAGCCATGTAATATTTTTATTTATGTATTTTCTTGAATCCTGTTATATCAATAATGTAACCTTCAAACTACTTTTTCATGGGTGATTTCCTGTATTTGAATCCTTTTACTTATTAGCTGCCTATTTGAGATGCATACCGGGGCACATGCTGCGTGAAACAATGTCGTACTGCAACCCGCCGTTGGGGGTCACTGACGGACTTCATCTCCTACCAGAAATCTTTTTCGCGTCCACGCTATTTAGGTAACCGAGCTCTTTAAGTAAGCGAGATGTAGATTTCATTACATTAAAATTGGCCTCCAGCAGTATGTCGGTATAAGAAGTTTCCTGCTTATGTCCCACAGTATGAATTAGATACCCTCTTCTTATAATCTCATACTCATTTCAACACTTGCAGAGAAACGCCCTATCTCATCGTTGTTGTCACTGACCATAGCAACAGCACCCATCAAGTCCCCGTTACCAAGGTTTGTTGCTTTGGCCAACTCGGCTTCAAATGCTTCCATTGCAGGCAGTGTTGATATCTTTTGATACGTCCTTTTCTAGGTAAGGGCAACGAAATTGAGGTTCCATAGGAGGATAGGAGGAAACACTGAGAAGAAAGCCTCCCAACGATCTCAACATACCTGAGCCAGAGCAGGAAAGATGATATTGACCGGGTGTAGAGGATGGTTTCTATCGCGGGGAACAATTTCTTACGTAATGAATGCTACGGAATTGTGCTGTACAACGTACTTTTGGCGGCGCAGCGATATCTCTCAGCCTCACATTGGCTGAATTGTTTGTTTTGTTTTATTATTAACGTCCACTGAGTAAGCTAGTTACATAAATCCCTGCTGGGCAATAGGACGGTAGGAGCCGCAGGTTCAGAGTCCGCGTTCGCTACGTGTCGTACGAAACAAAGGAAAGTTTTTGGTGTCAATCTGTGTTTTGGGGGGGAGGGCCATAGGGGCTTGTGTCCTCCACTAATGTCTGAAAGTGTTTGTATCCTTCGGGTCCTAGTAAGTAGGTGAGGGGGGTGATGCCTATTTGGAGGTCTTTTTCAGGGACTTCCGGTAGGAAGGGTCTGACCATCCTGCATTCCACAAAGTGGCCTTGTGTTCTTGGCTCACCGCACTTGCAGGTAGGCCTGGTGCTGTGTCTAAACCTTTCGTGGTACTCCACGAAGTCTCCGTGCCCTGTCCTTTCCGCGTACAGCCTATGAAGTATAGCCCTCGGTAGCTGTAGTTCTGGTGGTTTGGGGAGGGCGTCCAGTCGCCAGCGTCTATAGTAGGGCGGTCGGTTTTGGTCCCAGTCTAGCTCCCGGAGCCTTCTCCTCTCGCTTCTGGCCTACCTCTTGATGTGGGTTATTGTGGCAATCCTGGAGGGTGGTGTCGGAAGCTCTAACCCTTCCTTTGCGAGTTTATCTGCTACTTCATTGCCGTAAATGTCCTTATGTCCTGGCACCCAGGCCACCTTGGTGACGGTGTTAGGTGAGAGATCCTTGGCTATTTTTCTGAGGCCCATATAGGCTCCCTGTGTGGAGGCTGGGGTGAGTCCGAGGATGCCATCCACGACCGCCGAATTGTCCAGAAAGAGGATGAGCTCTTTGATGTCCGGGTCGGATTGGATGCGTTTTTTGGCGAGTTTGATCGCCTCAAAAGCTCCGACCGCTTCTGCGTCATATACCTCTGCGTTGGGGAGGCACCCATTCGTTTTGGTGGCGCGAGCCTTGTGGAAAGTGACCGCTCCCCATCCAGTGTTGCCTAGCTCGTCCTGTGACCCGTCCGAGTACGCGACGAGGGTGGAGCTGGGGAGGTCGTCCAGGAGTTTGATGTGTCTTTTGGCGGCTTCGTCCTTCGTAGACCTCTGATAGTCCGGGCCTGGGAGGACAGCCCCGTTGTTGTGGGCGAAGAGGGAGGGCCTGACCGTGCGGCCCGCCAGTGAGGTCGTTCGCTGGAGTCTAGTCATCGGGGCCCCCGCGACTTTTCTGTCCGCTCTTTTGCTTATGGGGTGGTTTCTGTCTAGACATGCAAACCTAGCCCCAATCCGAACCCTCGCTTGCGCGATGGCCAGTGAGGCCTTTGGAAAGCCTGATTCCCTGTGTATAACTTCCAAGTTGGTGGTTTTCCATACTGGGACCACTGCCCTGGCCGCAGTTTTAAAGGCTTTATCTAGTTTCTCGACTAAATTGTCTGTGCCAGTGCTTGTGGTCTTGGAGAGATCTGACCGGCATTGTCTGGTTTCCCCTGGCCACCATGCATCCAGCCCGTATAGAGCGACCGGGATGACGCATGCCTTGGCCGCCATGGCTACCGCATCTGGTGGGGACCCTTTGATTGTCTTGTTGAGGGATCTTAGGAAGTTGGCTGCCTTTAGGGCTTTTCCCGTCATGACCTCAACGTGCTTTTTGAACGAGAGCCTGGAGTCCAGGTGTATGCCTAGCCATTTCATCGAGTCCTGAGGGGGAATGGGTCGGCCTTCGAAGTCAATGTCGTCGGGATGGGTCCTCTTCCGTGTGTGGTGGAAGTGGACCAGCTCAGCCTTGTCTGGGTCGAAGGATACCGCATTCCGTCGGCCCCAGTCCAGGGTGTCTTTCAGTTCCCACTGCAGAATTCTGGTGGTTTCTTTTGTGTCTTTTCCAATGGCCACGATGCCCACGTCATCCGCGTAGCCGAATCTGGTGTTGGGGTCGTTGAGCCAGAGGATGGGGCAGAAGTATAGCATGGAAATGATCGGGGAGATGGGGGACCCTTGTGGGGCGCCACATTCCAGGCTTGTGCCTTGTAGCTTGGAGCCGTATCCGTAGCGAACTAGCGCCTCTCGGTTGCTCATGAAGGAGTCCACCCACAGGACGAAGAGCTTTGGCCAGCCTTGTTTTCTGAGTCTGAGAACCAGCCTGTTGCGCATGACGATGTCAAAAGCCCCGGCTATGTCGAGGGTGAGCAGTGAGGCGACCAGTCCTTTGGCGAGGGCTGCCTCGATGTCATGGACCAGGCAGGCCACCAGGTCCGACGCCGCTCGTTTGGGGAGTGCACTGAAATATTGTTCCGGTAGTCTTTTGTGTTCTAGGGCCAGTAGAGATACTCTCCGAGCGAGGAGTCTCTCTAGCCCTTTTCCGATACAAGACAGCAGTGAGATCGGTCTGTACCCTTTGTGCGTGGTGTACGCCTTCTCGGGTTTGCCGGGCTTGGGGATGATGGTTACCTCGGCACTCCTGAAGGGGAGTGGGTGGTACCCGACGCTTAGGCACCCCCGGAAGAGGTCCGTGATGAAGTTACCGACTGCCGGCCAGGCGAGCTGTAGAAGTGCCACTGATATTCTGTCCGCCCCCGGGGCAGTGTTGCCGGAGCCTGTGGTGGCCTTCCTGGCTTCCTCCTCTGTAACTTCTGTGTTTCATTTGATCTTCTCGTCAGGGGGGAAGTCCCCGTCCCAGGGATCTGAGATGTCTTCTTCTGTGGTTTTTCTCTTGAGTAGCTTGTCCCTGAGGTAGGTTGCCCTTTCAATGGGGTCGGAGATGCTTTTATTCCCGTCTAATAATGGAGGGGGCTGAAAACGGTCGGTGGCTTTCCGCCACTTGGCCAGGGACCAGATGTTCTTGTCCGCGCTTGCTTCCGCAATGATCTTGTCCCAATGAGCTCTCTTGCTTTTTCTGACGATGAGATTCAGTCGTTTCTTGGCTTCTGCTCTCTCGGGGGAGCCCTTGGCGCTCGCTTCCAGCGCTCTATGAGCCGCCTTGCATTCCTTGGTCCACCAGGGAGCGCTGTGTCCGTTCTGGTGTCTTGTTTTGCCCGTGGCTTCCAGCACGTCTCTGAAGAGGTTCTGGAGAGCCTTGGCGCAGCCGTCTAGGTTGTCCTTTGATGGTTCTTCAAGGTTGATTGTGGGGAGAGTCCACGCAAAGGAGTGCATCAGCTGACTGAAAGCTTCGTATTGTTCGAAGGGGAGGTATTTTTTCCCGGCTCCTGGGGTGGAGCGGGTGGGTTCCGGTAAGGTGGTAACGACTGTGTAGTGGTCCGAGCCTGTATTTAGGGAGCGTTCCACCCATGACGAGGTAGAGCAGTTTGTGAAGACGAGGTTGATGCACTTCCCTGAGTCTTTTGTAGGAGAGTCCACCAGGGAGGGAAGGAGGTCGCCCTCGTCAGCCCATTCTGCTATTCTGTTGCCCGCTGTGTCTGGTCTCCTGCCCGGTTGCCAGGTCCAGTGGGTGGCGTTGAAGTCGCCTGCGATGATGGAACGGGGAGGGGGGGAGCCCCATTTGATGAGGGTTTCTGTCGTAGTATCCTCCGAGGCTCTCCGATAGATGTTCACGATTGTGTAGCCGCAAACCTCTACCCAGCAGACGCACCCATTCTCCAGACCTGGAGGGGAGAGTTGTTTGCTGGGGAGGTTGGGTGAGATTCTAACGAATGTGAGGACTGAGGGTCTGGCGTTCCTCCAGTCGTTTAGGGGGTTGTATGCTTGAAATCCAGGGTGATTTTTGGTCTGCCTCCTGTTCGAGGTTCTGTCCTATTCGGCGTAGGGCTCCTGAATGAGCACGATGTCGTAGCCACCTTCCCATGCTAGTGAGAGAGCGACGTCCTGATAGGGGCCGTTCTTCCCGACGTTAGCTTGGAAGATTTTAAGGCCAGTTTTTCTTCGGCGGCTGCGACGGGGCCTACTGTTCATAGGTCCGTCTTAGGGGGTTTGTTTTCCCCGTTCGGGGCTTCGTCCATGTTTTCATCCTCTTCCTCCTCGCCGTTGTCCGACCCTACTGCGTGGATCTCCGACCTGGCTGGGGAGCTCTCCATTGGGGAGCTCTCCTCGTCGGAGTCGACCTCGATCGTGAGGGTCTGAGCAGGAGTCCTGGCAGGGGGCATAGGAGCAGAGCTTGATAGTGGGAGCCGGACCCTCGGTCCCATTCGAGGGGCTTTGGGATCTGTGCTGGATTTGTTCGCTGGGGAGGAGCTCGGGGTTTGGGCAGGCTTGGTGGGGTTGGCTTTAGTAAACTCTTGCCGTCCCAGGTCTCTGATCGCCTTGAGCTGTTCTTTGGTGGCATGAACCTTCTTACCGTCTCTTATAGTTGGCCGAGCGGGGCATTTGGGGGAGTCCGCCTTGTGCGGTCCGTTGCAGTTGGCGCATTGTGGAGGGGCAGGGCAGTTAACGGTGGTGTCGTTGTGTTTGTCCGAGGGCTTGCCGCACTTGAGGCACCTTTCGGTCCTGGTGCAGCTCCGCGGGTCGTGGAAACCGAGGCACCGTCGGCATTGTATGATTCTGGGTTTCTGGACCCGGGCTTCCGCCGGGGATGAGTTATTGAATAGCCTGAAGCCGGGTTTGACGTCCTCCTTGAATGAGATGAAGTAGCAGCACGTGTCTAGGGATTCTCCGAAGGGGGCCTTGTGGCAGGCCACCGGGAGATCTTTGGCTCCGGACCTGACGCGTGCCTCCTCTGGGACTAGCGCGTCTGTGGAGTGGGTCCCACTTAAATCCGTGTATGTTTTCGATACGCCGCGTAAAAGGAAGACCTTCCATGTGCATGCCTCTTCGATTTTCAAATTGTCGCTTTCTGCCTCCGGCCTGAGTGCGATGATTTTGCTTCTGATGTCTTGATTTTTGACCCTGAGGGCGAAGCCTGTCGGAACTTCCTTAAAGTAAGTGATGTCCTCGTTGGTGATCTTCGCCGTTCTGATCGTTTCTTGTCTAGCCCCGATGGCCGTCAGCTTTCTCCATGCGTGGTCTGGCGGGACTCGGACGAAGATGCGGTCATCGGGTTTTTCCTGGGGTTTGATGGTTTTGTTTTCTTTGTTTATGGCAGCGGGGGCCGGCCCTTCGCTGTCGGGAGCAGAGTTTTTCTGGGAGTCGGGGCTTCTTTGCGGTTTTTTGTTGTGAGTAGCATCTTGTGACGCGACCTGTGCCCACGTGACTCTGGCGCTCTTGTGGTCCGCTTTTCCAGTGGGCGCGGGAGCTCCCGTCGAAGTGGGGTCTTTCGGGCCGCTTGATTTGTTCCTTGCGCTGCGAGGTGTGTTGGCTGACGCTGTTTCAGTTGGTTGGGCATCTTTCGAGTCGCTGCCCGTTTTCTCAGGGTTTTTGGGCCTCCCCGCTGGGTTCATGTGGGAGGCGACGAAGGTCTTGAGGGCAGCATTAAGGACAGCTCGTATTTGTTCTGCCACTGCGGAGGAGGGTTTGGTGGTATATTGTGCTAGACAGGAGTCGATAGCCGTAGCTATGTTTAATACCACGTCCTGTCTAGCCCATTGCTGTGCGTTGATCTCTTCGATCTGGCTCATGATTTTGTTTTTGGTGAGGGATTTTCCCTCTCTGTTGGGTGCGGTGGCTTCCTTCGGGCCGCTGAAGATGGAGGAGGTGAGGCCTCTCGACGGTTTCTGTGTGGTTGCGATCGCGCTCGGCTTCGCCCTGTTGAAGCTGAGTGATCGCATGTTGTCTGTTTCGAAGTCTTCTCCGAAGCGTCTTCTTTTCTTGGGAGTAAAGGGGAGCACGGTGGTCTCCCCTGTTCCTGGGATCGAGGGAGTTGCCTCCTTCTGGGGTTGTGGTGCTGTCGCTGGCCCGGGGGCGACGGTGGTGGTTGTGCTCTGGGTATCTGGAGGGTTTGTAGATGTTCCCATCTCTCCAGAGTCCCCAGAGGGGGCCGTGAAGGTAAATATTGAAGGCGTTTTTGTTTGATAGCAAGTCAAACGGAGTGAGGTTCTTGATGGTTAGGCACCCAAAAGGTGGGGTACCTGTAGATGTAGGAGGGAAGCTTGCTCACATTGGCTGAAGCAATATATGCTGATAAACGGAGGTATGTTAGTGCACCAGTACGTTACCCCTACTGCCACCATTTTGCCAGCTAAAGCACCAAAAGAGCACTTTCGAGAGCTATAACTGGCGACGTGTTGGAAAACTTGTCTTTACTGCATGTTGCTTGTGCTCAAAATAATGGCGTCTCCGATATCGATTGAAAGTAGTGAAGCTTCAACAACCCCTTTCATCATTCGAATTAGAAAGGTGCTGGTAGAATTAGTAATGCTAAGCTCTTGCTACTAGGCGCTGGGTACCTATTACTATTATTGCTCACTAGTGGACAAAAGATCGGGCATTGGTCTCATAAACGCGGTTCAGACATATGACCCTAGAGAAGGAGCCATACCTGCTGGCTAGCACCAGGCATACAGTTGGCTATGATATAATCAGAATGCCAGCATGCAGGGAGTCAAGTCGCTATATTAAGGAGCCACATCTCAGCTAGCCATTTGATATATTCAGATGGCACTGCCGACGATAGCTATAAGGGATGCCTTAGAAGAGACGACTCTTCCGTCAAGGGCACGTTCAATCCCTAGCGCCATATTCTGTTGGGAAATTGTGTATGTATTTCTTTGTCGTTTTGGATTCTCTTCCAATGGCAAAGTTGCAATTGCGTGTACGGTGACTTCAGATGAAAACAAGTGAGAAAACGAGCATCAAAGGAAATCGACACATATATCTTGAGTGGCTATTTCATAGAGGCCTGCCACACTTACAAAATAACACCGCCGGGCTTGTCGTCTCCTGTTACCGGGGGAAACATGCATGGTACTGACTCGATAATGTATGCCTCATCCTTGAGGTCGTCCACCGATGGCACGATGTGACCCTCAGTAACATTAGGGTTGAGGAGCTGATGGAATATTGTCGTGCAAGAGGATGAATTATTCCCGCCAGTAGCCATATCCTTCTAGACGCTCACTATCTGTTCCCGACAATCCTACAAGGTAAGAGTCAGTGAACTCTTCGTGGCAATAGCTCGAGACACGATAGCCCCTGCATCTGTAAGAAAATCCCGAGAAGTTTTCTCATGATCTTAGCCAGCCACAACGAAACCTTCAACGCAACAGGTTGAATGAAGGGCTACTGTTGAAAGAACCAGAAGGTTGGGCCTAGAAACTAGAGAAGGAGACAAGTAGTATATATTTCCGGGTAAGTGATGTAGCTAGGAGCAAGTAATCCACAATTTATTATACCGTTAATTGTGAATACTTTAATTAGAATGGCCTTGGTATTAAGGTTTTTCTTCTTGCGTGTGACAGAGATGTCATCCATAGAGTGGCCTAGCTAGTTGCAATATACTAGTTGCATAGACTAACTAATGACTAAGGACTAAGGACAAAGCTACTAACGCTCTATACCGGCAATGAATGCTATCAGGCTAGTACCAGCAACTTCTCTATTCAACACCCCCCGAGCTATACAATACATCTACTTCTTTTCCTTGTCGACAATCTTATCTTGGGGAACAAGCTATTGGAAATCGTCATCACAAGTCATGAAAGCATCATCATTAACATTATGATGTCTCCACCACAATATGACGGTCTAAACAGCAAGGGCGATTGTAGGAGCTGCCCAAGTCCACAGAAGGGTAGGATCATTGATTGCCGGGATCGGGATCTCGCCTAGGGCACTGCTCAACGCCGTCATGAACAGGAACAGCGCGACAACTGTGGCCCGCATATTCTCTGGGGTTCTTGTATAAGCCAACTCGTATGCAGTGACATTAAAAAATATTTCGGATATAGCACCAAGGATAACATTTGGTAGTTGCCACCAGATGGGTATGGTGGACACGTCCCCAAAAGGGATCGGTTACGTTATGCACCCCCCTTGTTCTTTACATTCCCTTTGCTTGCGGCTCAATTCGAGCGCTTAATTCTCCACTACCCACACCTTGTATACTCTTTCGTAATTCTGTATCCAATTATAACAAAATAGTTAAAGTAAATGCCTCTAGCGGCACTTTACTATTTTAACTATTGGTGCGGCAGAAGTAATAATACATTGGGACAGGATGTTGAATATAGGTGGCTAAACATATTTAAGCAAAATGTTTCACCACAAGTGTAAAAAGGTATTTCTATCTAAAACGCTTCAAATTATTACTAAGTTTTACCACTCTTTATTTACAATGTGGGCTTCGACTCATACTTTTATTACTCTTGCCAGTGTGGCCCTTACGGCTGCGGGTCCACCCTTCCAGCGAACGCCCGTCATGGGCTGGAACTCTTACAATTTGATGGCTTGTAGCCCCAGTAACGATAAAATTACTACGATTATTAATGCACTGGATGAAGGTGGTTTTATAAAGGCGGGTTATGAATTTTTTCAAATTGACTGCGGCTGGGCTGCAAGAGACGGGCAACGAAACGCGACAACTGGCGCGCTAAATATTGACTGGAATGCATTTCCTCGGGGGCTTAAACCTTTAAGTGACCTTGCAAGGTCTAAAGGAATGAAGTGGGCTATGTACTCGGATGCTGGTGTTCGGATGTGCGATACCCAGGTACCAAGTCCTGTTCTCGGCTCTCTAAACCATGAAGCGGTTGATGCGGACTTTTTCCAGACGCTGAATACAGAATATATCAAGTGTATGCTTCATCCCGGTGTTTAAGCAAATCTTTGTAGACTAACCTAGTCGCAGATGATAACTGCTACGCTGACGGACCAGCACAAAATCAGAATGCTCCTAAAAGCCCAAGGACTGATTTTACACAAAGATTTACGAAAATGTGGAATGAGTTGCAGAGAGTAGGAATTCCAGGAATGCTCGTATGTCAATGGGGCACTCCATTCTCTACATCCAGCGGACTTCAAGGACCAGCTCAATGGACGGAGGGCATATCAACTTCGTTCCGACTATCGGATGATATTGCCATGGGGTGGGACAATATATATCGCATCTATAATCAAGCTATTTATATCGCTAAATCTGGGTATATTGGCCCCGGACATATAGCTGATGCCGACTTGCTGGAGGTTGGGAATGAGGGTATGACTTTTGATGAACAAGGTACTCATTTTGCGTCCTGGGCAATGTTTAAGTCTGCGCTTATGATTTCAACTGATATTACTAAGTTGTCAAAGGACACCATTGCTATCCTTCTGAACAGAGACTTAATCGACATTAATCAGGATGCGGCTGTCAAGCCAGTCGAGCTCGTGCAACGCTGGACAGGAGATCGAGATCTCTGGGCTGGTGATCTAGCAAATGGCGACCTCGCGGTTCTAATGGTAGACTTGAGCAATGTCCGTCGCACTCTAAGCCTCAATCTAACGGCACTTGAGGTTGTTTCTGCTACTATTAAAGACCTTTGGACTGGAATCGTTATGGACGACGTGGCCGCTTTTTCCAAGCAAGTCAATGGACATGGATCCCTCGCCCTTCGTCTGTCCAACATCCAGCGAGTCTCCTCCCCGGCATTAAATTACACCTACATAACGGTTGCAACTGGCTCTGTATCATCTGGTGCAAATATTCAGCCTTGCACAGGGTGCAGTTCTTCAAGCAAGGTCGGCAATCTAGGAGGTAACTCGAATGGTCGAGTAGTTCTCTCAAACATCTATACCTCTCAAACTACACAGAACGTGAAGTTTGATTACATTAATGCTGATGTAGGATATCTCAGTGGTGGCAATAATGAGCGCTTGGCTTCAATCAGTGTGAACAACGGCCCGCAGCAAATAGTCAGCTTTCCCTTGAGCGGTTACAACTGGGATACAGATATCAATAAGGGCTACAACGTAGAATTGTCTGGCTTCTATACCCACAGGCAAAACAATATCAGTATCTCTGGCGTAGGGAATGCTTGGGCACCTGATTTTGATAGGCTTGGGGTAATAGGGTAAATGAACATGTGTTGCATATAATTGTCATCTTACAACTATCAGGCTTGGCTGTTTCGTCTATTTGTAAACGTTATTGCCTACGGCCTCGAGAACTAGAATTAGACACTGATGCCTATGATTTGACAAGTCTTTATGCTAAACAGAAATTGGCTTAAAGCCTCCGCTCCATGGAGTAGCTATTTAGAAGAATGGTGTGTTAGTACTCGTTTGGCCGCCATTGTGTCTGTATTCGTAAATATACATTGCCTTTGGGACAAATAAGTGGCCATTATCTGACCCCGGTTATTTCGTCGTGCCCTTAACGAGAGCTTCTTGCTATTTGCCAGATACCACGGCACCGAAAGTCATTAGAAACTGTTGAATCTTCATAATGGTTCTTTTTAGAAAAGCCTCTCTGTCAACCAAACCAAACCTATCGCAGCCTGCCCTCGGAGCGATGGGACAAGGGTAACTGCCAGAATTGTTTGTAAGCTGCACCTTGCTTAGCATGCAGTTCACCATCTTTGCTATCTCATAGCCATCATTTCTTCCGAAACCATTGTTTTGGCATAAGCGCGCCAATAAGACTGGCTGTCACATATTATCCAGATCGACGGCTATCATATATCAAAGGCAATGTCGTTGCATTGAAGGTGAATCCATCTTTTGCAAATTCACTAGCGTGCTATAAATTAAACCCGCTTTAACCTAATTTATCCCGCGTTTTAACGTAAGATAACTCAGCGTCGGAGATTCATCCACTTTCACCATGCCACCTGCTGATTCCCTAACGTCACATCTTCCTTTGGCGCACCAATAGGGGGAAAAAACGGTGGTGGTAAGCTGCAGTTTGTGCTGGGGTCTATATGAGTTCCTAAACTACCTGTAGTTTAGCTAGCAGGTTAACTACATAAAACTAAATTACAGTGGGGACGCAACTATTAAAAACCTCATGGTATACTACTATATATCTAGGAAATTTACATATAATACGTTATAATATATATGCTAATATTGAATAAAAATAAAAAAAATAATAAATAACAAAAATAAACTGAAATAAAATGTAGCCATTGGTTAATAATGTTATTATATAGTTACTCCCCTACACTTATATAAGACAAATATAGACTCAGTTTCCACGACAGCAAATCAAACTGTGGAGGTTGGGAAGTTATAACCACATATATCGTCATGGCATGGTTCAGAAGCTTTAACATTGCAGCCTTGGTTCTGTTTGCCTATTTCGTTTCTAGCTTCTACTGTCACGACGACCTCGGTCTCAAAAATGGATTTATCAATTTCACAACATCCAATTTTCAATTCCAGCTGGTGAGTGATTCTCAAGTCCTTGCATCACTCAAGTCTATTGGGAGTTCTTTTGACTTTCTGCCACGAGATTATCTTCCTCGTCGCGCTAGAAATGGTCAATATCACTGGGGGGACATCACGTATCGGTTCCGTACAGGGTTACGGCGTCCTGGGTAGACGGAGATTCTGCCAAATCCAGGAAACCTATCTCTATCGCTGGTTTGGATAGCCTTGCGTCTGCCAACATGTGCCCAAGTCTTCCATCTGGGCGTCTCAATATCATCCGGGAGTAGCTTGATGAGGATGGCGATCTTGCATTACGGTTTACGGTGCACAATAGCGGAGGAGACGATATCGAACTTGGCAGTATAGGGTTTCCGACAGAGATTAACGGTATTTTTACCAGGCATGACGCATCGGATATGCTTTCTCTATGCTCCCTCGCTGCCCGTATATTGGTATGGATGCAGGATATATTAGGGTATCACCAACTAGTGGCAATGGCCCAGCTCTAATCATCACCCCCTTGAACAACACCTCAATGGAGGCATACCGTAACCTGGAAGAGTCATATTTTGACGATACGGCGTATGAGAGCCAAGCTTTTGAAGGCTACTACGAGTGGTAGGTCCTTTCAAAAGCTTGGGCAGAAAACGAATGGGCTAATGCTCAGCTATAGAACGCGTCATCGTCTATAGTTCTGAAGGCCAGCCAATCGGTGCAGTATGGCCCACGCTTCACAGTCGTTAACGGAGGAGCAAGACAATTGGATAAAGCAGTCTACAGCACGGGTACGCCGATCGTAGTAGGCGTTCCTGGATTTATCATCCCTCAGGGGCTGCCTGCGCAACTTTTCATTAACGCGTTGTCCAATATTCGAGAGCTCTCCACAGATCCGACGGACGCTGTGACTGAGTCAAGTCAAGGGTCTTATTCTGGTTACGCCATCTACCAGTACCTGTGGAAGGGTAAGGTCAACTCTTAGATTCGACGACAGGAAGGTGTAACCATTCACTACTACATCACAAAGCCTAGTGCTGAAGCGATTGCGGACATGGGTCATTTTCTGACTACTTCGGCGTGGTTTAATGATACCAGCGACCCGTTCGTGCGAGCCCCTTCCATTATGACCTATGACTATGACGAAAGATAATCGTAACTCAGGACTCGAGCGCCTGGATCGCAGGCCTTAGTGATGAAGCGGGCGGGTGGGAGCGGGTGGGAGCGTATCTTGCAGCTGTGATGAAGCAAGCCGCGCAGCCCAGCGCCCGTGAAGTCTCAATGAACGAAGAATTTGTCGATTAAGTTATATGGAAAACTATCTAAAATGGAGGGAGCGTGACTCGGAAAAGTTTATTTTTATACGAGCCCAGCCAAGTTCCGTCGTATAGGTACGCTATCGATCGTGCATACGATTATGTCCATGTTGCAGCTGCATACTGGTCTTTATATCAAGCTAAAAGAGCATATCCTCAAGTTATTACGAAACACAGCTGGGGCTGGTATCTTGACCAAGCACATCTGACCATCATACGAGGCATGCACCCCGATGTTGGGTACAATCAGATTGGACTAATGGGAAAGACAGTTTCTAGCGAGATTCTTAAAGATTTTTTTTCGAGAAGTGCTTACGAAACAGGCCAAAACTTTAATTGATAACATGCGTTCGCGGGCTGTACAGTGGGATCATGAGTTGGTTCCGTTTGGCGGCGAGATGGCTTGGGGCTCTACTGGGCAGGAGGGGGTGCACTACTGGACGAAGTATGTGTAATTGGCTGCGTTCTTCGGTCAACTGCCACATGTAGTGCTAATACAAAGATGGATACTTCGGATTAACCAACACGGCATCGAAAACACTCAATAGTGTGCTTGGTTACGTGCCAGCTGTGCCTCACCGGGGATGGAATGGGAATGCCCGGCGGTATTGGGACGATATGTGAGTGAATTACAGCAGTGGAGATCTTGAGAAAGGCGATCAGAGTGCTAAGAAGTAATAGTTGCGGTGGCAAACTTCAACGTATAGAACGTCAGATCCATCACTATGGATCTGCGCTCAATGCACTAGTTCTTCTGTCTGCTTTTCGAAGCAATCCTTCAGATATATACCTTCTAAGAGCCGGATATGGTGGAATCAGTGGCCCAATTTCTAGTATTCATCAAGACGGCTATGTTGGCGCATCGTTTCACTCATGGCCGGACACGCTTCAGTGGGACGGCATTACTGGTGATTATGGTCCTGGATTTCTAGGTATGGTCCTCGGAATTGGAGCCTACGTTGTGGAAGATCCAACTTGGGGTCTTCTGGTGTTTGGTGGAACGAATGACACAAAGGGCGACTTAAAGACGGTCCAAACCACAGACCCAGTGCTGAAACGAGTATTTATTGGGTCTCTGAATTTGGAATTAGAGGTTGACGCTAGATTTATTGAGGCTGTGAGCTTCACCAATGGTTGTGGTAACATTGAAATACAAGTTAGTCAAAACCCTAGCCAGCCAGAAGCCGACAAGATTGTGCTTTGGGCAGAGAGTGGTGGAGGAGAATGGGAGGTACTGGGGAAAGGTGGGAGATTCCTTTCATTTCCCGTACAACGACGGTGAATATATATAGAAAGGCATGCGTGAGCGTATAGTATCAGTTTAACCTAACTCCCATATTAAAATTACGCTTATGTAGAAAGTAATTATAGAAATGAGATGTGATTGATTTTCTGAGATATCTAGGGCTAAAGCCGATTTGAAAACTGAATTGTCAGGCAGGAATGGGCCATGCCTGAGCGACAACATTCCAACAGCTCAAATCTCCCCTCGTCAATGAGAAACTGACATTCTTTGTTTCGCTTGGTGCTAGTTGGACCTTAGAGAATCCTCGAAGAACTCGAATAGGCGTGCACGTTCGAGCCGAGCTAACTGGTGATGGGGCATATAGTTGAACGACAGTGGTACACCGCATGTTCATGGAAGCTCGGATCCCATTATCCATCGCGTTGATGCCGGAATATACACTCTGCGAGGTCAGGTTTTTGGATTAGCCGAGGTAAACATTACTTGGGGCATGGCATCCACCATCGGCACTATCTCGGTCGTGTATGAGACTCGGATGATGGACTGAGTTTCCTGAATTGCAATGAGAGCGTCACGGCGAGGGTCTCACAGCTGATCAACTTTTCCTTTGACTGGTATTCGAATATTTCTCAGTCCGGTTTTGTTAACGGAAGTAGAAAGTCCAGTCCTGGTGGGTATTTGACGAATATTAGTGTGACGGATAATGTCTTGTCTTCCACCGGTACTCTGGTAACCATTCTTAACGGCGTTGAGTGGCGTAGCCCTCTTGGCGGGACTTAAGGAAGTTCTTCCTAACCCGGAGGAGCAAAGGGCATCTCCCAGACTACTATTGGAATCCGGTTCGTCACAAGAGGGTCGTACATTTAGTAATTTTGGACCGTGCGCCGCTTTATTATTTTTAATACAATGTGTAATAACGTATTATATAACAATAAACTGCTATTTGACAATATGTTTAAAGGACTAGATTAACTATGCGATTGAACAGTTGTCAACACCTAGCAACAAGCATATCATGCAATACCCTGCCATAGCAATACAGCCATATATATAGCTAGCGGGTTAGTGAGTCGGAGGGCAGTAGAGGCCGAAGTTTTACTAGTAGTAGCCAACGCTGCGTCAGCGACGGCTGCAGTCCCAGCACCAACAGTTCCACTTGCAGTACTCCCAGTTTTAGTAGTTTCAGTGCTGGATCGCGCTGTAGCAGATGATGAAGCAGACGACGAAGCAGGTGACGAGGAAGGCGATGGCTTAGGGCACTCGTTTTTATACACAAACTGCTCAGGCGGGCCACTGCAAGTAGTCGCAGCTCTAGCGTCGTAGGTACCACTCGGATACATCCAACAAGTGCCCGAAGAGTAGGGTGAATTGTCTGGGTTATGTGGATTAAAGACGACATAACTGCAGGAGTCGGCCTTTGCACATTGACTTAAGCAGTCCGATGCATTTTCACTAGCAGTACAAGTACTAAAGCAGTCATCAGGTGGTGTCGGATACCCGCAAACAGATGCTACAGCAGAGGGCGTTGCAGTCGCTGCACAACTGCCTGAGGTGGGTGTGCCACTGCCCCGGCACACGGGCTGGTCGTAGACAGACAAATAGGGGTTGGCGCAGTCAGAGCTGCCGGCGCTCGCATCGAAGCTTTCACCTGGGTACAGCCAGCAGGTGCCTGTGCCCGTGAGAGGGTTGCCGGCGGCGAAGATGACAAAGTTGCAGGGAGGGTGGGCATTGCAATAGTTCCAGCAGGAGGGTTTGCCGTCGCTGGCGACGGCGAAATCGAGACCTGGTGTTGGATAGCTGCAGAGACTGGTGACGAGGGAAGCTGTGCAGCTCGGTGCTGCTGAGGTGGGAGTTGGGGTTGGGGTTGTTTGAGCGAGGACTGGTAGAACGCGCAATAGGGCGATTGACGCCCAGAAAGGAGTGATCTGCATAGTAGCGAGCGTGAATAATAGCGAGCGTGGATGGTAGCGAGCGTGGTTTGTCGCGAGCGTTAGGCGCCGAGAGCTGAGTTGAGCTGAGGAAATTAATCGTGACAAAAGATCAAGAGAACCACGTGATGTAGCACCGGTTATGGAGCCGCCGAAACGAATACCTACCCAACATCAATCCTATCAAGAGCTGGTTACTTATTCTTTTATTTTTTATTAATTGATTTCATTTTTAGCAGCATCTTCCTTTGTAGTAAAATCCGGCTCAACTTGTCTCACCAAGTGACCAGCTTCTATCAGTCGCTACTTTGCCCCGAAACTTTGAAAGCTGCTACAATAAACGCCATGTTTAGCTTCCGCATTTTAGCGCCATGATTGCTCAGTGAGTCCCACGAGATCGTCCCGGAGATTGAACGCTTCCTAGTGGAGTGTATACGAACATTCATCAAGCTGGTTTAAAAAAATGCTTTAAGTTGTATAGGTTAACAGCTAGTTACGGCCACCTCAAGTCACAAAATTCTCCTTTACTTGCCATTAACTCAGACTCCACAAAGGATAATAATTCCTTTATTGATGGAAATATAAATTCATAGTTTACATTAAAATAGGGTTAAGTTAGGTAACCTAGTACTAAAGCCTGTCCGTGTATAGTACTCATCAGAAACGCAGATGATCCTGCCCAGTCAACTGGGTATGTAATTTCATTTCATTACCCTGGCTTAAAATACTTAGATAGCCAGCTGTTATTATAGCAACAAGGCTGCATTAAGCTACCACATCTATTAGTTAGTGACCCGATTACCCGTTGACCAAACTGACTGACCGCTAACATGAACCTGAACTGCCGGTTTGCGCCCCGATAGCAGCTATCATAAGATTACTATTTAAATATAGTGATATGACATACAAAAAAAAAAAAAGAAAGAAAGAGAGAAAGAAAAGACCAGGGGCGCATTTATTATGAACCTGTCTTTTGGTGTTTAAACCATCTCCCCAGCTCCTTTTATACAGCATCACCTATTGGTACGAGGAAAAGCGGCACTACAGCTACGGCATTGAGCAATCCTGCAATCCAGAACTTTTCTCCCAGAGAACTGTAGCCTTGGGGATGACTTTCCGAAGGAGCAAGACGAACCCCTGGCTTGTACTTGAATATTAAGGTGTAGAATAGGCCACCTATGTTGCCGCTAGCACCAACGATGCCGGCCACAACGCCAATATTTTTTGGTCGCCAGTGGCCATATATTGAGTAACAGGCGCCGTTAGCTGAAAATCCTGTGATCGCAATCACGACAATGAAGCCTATGACTCCACCGATGGTTGCGTTGTTTTTGTTTATGTAGACGCCCATGCCAATCATGGCGATTCCCTGAGAGAGCGCGGTGGCTAAGAGCCAATACATTTTACCACGTAGCCCAACCCGAGCGTAAAGAATGTCTGATATGATTCCACCCAACGGCCGAGCAAACAAATTCATGAGACCGTACGTGGATGCTGCATAGGCGGCATTCACGGACCCAAATGACTGGCTAGCAAACAGGCTGTTGATCAAACCGGGAAGCGCCGCGTCCATAGCCGTCTCAAGACCAAAAGTAAGCAGATAGCATAGAGCACACGACCAGACGCGGAGGTCACAAAGGATCTCGAGCAATGTCGCAAAGGTCAGCGGCTCTGATTGTGCAGTGTCCACATCGATAACTGGAGGCTGTCCGTTGGAGTCCGTACCCGGTGGCTTGGAGTTACTAGATTCCTGAGGAAATGCATTCTCAGAATCTACAAACATATGTTGCTGTTGGACTAGTCCTTCATCATTGATTTGGTCTTTTCCCGTGGCTGAGGCCTGGAATTGGTGGCGAGCTGACCATTTGCCACCAGGGTGATCTAGTCCAAGCAGTAAAATGATGACGGCGACAAGCAGTAGGCATGGGACAGGCAATGTGACAAAGCAAAGGCGCCACGCAATGTGAGGGCTGTAGCCAGCCTTGATATATCGTTGGTACAGCCCGATCATCACAGCAACAGTCACCCCACCACCCAAGTTGCCCCAGCCACCCGAGAAGGCATTAGCAGTGCCAACAATTGACTTGTCAAAAAATGTCGTGGTGTAGGCCTGGGTTGGAACAAAGCTGCCACCGAGAATGGAGATGAAAAATCTCACCGCCTCTAACCCTTTAACATTGGTTACCAGAGCTGCTAAGCCTGACGGGATGGCGCCCAGAATGAGAAGAGAAGCTAAAACCTTTCGAGGCCCAAACTTGTCGCATGCTGGGCCAGCAATGAGGCGTACCATAGCTGTGCCACCAAGAGAGGCCAGGTTGGAGTTGGTGACTTGATCTTGAGTAAGGTTGAGATCCGCTTTCACTACTTCGGGCACAAGCGGAGAAAAGGCAAACCAAGAAAAGAAAGCCACAAAAAACCCCAGGGTGGAAAGCCAGAAGGCTATGCAATAAATGTCGTCCCAAATTCGAAAGAGAGGAAATGTAAGGCTTTTCCCATTCAGAGGGTTGACTTCGGCTCGTCTCCACAATGAAGACAGCCGAAATCTGTGGTCGCTAGCAAACTTTGAAACCCGTCCTTTTTCATTATCTTTTCTTATTATAGCGGTATCAAAATCGTTTTGTTGAATAAAAAATATTGCGTGATTTGATCCGTTGCTAATGGAGGGTGAGCCGCTATTAGTGGCCTCTTTGAAGTCTTTAATGGATTTCGTGTCATCCTGGGTGGCAGATTTTGGTGTAGTGGAGATGTTTGTTTCCTCCACGCTCAAGTTCCAAACCATTTTTCTGTTTTTATGGCGACTTATGATGATATTGACAACAGAAACCGAAGATAATATATATTGAAGGTGACTAGTGATCGTATCGAAGATATATAAACTGCTGGCACAGAAGCAGATAAACTGTCGTGCGTAAAGGGTTAACAAGGGTTCAGGTATAAACAGAGATATGGAAACTAACAGTGTCCGGTACTGTAATTTGTTAGAGACGAAGCACAATTCAGTAACGTATTTTGAATAATTATAAAAGATGATAATGGTGAATGTTAGAAAACTAGTAGTTGTATGATCTCGTACGGAGTATACTATAGTGAATTTATCTTTCAGTGCATCTTAGACTCATGTAGGTATCATATACTATAAAAAAACTTCATAATGTCAATTTCTATTGTACTTCCATTCAAAATTGAGCCGAGATCCAAGCTGAAGACGATAACAAATTGATACCATGAATATGAGCTTATCGATGGAGGTTAGTAGAGAGATAATCCAACCGGAGATGCAAAATTCAAACTCAGCAGCTTGCTAGTTCTACCGTGGGGTGTGATAAAAGCACCTTTACTAGGTTGTCAAAAGGCTGCATAATCTCTGCCGCCATAAGAGGCGCTTGAGAGAGAGTGGAAGAATGACTCTGCAGATTTTCTAGAGAAATTCCTAGGATTCTTCGAGCAAAGGGGTGAAGAGAGATTAGTAGCGCTAGAGATAAGGAGGATCAATTTGATAGGCTAGCAAGGAGGTGAAATAAGAAAATAACACCGGCTTAGAGGGAGAGCTAGGTCCCAATAGCGATAGCGGACTTTTAGTATTGATAAATTTGTTTTATTTTATCTTATTGTATTTTGGCAAAAAATAGAGCAAGAGATAAGGAGACATGGGACTACCAAAATGGGAAGTGGTGCTGATAGATGTGCGCAAACGGCATAGTTGGTTATGTATGGAGCTTTCAATATGCAAGATAGTGGTCGATGACGGCCATGACAGTGAAAATACGATGGTCATGAAACACTAATTGGAACTTTCTAAATACACTTCATATTTTGTTACGGAAATTGTATCTCCCAGCTTAAAAGACCAGTGTTACGACAAAGAAAACCAAGTTGATTAAACATAAAAGGACATATATAAACAAACTGTTTTATGATTTATTAGGTATTTTTACCAGTCAAGTGCACCGCTGCCTCCACAAGTCTGACGAGAAGCCATGTGTGGTAGTTGGCCTCTCATCCTGCTAGGAGGCAGTGGTTCTGTAATCTCTATTGCTGACTCTGTATCCTTTACTAAAACTCTCAGCTCTTCGTCTGCCTTCCGTAACATCCACTTTGTCGTTGAAAGTATGGCGTCAAGTGCGTCTGTTGGAGGAAGATAGACGAGTATCTTGTCATTTACCTCGTCTGCCTTGACCTCAAAAGTCATAATTGAGTAGTCCATATCTGAACAGCTTCCACCTCCCTCGGCTGGGTTGGGATTCAACAAGTAATTCCGCTTGTGTAGCGGACAAGACACATACTCTCGGCCTTGTTCATCTTCGCCTACTAGGCCATCCGCTAGCACAAACGCCTTCTTATGAGGGCACATGTTTTGTGATGCGCGCAAGCCTCGACCCGGTATATTCCACACAGCCAATTGAACTTCACCATATTTGACAGCAATGGATGTTGGTGCGTCACTCTGGCGGTTCAATTCTGAAAGCGTGCAGACAGATCTCCATCCCCAACTTGCGTCTTTCGCAATATCTAACAAACTGAAGTGCAGTGGGGAGCTGTCTTCGGGCCAATCTACGGGACGCTTTTGGGCCCGCTCGGTAATTTGCTCTGATACCGTCTGCGTTTCATCTGTATTGGCAAACTGCTTGAAAGCCTTGCGACGTTCCGGGTTATTGACAACATTGGTCCATTCGCATTGATATAGACCAACGAGGACCTCCATCTCCTTTTCTAGGTCGGCGCATATACCAAGTTTGTCGTCAACGATAACCTCTTTTATACCCCGGAGACCACCGGGGTATCTCTCAATCCAGCGGGCTGTCCGCTCAAGCTTATCTGCTGATTGAATGTAGAACATAAGAAATCGGTCTAAGATCTTGATCGCTTGCCGTCGAGTTACATCTTCAGCAAGTAGTTCAGCATGGCGAGGCTTTGCACCTCCGTTTCCCCCCACAAATATATTCCAGCCTTTTGGCGTGGCAATGAGACCGAAATCTTTGCCTTGTGCCTCGGCGCATTCTCTAACGCATCCAGATACACCACCTTTGAATTTGTGAGGAGCTCGAAGGCCCTTATATCGGTTTTCAAGTTCCACGGCGAGACCAACTGAATCGCCGACACCATATCGACACCAGGTACTACCGACGCATGATTTGACGGTGCGCAGTGCTTTGCCATAGGCATGGCCGCTCTCAAAGCCAGCATTAACGAGTAACTCCCAGATCTGTGGAAGGTCCTGCTTCTTCGCGCCAAACATGTCGATACGTTGGCCACCTGTGATCTTTGTGTATAGTCCAAATTTGTCTGCGATTTCGCCAATAACTTTAAGCCCCATTGGAGTAATCTCACCCGCAGGAAGACGTGGAACAACCGAGTAAGTGCCGTCACGCTGCACATTGGCAAGATAACGATCATTTGTATCCTGTGTCTGGCGCAGCGAAGGCTTCATAATGTTCTCGTTGTATAATGAACTTAAGATTGAGCCGACCGCCGGCCTGCAAACTTCGCAACCAAGACTTTCGGGCTTCTTGCCGACGATACGCATCATTGCCGTGAAGTCCTTTAGTTTTCTGAACTTGGCAATTTGATATAATTCCTGGCGCGAGTAGGCGAAATCCTTACAAATGTGGTTAGAGATCTCGATACCGGCGTCCTTGAGTGCCCGGTTGAAAATGCTAGTGGCCAGAGGCACGCAGCCTCCGCAGCCCATGCCACACTTTGTCGAAGATTTCATCTCTCCAAAGGAACGGATACCGCCGGACTTTACACACCCCACAATGTCACCCTTACTGACATTATGGCAGCTGCAGACTTGAGCATCATGAGGCAAATCGTCACCTTCCTCCTCGCCCTCTTTTGCAGCCCCAATAATAAATTCGGCTGGGGGTTTCTCGATGGGCTTGCCTGTATTGCAGAGGGCGACGAGCTTGACGTAGTCTTTAACATCGCCAACCATCATGCCTCCCAGTATGTATTTGCCATCTGCGGTGAAAATGTATTTCTTGTAGACGTCCGAAAATGGATCTCGATAAATGAGCGCTTTGACCTTCTTCTTTATGTCATCCGGCGTGGGAGGCGTTGCCAGAGCCTTTCGAGCCGCATGCGCACTCGTAGCCCCTGGTAGTGGTTTACTGATCTTCCCCTGATCTGCAAAGAAATCACCAAATGAGGCGACATCCACACCCATAAGCTTGAGTTTTGTACTAATATTCGGGGATTTCATCTCTCTCTTGCTGTGATAGGACCCTTCTGTCAAGTTGAAAGCGAGAATATCAGCCATTTCGACACCGGGAGCTATTAAACCAAACGTTTCTCCGAGGAAATTGGCACACTCTCCGATAGCGTATACATTGGGCAGATTCGTACGGAGTTGGCTGTCGACAGTAAAACCACCACTCTGGCCATCCGTGTCTATTGGAATGCTTCTGGCGAGATCATCTCGAGGTTTAATTCCGACAGCAAACACAACCATGTCGATGTCGTATGGTTGATCCGGTAACCCATCCTGTCCCTGAAGAAGTAGGCCAGTGAGTCTCCCTTCGCTGTTCCACAGGAGATTTCGAACTCGGGCTTGAATCAAAACTTCAACGCCTAGACTCCTAACTTTCTCCAGTACCAGCATGCCACCTTCCTGATCAAGCTGGCGACTAAGTACCCAGCGGTTTCTTTCTACTAGGACAACCTGATCGACTTCTCCAAGATCTAGAAGAGCCTTAGCTGCTTCTAAGCCGAGAAGTCCACCACCAATTACAGCGGCCTTGCGAATACGGCGCCCAATAACGGTGGGGGCACTGATGGCATAGTCAATGATATTGTCGAGGTCCTTTATTTTTCTATATACAAAACAACCCCTGGTGTTTTGGAATTGTTTTGATGAGATATAAGGCGGTAAGGCTGCGTCGGAGCCTGTGGCGAGGATGCACTCATCATAATGGAACTGTCGCCCGTTGGCCGTTTTAAGACATTTTGCCCGAAAGTCAATCGAAGTAACAAGATCCGAAGTATGATATGTAAGCTTTCCTTTGGCATGTGATGAATACCATTCCAATGGATTGAGATAAAGGCTTTCAGTTGAGCGATTCGTAAAGTACTGTGTGAGGCCAACACGATTGTAGGCGATATATGGCTCCTCGCCAAAGACAGTAACCTCCCATTCGTCGCGTCCACTGTCCAAATCGTACTTGAGAAGCTTTTCGATGAAAGAAATACCAACCATGCCAAGGCCAACAACAGCAGCATGCTTCTTAAGCCTTGGCTGGATGCTTTCTGGCTGAGAATGCATACCAATAACAATACTATTCGTCATATGCTTTAAGCTTGAGAATATTTAGGCATATGGAATTTCCAAAGAGCGTAGCATTTTCATCTCATTTAATTGATTCATGTTATCAGAGATGCAAGATCAACTTTTCAAGCCTCTCCACAACAGGGTAGCGAATACCCATAGACGGCGGGAGACATAACGACATTGTTGACTCTCCGAGGACTTACGCATGACAAAATAGGAATATTCTGCTGAAGCCGTCAGATAACATTGCTATACTTTCCATCTCCTCGGAGAAGTTCAAAATATATATCAGCGTCACATCTGCTGCTTAGAAGAGTTATCAGATAAGATGAAGATATCATAGTGTAGAATTCGCGCTCCGCTAGAGGAGATAGATAACAACATAAAAACACCGATACCAGTGATCTGTAATCGTAGTATAGATAAGAGCTATGCGCTAATTTAAGAAAATAAAGGTCCCTAGTACGTTTGAGGAGGTATTCATTGTTATCAGTTTCTAGCACAGATTCATGATATGCACTTATCTTGCATGTTAAATCTCCGATCAGCGTCCCAGCAAGTCCGCGGAGAAACACAATCGAGATAGCGATTTAGGGACCCAGTATAACGTACCCAGTATGTTTGAGCATAATCGGAGCAGACAAGGGAAATAAGGGAAAGGAGTCCATTTGCACAACATTAAACTTGGCTGTCGATAGAGAAAAGGCCAATGGGAAGCGGCTAGTATAGGGAAGCAATTAGCTGGAACGTTATCGCTGGATCCTTATTGGCTAGGCTAGGCCGCATAACTTTAGCAGAACCCCCGGGGTGATCTTAGTCCAGACTGTAGACTGTGGGGCTGAAAATAGTGCAGCGAATCGCGTGTTGTAGATCCGTCAACAACATGACAATGCTGCTAGCCAGGCTTGTTGACGGCGCGGCTGCAAAGCAATGCACACATTTTACGAAATGAATTTCTTTTCCGGGCTGTCAATATTTTTTGTATTGTCTCGAATAGTGCCTATGTAATAGCATCTCCGGCTTACGGGGTGATCATTGATTGTACCTCATCTTCTTTCAAATTTGTCTGTCCAAAAGATTTGGCGCATGAGAAATTTAATATTAGACATTATCATACCTGTATCCTACTCTTTTGCATACATTGGCATATTGTGCCACTATTCACAGTCAATAGTCTTTCTTTTCTGGCTCTCTAACTTATATCTGCCCTGTCTTTATACAATACAGGCATTATGGCACCAAGTCAGTTGGCATCAGACACCGGCTCCGAGAGTGGAGGGGAGTGGCCATCTTCACTCCCATCGTCGCCTGAGCCATCATTTCCAGCAACGCCAGCGTCATGCAGTCCACGGCTGAATGCTAAGCCACAAGTAATTCAACGAGTGTGTGAGGCTCCGTTGGATTCTCCTGCCTCCTGCCACGATGTTGCTCCACTCCCTCCCATCCCTAGTACCGAGCCCTTACAGCCACTGTCCACCGACTCTCAGACTCCAGACCATTGGATTGCACGAGACAGCCGCATGATTCGACTTACGGGAAAGCATCCGTGCAACGTAGAGGCTCCCTTATCCGCGTTGTTCAACGCCGGGTTTCTTACTCCCCAAAACCTCTTCTATGTTCGCAGCCATGGAGATACACCACGTATCAGTGTCAAACAAGCGCAGGAATGGAAACTGCGGATCCATGGGCTTGTTGAGAGAGAGATTGAGTTCTCGATTCAAGAGCTCAAAGATAAATTCCAAGTTGTCACGCTGCCGGTAACTCTTGTTTGCGCCGGTAACCGTCGAAAGGAGCAGAATATGGTTCTCAAGGGACTTGGATTTAATTGGGGTGCGGCGGGTGTATCTACCGGTCTCTTTACAGGTGTCTATCTGGCCGATATTCTGGATTATTGCAAGCCACGGAACCCCCTTCTCTCTTCTTACCTCCCCTGCGATCAACATATTCCTGGACGTGCGCGTCATGTTATCTTTGAAGGCGCCGACGAGCTTCCCAAGGGGAAATATGGTACATCACAGAGGCTCAGCTGGGCATTAGATCGTAGCAAGGGTATGCTCATATGTTGGGGCCTCAATGGCGAAGACCTTTCCCCTGATCATGGCTATCCTCTTAGATTAGTTGTGCCCGGCCAGATTGGTGGGCGAATGGTGAAATGGCTCCAACGAATCGAGATCTCTGACCGCGAGAGTCAGCATCACTTGCACTTTTTTGATAACAAGCTTCTCCCCACTACGGTGACGGCCGACCAGGCGAGGAAAGAAGACAAATGGTGGTACGACCCCAAATACATCATTAATGAACTCAATGTCAATGCAGCAATTTGTTTACCGTCCCACAACGACACAATTCAGCTAGCATCTGATACCTCTACGATGCAAGTTCTAGCCGTAGAGGGATATGCGTACACTGGAGGCGGGCGACGTATTACCCGCGTCGAGGTCACACTTGACGATGGAGAAACTTGGAGGCTCTGTGATATAAGATACCCAGAGGATCTCTACCGCATGTATCCTGTTGGAAAACACCCTTACTATGGCAACATTGATTTGACCATGACCGACATGAGTTTTTCTTGGTGTTTTTGGAAGATTGAAGTTGATGTCAAGTCACTACTATTAAATCGGAATGCCGGATTTATTGCCGTACGCGCAATGGATGAAGCCCTGAGCATCATGCCGCGGGACATGTATTGGAATGCCACCTCAATGATGAATTCCTGGTGGTTTCGCGTTGCCATGTACAAGGAGAATAATGGCCATAGTATTCGATTCGAACATCCAACTGTACCAGGTAATTCCAACGGTGGTTGGATGCAGCGTATGAATGAAGCTGGAGTAAATCCGAGGTATCCTCGCCTTACCGAGGATAATTTATACACGGGCCCCTCTTCGAGTTCCATCGCAGCGACTACAGCTTTATCCCAAGGAAGTCGAATTGATGAAGCTGCCAACAGCATAATGATCAACCCAGATAGGATAACAACAATCGTTACGACATCTCAGCTCGCAGAGCACGCTGACGGAGAGGGCCCGTCTCCTTGGTTCGTCGTCGACGGACATGTATATGATGGGACGGGTTTTCTGGCGTCTCACCCTGGTGGAGAACAATCCATTCGTCTAGTCGCTGGCGAGGATGCCACTGAAGATTTCATGGCCATTCACTCCATGGATGCCAAGAAATTGTTGAAAGATTACCATATTGGAAAGCTTGAACAACCTTTATCGCCGTCAACAGGTCCACTTTTAAAATCCGATAACCAATATGACCCATCTAAGGCGTTTCTTGATCCAAAAATATGGAAGAAAGTTCGCCTGGTGCACAAGCGAGAGATCTCTCATGATTCGCGAATCTTTCGGTTCGCCCTGCCTCATGAAGATCAACTTCTCGGTTTACCAGCGGGTCAGCACATTTACCTGCGCGTAAAGAAAGTTGACAAAGCAAGCGGTAAAGTCGAGATTGTGCAGCGAGCTTACACTCCGTATAGCTCCAGTACCCAGCGCGGCTACATCGAGCTTCTGATCAAAATTTATTTCCCGTCCAAAAACTTAATACAAAGTGATACCGAATTTGTTGGAGGCCAAATGACCATGTTGCTCGAAAACATGGCAATTGAAGCAGATACGGATGCGCCAATGGTAGAATTGAAGGGCCCAATTGGCCACTTTACATATCTTGGCAATGGGCAAGTACAGTGCAAGCCTAACAGTCGTATTCGCGTGGTTAAAAGATTGGCCATGATTGCTGGTGGCAGTGGAATTACCCCAATATGGTCCACTCTCAAAGCTATTGCAGACGAATATTCGGCTTCTCCAACTTCAGCCCATCAAAACCCAGTCGAAGTCTGGCTCATCTATGGTAATCGAGAGGAGAAAGACATACTTATTCGTGAGGAGCTTGACCATCTTTCACGCCATATGGAAGGAAACTTGCATATATGGCATGTCCTGAGTTCTAACGAACCAAATGCGGACTGGACACTTGGAAGAGGACATATTGACTTAGAGTGCCTCCAACACCACCTTCCGTCAGCGCCTTCCCCTATGACTGGTACGGACCACGAGGATACATTGGCGTTAGTTTGTGGCCCCCCAGCTATGGAATCGGCTGTCTCTGCAGGATTGCAAAAGCTTGGGTGGAATGTTGAGAAAAATATTATATTCTTTTAGTATATGTATAACATTAATAGCAATATCATTCAACATTTGCCTTCGTTATATTCGGCAGTCTGTTTGCTAAGTCTGTTGGCTACATCCACATTAATCCTATGCCTAAACGAACTATAAGCCACTTCTTAGTAGATTGTTTTTCATTACAACTAGGAGCAGGATGCAATTATCCTTACTTCTAATGCCAATGCCCCTAGATTTCTACCAGGCAAGTTTCAGCAAAATGGTATACGTGGCTTGTGACATGTAGCCAAGAAACAGTGACTGTGCGTAGCTCTGATCATTTTCTAAACAGCGCATCAAATGGTTCTTCTCAATGAGTCATGTTGGTCTATAGGCGTGCTGTGCTTAAGCCGAGTCTAGAGGCTATTTAGAAGACTGCGAATGCGGACAATGCGCATCGCCGCCCGTCCTTTCTTTGTTACGGATATTACCCTAAGTGGTGTAAAAAAAGAAGCCACTTTAACACAACAGGATAATTTCTATTACAATCTGCGAAATACGGAGAGATGATGCTTGAGAGTCGTGCCTGTTGATGTTGGGCTTTGGTCTCGAGACAGTGGACAATAATTTCATTATCTACTAATACTACTTTAATAGATGAGAAAATTATAAAAGTAAATAAAAAATGAACCCAACGATTATAAATATCCCAGTCCAAGCCATTGCTGCTCTTTGCAATATTTTATGAACAAACATATCTCTTGCCGCAGCCTCGTTGACATGTGGAAACGGCTGGTTTGGGATTCGCTTACCTAGGAATTTACACAGTGGCTCCCATCCAGATCCAAGCTCCACCTCAAGTAAACGCTCCCTTGGAACTGTTTTACGCACATACTCGTTGTGTTGCTCAATCCAGAACGGATTGCATTTGTGTCCGGTCCTATCTTCAGCTCTTTTAAACCCATTAGTGAATCATTTGTCATAGTGGAGAAGACCACTGAAAATATCTCACGATTCAAAGAACCCTCGCGCTGTATCAACAAACCATCGGATACCGGGCAGCGGCATAACTATATACCCCATCACATTGTTTCCTGCGTTATCAGCCACTGACTTGAAACTTTTCCACCAGGCTGCTGGGGGTCGTGTGACAAGCACGAATTTGGCGTCTGGATATAATTCCATGAGCTCTGGAATGAAATCGGTGGCAGCCACATCAGTTGCGCCAACAAAACCCGAGAAAACATCTTCCAACGCCTTAAACAACTGCGTACGATTGCCTTCGCGCCGATATCGGTATACTTGATTCCATTTTCTGCAGTACGCTTTGCGATGTTAACAAATACATCTAAAAAAAAAAAATTAATGAATTCATTAGCTTGTCTTACAATCTTCTCGATTGAAAAGCTGAGTAGCTGTGTGGTGTACTGGTCCATTAAGGAGCATTTCTAGAGCATATGCGTAGGACAATGTGCCGGTTCTGGAGAATCCAGCACCTATTACCTCCAATTTCCGCCTTTTATCTGTCGGTACAGATGCTACTTGTCCCATTATTTGCGAAAAGTGTTTATAGCAACTTGAATAATGATTACCATGCTATAATGGAAAAAAGAAAGGGAATACTGTAAATCTACATAAGGATTATAAAGCAAGGTAAACTTTATCAATGTAAGCTTATGGATATGACCTGCTAATGTTATGTATTTCTTTTAGTAGTAAAGTTAAAGTGGCTCTTGAGTACTTTTTGAAAGGTATTTTACCTTCAGTGTACCTACCTGTACTGTAGTATTTACTTTAAGAGGTATAGCCTAGGTATATAGGAATAGCTTACTGAATAACAGCTAGTCAAACTACTGGCATCCCTATCTGCATACACATATTTTCCTCCCACAGGTTGTATAGGTATTATGCACTACCTTGCACACCATACTATAGTGCTGCTTAATCCGGAGAGAATCCATAGAGTACTCATTGTAGCATGGACACATTGGTAATATTGCCTAACCTCCTGGGTTCTTGCAGGGCATTATGGGCTGTAAGTATTCCCGTTTATTATGACCTGAGCAACACACATTAGTCCGCGAGACAGGACACTTCGTCCTGCATGCAGCAAGCCCGACCATCTTGACCAGTAACCCCGCAAATCGCGCTCCTTAAGCCCTCAATTTCTCCCCACTTGCTAGGCCTACAACTCGCCATATTAATTGCCTGTACTAGGGGGGTCTCCAAAACGACCACAACCCCGTGCTAGCTCCACATAGCACGGGGGGCACGTTAAATAGGAAAATGCGCGATGATAGGGAAAATAAAGATATATTAAAGCCCTGCTAATTTATATAAGAAAATAAATACCTTTATTAATAGAATTACTTTAGTATTTTTATAAGGACGCTGCTTAAGTCAGCCTTAGAGGAAATAATACTATTATTATAAAAATAATGTAAAAATAAAGCTATAAGCTGTTACATTCATCCTTTATTTATTTAAAACCTTCATCAGGCTCATTAACAATATCTTCTTCTATTATTTCTATGCCATTAACTTTATAGGCAAGCTCAGCTTGGTTCTAAGCCTATTTTTCTGCTTCTATAACTGTAAAATATACTGCTTTTTTAACTATCTTGGGGTTATAGGTCTATAACTATAGGACCAGCAGCATGCCTTTAAAATTATAATAAAAATAAAGCTTATAATAAAGACTATAGAAATAACTTATAGAAGTTATAGAATTTAAAAAAGCTTTATAATTAAATTTTATTAAGTAGTTATTAAAAGTATAAGATTAATTAGCATAGGGTTTTTTAAGGCTATTTTAAACCTTTAACCTAACCTTTTATAGCTAATGCTGCAGGAAGGGAACTTTATTATATACTTCTTTTGCTTATAGTCTTTAATCTTTAGCTTCCTTTACAATATGCCTTTTATAATTATCCTTTAATACCCTAACTCTTAAGTCATTAAGACTTAATAGTTTAAAGTTCCCTATAACTTATAACCTCTTTATTAACTATAATTAAGCAAAGCTTTTCTCCTTTAAATGCTTTATTTTATTAATTACAGTAATATTATTAAATATAAGTATATATAATGCCTTTATTGCCTTTTTAAATATATATAAAACTAAGGAAGTTAAAGGGACTTAAGAAAAAATAAAAGCTTTAATATAATATTTAATATAACTATTATACTGTTATATTTAATGTATATGTAATTTTAGCATTATAATATAAGTCTAATTAAACCTTATTATTAAAGGAGTTATAAAGGACTTTTTATTAATTTCTTTATTAAATTCTTATTTATTTTCTTTATTGTTTTCTTTATTAGCTTTTTTATTAAGTTTTTTATTAAATTAATCACTAGTCTAGCTTTTATTTAAGCTTAAAGTTAAGGCATTTAAGCTTTCCTTATCCTAGTTAATAAAGCCAGGGAGTTTGCGTTTATTAACTTCCTTTATTAATAAAGATAAAGCATTTTAAAGCTAGTCTAAGACTATAGCTAGATTATAAAGAAAATAACTATATTTCTCTTAAGCTAATAAAATAACTGCCTTTTTAAATATTTTATTATATATCTTTTAAAAATTAAAAAAAAAATTAATTTTTTTATATTTAAAATTACTATTAAATATCTTATAATAAAGGATTTCTTAATGCTAGTATTTAAATAAGCAGAAAACGCCTATATTAAGTAGTTAAAGATAATATATAAGGTGCAGCAGTAGAAGGAAGAGCATAATATTATATTATATTATAAAAGTAATAAATTTTAATATAAAATAATTTTTATAGCTATTTATTAAAAAAATATACATTTCTAAAAGATCCTTTAGTCTTAAGTGCCTCTTAAAGTACTTAAGCTATTTTATTATAATAATATTAATTATATAACCTTTAGGATTTATTATAAGTATAACTTTATTATTAAGGCTGTTCTTAATCTAACAGCAAGGAATCTAAACGCCAGAGAGTATTAAAAAAAAAGGAATCCAGTCTCCAGCAGCAGAAATGCCCTTTACTGCTATTACTATATGTTAATCATTAGAATTAATAAGAATTAGGTTTTTAATAATATTAAAGGTAAACAGGAACATGCCCCTTTAAAGGGAGCCTACTATAAAGCCAGTTTTATTAAAATTTTATATATTGTTTTTCTTAACCTTATGTTTAATAAAAAAATATTTTTAAATATAGAAAAATAACTTAACTATACTTTTATTTTATATAGCCTTTTTTTTAATATTCCTTAAGGTAGATTTATATATATAAAACTTATTTTTATACCTCTTTATAAACCAGTAAACCTAGGAGAGTAATATTTTTTTTATATTGCCTTTAGCTATAAATACTGCATTTATATAATAGTTTAAAGCACAAAGATAAATATAATAACCTTAAGTAACCCTGCAGTAAGCTTAAATAAGTATTTTTTATTCCTCTGCTTTATTAAAAAGAGTGCAGTTACTGCTGTTTTTTTTTTTTAGATATATGCCTTAAATATAATTTTAAAGTCTTTTATATAGTACTTTAAAGGCATCGGAAGCTTATTTAATTAAAGTATAAAATTATATTTTATATAGCTTAGCTACTATAATAATATATTACTTAATATTTTCTAAAGTAATTTATATAATTTTTAGTAAATTTATAATAGAATTAATTTATTTTTTAATTATAGATAGATTTTTATAAGATATATTTATTGCAGTAATTTTATAGAAAAATATAAAAAAATAGCATTATTATAATAAAAATAAAATACAGTATGTTTATTTATTTTATTAATAATGCAGTATTAATTGCGGCGTTGCATGATGTTATTATTTTTTAATAGCAATATACCTTATATTTAAGGGGTTAAAATTTTAAAATACTGAAGGTATATAATAAAATATAGGTACCTATATTTATATGGGAAATGCACTATAAATGATGTATCTTTTTTATTTTCCCTATTATTGCGCATTTTTCTATTTAACGTGCCCCCCGTGCTATATAGAGCTAGCACGGGGTTGTAGTCGTTTTGGAGACCCCCCTAGTATCGCTCTGCTGCAACCTATTTAATTAAAGTTTGTAGAAATGTCTAGGCCCACATTTGATGGGCGAAACATGCCGCGTCATCCATCCTGAAGACATGTCGGAACCCGCTTTGGCCATATCCACCTCATCTAAATTACCATTATGGCTCACAATTTCGTTATGCAGAATTATTGCGTCGTTCATAGTGTCCGATATTTAGGCGTCAATACGGCTACAGACGCTGAGATCGAAAAGGGCCAGCTGTAAATGCGAGAGCGCGTTGACGACTTTTGGGCGGGATATAATGAATTTAAGCCAGAGAGCTCTGTGCATCGTAAGAACTGTGTAATAGTCCTATCTACTGGGAACGAAATTATTCATGCATAAATCAGTGCCTCAAAGATCTACTCCTGGTGGTCATTTCTAAAGCAAGGAGCATATCCATATAACGGCTGCCTTTGATCCAGGTTCGAGGAATGGCGCTCAATATTGCTCTGCCCTCTTTCAAAACCAACGCTGGGCCTTCAGGGCCACAAATGTCGCCCACCCCACTCACGAGGGCACTCATCCTTGAAATCCGACTAGAGCTCACAAACAGCTGGACCATTTCGTCGTCATTCGGTCGATCTAGGCGGATGAATGTGGGGTCGCGGTCGCGGGAGTATACGTGCTGCCTGAGCGGCAGCTCTACATCAGATTGCGAATTATTGCAATCCAAGCCTCCCTCCACGGAGATGGTGTCTTCTTGATAAGACGAACTTCGTCTCGGAAGTCTAGTTGCCGCATAACCGGTGAGATCTTTGTTCTTGGGCGTGTAGAACCCATATGCCCAGAGTGCCAAGGTTGCGTAGAAGGCCGAGAGAGGGTCGTAAAACGTTGCTCTTGAATATCGTCGAATGTGCCAAAAGACACAGCCACTATGGATGACCGCTAATCTAGCTTTAGACTAATGGAGATAGTTTAGTAAAAAACCGGCAGTTGTGGATGTAATCGTTGCAAGAATATGAAACGCACACTATCTCTTTGTGTCCATTCACGAATGTAGTGCTCAGCTGCTTCCACCGCCTTCGGACTATGATTATATCCGATACCGGTCTCATTAGCATTTGAAACAGGCAACGCTGACTCCGCAATTGTCATCAATGCCACGCGCGGAACGAGAAGCACTATTCGAGAGTAGTGAAGATGTAAAACCATTGGGTGCTCCATTCCCGAAAGGGACGCTATTTTCGCGTTTGCGGCCCAATGTAAAACATCAATGCAATCCAGGGCGGCATTTCTCCAATCGGATGTAGCATTTGAGTGCTGTACAGAATGGCCCAAGACTGTGAGTTTCCGATCCCCTGAACCTAGGGACTCAGACGAAGATACCGGGAATATGCTTGTGCTTTCGGAGGTTGGAGTCCATAATGCCAGCTTCCGGCTGTGATATATAGTTATATTCGCAATCTCGTTGTACAGCTCATGCAGGATGATACAGTGCGAGAACTCTCCAAGTTCGGGCTTAACAGACTTGGTCTGAAACAGTTCGTTCGTAGCTTCCCCGAGCGATGGATTTCCTAGACCTCTGTCAATTGTCACTTCATGGGTATAATGGGTGGGTCATATTTAAATAAGCCGTACCCTCTGTTTTTAAAAATAATTGCATCCAATCCTCGTGAGTTCGAGCTTGCCATAGCTTTTCTTGGGGGAGATCAAAGTCGGCAGCCACACCGCAACCGTGATCGATGCGGAGGTTAAAGTGATAGATCATCATAATATGTAGTACCTATTGAGTTACTTTAGTGATGATGAGTTTGCACAGAAAGGTAAGAATAGTCATACTCGAGTCGTGAAATATAAACGGCGCCAGCTTTCGGCCATGACCCATCCGTCCCAGTCATGAGATTCTAGCACTCTATCGTTGCGATTTCTCATCAAATGTTCATGACTCTTCGAATTTACCAATGATAAGTTAAAGCTCCAAATACTTATTACTACAGAGTCAAGCTTCTCGGATTCTGAATAGCAGAATCCAATGTGATTCAATATTCGAGCCTGTAGCATTGGCAAATCGGTCATCTCATCTTGAGGACGCTCAGATTCTTGCTGTAACAAAACCTTGCAAAATTCATGAAGAGGTGGAAAGCACTCTGTTAGTTCCTGTGACTGACAATAGTGTGAGCCAATCGCAGCGATTGCGACTGTCAATACCCAAGATTTATTCATGTCCAAGGACGGTAAGTGAATAAACGGGAGGATTGGATCGAAACATTTGAAATATAGCTTTACAAACAGATTCAACAGTGGTAATGACGGAAAGTTTTTCGTTCCAAAACAAGGCATATGTAACTGTGTTTGGAGACAGATCTCGTCGAAATGTTGAAGAATTATGTCATACGTAAAGCTGGATATCGCCATGGCAGGATGGTAGGCACCATCATCGGATACGTCCATATTTTCGACGTCTTGAAATCCCACCTGCTCATTTAGTGTAGTAATGTTCATACGTGGGTGATCTGTTTGAGGGAATTCGTTTTTACGAAATATGCCATACCGCTTTGCTCGGGTTGAGCAAGCATTTCGCGCACCGTTGGAACTTGTCGCATACAAATCTCCTCGTCTGTAATTTGCAGAGGGTGTGCTCTTTGACGGAGGAAAGTCGGCCTTAGATATATTTGGTGAAGTGCCATTGGATTTCTCGTCATCAATATCTATCAGAAGAGGGATATCCAAGTTCCATGACCCCCCTTTGGGTGACCCATTTGTTGCATTGCTGCTATCGATGAAAAGCCATTGCGCACCGTCATTCTGAGAAAGAGGGATAGTTTCGTCCAGTATGGATCCTAAATTTGATTCGATTAATTCGTCAAACGGCAGCCAGTTTATTGGTTGGTTTGAGACCTCCACACCCGACTCAAGCCCATTGTTTCGGTATGGCCACTGCTGAACAGATCCAGAAGGATCATGATCAGAAGTTGAAATAGACGCGAGTTGATTATTAGAGATTGTGCAGGCTGCAATGGGTACCCATGGAGCATTTTGAATTGCGGTCGTACAACTCCCGGTCGATGTACTGGAAGCGTTTTCAGACTTACTATGAGTTCCATCAAACATAAGAGCAGCTAGGGTATGGTTATTGACGCTGATATCTCCTGGTGTAAGTGCCAGATCAGTGGCAGAAATGTTCTCCGTATTAGGTTGCCTCGCTGCATTATTGTTTCCTCCAATAGAGAGCTGGTCATATTTATCATGTTGCTGGTGTCCCGGATATACACAAGCTAGGCCCCGTCGAGAGCATCGCATACATGGCAGTCCCTTGCTGCACTTCTCTCTTGCTTTAGCGCAAGCATAACAGGCTCGAGACTTGCTTGGTACGAAACCATTAGAATGTTTCTGAACAGGCGTCTGTGATGGGCCGGCAACATGAGCTGCTCGGTGTTTGGATAAAATATCACTGACCGCCGTATCAGCCCAGTACATGTTGAACATGTCAATATAGGTAATATAGGGAAGACAAAACCTTCTGGCGAATTTCTTACTACAAACATGACAAGCGAATCGCTTTGAAGTATCATGATTGCGAAGATGCCGCCTCATGTGCTCTGGTCGGATGAAGCGGCGGTTGCATTCTGGGCATTGAAGTTTTCTGCCATCAATATTCGAGGTAGAATCAACTGCCGACTCTTGCATTGTCTTGACGATAGGACTAGAAACCCTGCTGATAACCTAATAGCTCTTGTGAGTTGATTCCATATCCCTTGGATTCGACATGCTACTATCTACGAAATTAAAGATTGCAGGTTAGAAGACGAGACTCATCTGTGGGGTCAAGGAAAATAGCCGCTTTAGCATAAATCTAGGGATTGCACTTCCCCACAAACCCAACTTTGTATGAATAGTCACCGGATACGGCAAAGTACAGCTCAGCGTTTACATGCGCACCAATCAACCTCACCGCATCCGAATTTGGCCTCATTGCCAGCCATTTTACAATAGTCTGGAATTGCCTCCGTGTTACAGATTCTGGATCTATTAATGCTAGCTCAACTCGGATGACTTCATAGCGAGTGACTTCGAGGTCGCTAGCCTACGATGCCGAATATTTTTGAGCAATATTGTCTGCAAACTCCAGTTCAATTGCCTACAACATTCTCTGACATTCTCGCGACCGACCGCGGAGTCATTCTTCGCCCCGGCGCAACAAAACCCGCATCTCTCCGTTACCGCCTCTGTTGGCTCTTAAAAAATAAGGTATAAGAATAGCGCTCTTTTCAGATGTGTCCTCGCCAATGGATGCATCAAAAATCGGCCCAGCTGTTGATGCAGATATGTCCTCTCTTGTCAACCAACATTTTGTGCGTAGCCCAATATAGTCCTCTCCATTTGCCATGGATTTTGCTTCCTCTGAGATGGGCTCGCTTTTCTTGAGAGCAACATCGCGAAAATAATTATGCTGCCACGGGTTATCAGTATCTTCCATACAGTACACAATCGGGCCTCGCGCGATCCCAAGAGCGTGCTGAGCGGTGTAAGGATGTGGTGAGATATAACGAGGCTCAAAGCCTCCAATGGAAATGGAAAACTTTTTGTGAACGTTCGTATAGCTAGGCTGCAAAGCCAAATAGCCTTTCTCAATTGAAAAGTCATCTAAAGCTGGGGAAGGTGTTATTTCGAACTGTTCGTGACACCATGATGGCAAGCGAAGTCGAATCGTAACACTCCGAGACTGCGAAGATAGATCCAAGGATACATGGCCATCCCACGGCCAATTGGAAATCTGCTGCAAAGAAACGTTTTCAAGCAATGCCGTGGTATATGACAGATTAGCTGTTGTGTAGAGATGGATATTTATCGCAACCTTCGTTTCGCTTTCTTGTACGTGCCAGAGGTAACCCCCAAGGCTGCCAAAAAGTCTGGTCAAGTTTGGCGGACAGCAAGCACACCAAAACCAGTCCTCGCGTATGCTCTTATCAATATCAGAGCTGGCCAGCTGGTTAATGTAGCTAAATTGTTTTCCATCAAGACTCATCGCAGTCATCACGTTGTTGTAAAGACAGAGCTCCATGATGTCAGAGTAACTTGAGTCGAGGTCATAAGAAAGCAGTCTCTCGGCCAACATCATGATGCCAATGGAGGCGCACGTCTCTGCATAGCAGCCGCCCTCATGCGTACCGGTAGGTAGGAAATAATCACACCCGAATCCTTCCCATTGTTTGATTGCTCCAATCCCGCCAGTTACGTACATTTTCTTACCCACCATATTGGTCCACAATCGAGACACAGCTTCCGCCCATGCATCAGGGTTACTTAACGTCTTACCACCTTTATGGTGTAGCTGGACCATGTCAGCCACAGCTGTTAGCAAATACACTGCACGTACGGAGTGGCCTTCGATGGTTTCCTGCTCTAAAATAGGCTTGTGGGCTTGGCAGTACCAGTGAGAATTCCTTTCGGGGTATGTGTTGGGTCGAGTGTACGGATCTTCCTTTCTTTGTTGAGCTTCCCAGTCAAAATAGTGCATTCCATGTTGGCCAGACGGACTTCCCCGCTCTTGAAGGAAGTATTGGGCCAGTTCGTAGGCTTCTTGGGATTTGGTGACCGAATAGAGTCTGAACAGAGCCATTTCAATCTCTGGGTGGCCGGGATATGCATGCAATTGAGCCTCACTAGTTCCAAATGTGCAGTGAATCAGGGAAACGTATTTGATAATAGGATCCAAGAAGTGATTGTTTCGGTAGTATTTGTGATGTGCGAGAGCTGCTTCAATGAGATGGCCTGCATTGTATCTATCTACTTAATTAGCTTGTGGAAGTCACTCATGTATAGAATACTGACAACTCGTGCATATCGCGAAGATTTGACCACCTCTTTTGGGGCTCGACAACAGTATAATGCACATTGATATATCCGTCAGGTTGTTGAGCGTCACGTATCATGTCAACTAATTCCCGGACAGCAAGGTCAATACTAGCATCGTATTCTCTCTGTAAAAAATAACAGGCGCTCTCAATCCATTTTGCGACGTCACTATCCCAGAATAGATGATAGGGAACTGGCCACATGGACTTATCATCATAAATCGGATGCCATTTGAGCTTAAAGCAATCGTATCTTCCGGTCTGCTTAAGCTGTTCTAATTGAGCGCGCAGTGTAATGCTAGCAATTATTTGTCTTCGTCTTGAAAGAATAGTCTCGCCAAAAAACGAGGTGTTATCGAATACAGACTGAGGATGTGACATATTGACGAGCTTGATGGTGCGCACCGGAGTTCCAATGCTTCGGTTGATTGAAGCCAATAGGGCCTTTGATGTACTTATTGAAAAAATCCAGTTTTGGAAAATCGTGTCTAGAAAGTTTGCTTCCTTCTTCTATTCCGAACCTTTGCTACTGAATACTCTATTATGCGCTCGGGGTATTTACTCCCGAGAGACATCGTTTCTGCTTCCGTATTTTCCCCTGCTCTTCTAACTCGGAGCCTTCTCTTAGAGTTCCATCATCAAGGCTGGCCGAAAGCTTGATCATGGCAGGGTTAAGCATGCGCTTTTTGGGATTCCGGTGGACCCTTGTTTAGTCCGAGGGTATATCGATGCCCCATGTGGTAGCTCCGGTGGATCGTGGGGACATCTGGTGCCACACCTAGCGTCGATTTCTCCAGGGTGTACTCTAAACCGTCATGGATGAACGCTGTCCGATGTTGATTCACCAGATACAGCCTAAAGTGTATACGACTGGATCCACTCTGGTTTTCTCAATAGCAATGCTACACCGTTTAATCCAAAATCGGTGAGTATTATTATAATTTAATAGTTCATAAAAATCTGAAGTCACTGCAGCAGTGTGGCTTAATAGTGCCATTCATGTGATGCAATTAGATATATTTATGTCGTCAACGACGAGGATACAATCTGACAAGATGCGTACATGTATATGCAATACAACGAATCTCACTGATTTATAAAAGTCTGATTGCAAACAGTAGGTATTTATTTTTAGCGCTGTATCTCTTGGGGGTTCTTTTTTGTTTTTGAGTAGAACTCTCCAAATGCGATTTAATACTCCATTAAAGATCAAACTCAAATGCCCAACCCGCTATAGTGTCAGTTTGATATATAGGAAAAGTTAAAGATCCGGCACTATACGAGTGCGCAACAGTATTCCGAAAAACAGGCGCTGCTTGGACTGCAAGCGGGTTGCTTCCATCAAATTCCCATGTACTGATAGAGAGGGATCCAGATGCTGGTTTACCCACAGATGTTAACCCATTAAGAGTAACATACCAAGTTCCGCTCCTAAGCTTTGTACCAACAATTAGTCGCACGCGATCCTTTCCGATGGTGGCATATACATCTAGATGCGTGTCACCAGATCTCTCGACAGTAGCTCGGTTGCCAGTCATGTTCGTGGCATAATAATGATAGACCCAGTAGCCTGGTGCTGGGGCGTAGTCTGTAGCCGCATAGTTCTTCGGATCGGCTTTCTTCGCTGCGTGTTCTGTTTAGCAAACTCTATTCATTTTCATACAGCAAGCCATTTTGGCCTGGAGATTGCCTTACTGAGAAGATTGGCAAAAAGATCGTGCAAAACTGTTCCGCTCTGCCAATTTCCTAGTAAACCAATAAAATCGAAGCGCTCCAGTCCAGCAATCCACCAAATATATGACCCAGGGACCATCTCTTTGTATTGAGCATATTCGTTGACATTTATCTGCCTTTGTGGAGCATTGTAAGTCTTAAGAAGCGCTGAGAGACTCGCATTTGTGAAAGTCGGGTCATTATCAGTGTCGGTCTCGCTCCCTTCAAGATGATACGTATACTGGTCAGGAATCGTGTTGTTGCCAGCCACTTGGCGCAACCATTCCGTCCACCAGACATTTGTCGCTTTTGGACGAAGGGCCAAACTAGGGCCAACAATCTTCATGTTGCTGAACCTTGGATCCGAACGAATGATTTTATGCGTCCGGACATACAGGTCAATCCATTGCTGCATACCCCCCTTACCCTTCCAAAATACGCTGATATCAGGCTCATTCCATATCTCGTAAATTGTGCCGTCAATGGCGTTGTTAGTATAGAGATCATTCAACAGCTGGCGAACAAAATCTTCGTAGTCGTCCCATTTGCCGTTATCTCCAGGCCAAACGCTGCTGGCATTGGTATTGTCGGTTCCCCAGATATCATGTGCCAGCCAGCTTACTTCGGCATTATATTTACGACAGGCGTGGTAGTTTGAGAGCGATGAGAGAAACCGGCCGCGATATTCTCCTAATCCCCATACCCAACCACGATTGGGAGCGCCAAGTTGAGCCCCTCCAGTGCGGCAACTCCGTATATCGAGATCCGTCCAGCTGGCGTTCACAATTGTTAGTCACAATATATTGATTAAATGATGAATTCGGAATGAGTGGCAAGGAAGGAACTAGCTAACTAGTGGGACGGTATTTGCCCACTATTATCGGGAATACCATAGATAAAGCCAGATGCAGCATGTTTTGAAGGCCCCCGGGACGCTGCAAGGTTCACAATTGCCGTGTTATCTGCTCGCTGCTCTAGTATTGGTGAAGCATTGGCAGAGAACAGGCCCAAGGCAAGCCACAGAAGTGAAACCATAATGGCAGATACCAGTATTGAATTCAATGCCGAAGCAGGTGGTAAAGCTGCAAGTATGAGAACGGTTAAGATCCCCACCGCAGTTCATCGACACTCCGAGTATTTCAAGGGCACCAAGGCTATATACGCCAGAGACGGTTTCAAGAATGACATATTGTACCGTAATCATCAGCCTATGCGATGCCTAGAACCACTTGTGTCAGTGTGCATCTTAACCAATCACTGCCGTTCTGTATCCCACCGGGAGATTTCTCTGTCTAGCCGGAGTTCACCTGCCACATGTGTTGGAAGTGTGGAGATCGGAAGAGCGCCACCCGGACTGTTCCCCGCGCAACACGAACCTAGCAATGGTGAAGCTCCAGCCTGACTCCGGATGTTGCCAAGAATAACACTAAAGATGTAAAGGCTTCACCAATAGATATCTAGGGTATTATGCTATGTTTCTTTGGCAAAACTCCTATATTACATCGGTAAAGTTCTGTTAGACAACAGTGGGCATCAATGACTAGCACAACATAGTGCAATATCGTAGAACAAGCAATGGGCTTCTTAAAGGTCAGCATTGTCAATGTAAGAGAAAAAACCCATTCAAGTGTTAACATCTTTTTCTAGACTTTTCTTCCACCTGGCGATCGCTATGCAGCCCTCTTGCTTTATGGCATGGTACTATCGACATGCTTCAATGGCTACGACGCAGGCATCATGACTGTTATTCTTGCAGATAACCAATTTGTCGAGTACTACAGCGTTGATGCCAATCGCTCTGGAATTATTGCTTCCATACCTTGGGCAGCTACCGGTGTGTTTTTCTGCTACCTTATTCTTTATCGTTGACCAAATTTAAGGTGATCGAACAGCCTACTAATTTTCTCTCCGACTAGGCGTTGCGCAGCTCTTCATCGGAGGCACTCTTGCAGGCTATTTAGGGCGCCTTTGGGCACTCCGTATATCTATTGTTATCATGATCATTGGAGTCATACTGCAAGTCGTACCAAATACGTTCGGGGTCCTTATCCTGGGCCGATTGCTAAGTGGTCTTGGCTTCGGGTGCGTCTACATAGCAACTAGCCTCTATGGTAAGTTCTTATTCCTAGCTTTCACTATTTTGCCGTCCAATTTTAGGAGCTTACAAAAATACACAGTCGCAGAATGCTCTCCCAAAACGCTGAGAGGAAGTTTTGTCGGCACAGTCACACAATTTGGCTATCAGCTAGGAACCCTAATCGCGTTTTGGGCCGGCTACGGCATGTCCTTCTATGACCATCCATTCAACGTTGCCTGGCGTGTTTCAAATTTGATTCAAATTCCAATTGGTCTTGCCTTCATCTTCATATCTTTCTGGTACCCCGAATCACCGCGATGGATACTAGAAATGCATCCGGAAGAAACAGATCGTGTAATGAATATTCTGTGCAAACTCCGTATGGGAACTCCAGACTCCCATCATGTGCGGGAAGAGTACCACGAGCTCATGGCGTCATACCTCTATCGGAAACGCTTCAAATCTGGCTATACCCGACTCTTCACCTCAGCAGCTCTGAGAAAACGCCTCCTGTACGGTTTCTATGCCACCGCGCTTCAGCAAGCCGGGGGTATTGCAGCTTTGACAATGTATGCTGCGATAGTATGTCCTCAATTTGGTCCAATCACTGGTGAAACTAGGAGGTCTGATTTGCTAATCTTATGCCAGATTTATAAATCACTGGGCTGGGACAAAGGCCACCAGGCGTTGGCCATCAACGGCGTTCAGGCAGTTTTGCAACTCTTCATCGTGCTCATTAATACCGCAACTGTAGACCGATTCGGTAGGAAGACACTGCTAATTGCGGGATTTTCAATCCAAGTACTAGCGTTACTCATCATGTCTAGCCTGACGACGGCATTCCCTCATAACGATAACAAGCCGGCGGCTGTCATGGAGGTTGTGTGTCTCTTCATCGTTGGTATGACATACTGTTGGTCAAATGGTCCAATCCCTCCTGCTATCGCGTCGGAAATCTTTCCACAAGAAGTGCGAGACAAGGCGTTTGGCATTTCTCTGCTTGGACAGACGGCTTGTCTCCTAGCAATCACCCAACCCTGGCCGAAGTTTAATAACGAGGTTGGCGGGAGAAGTTATTGGCTCTTACTAGGTCTTAACACCCTTTGTCTGGTATGAAACCACAACCCCGTTCGCTCTCTCATTAGAAGATGCGCCGAGGCTAACATGCGCGTCCAGCTAAGCGTGATATTTATTCTCCCAGAGACCAAGGGGGTATCTCTGGAGCGCATGGATACCATATTCGGCGAAGTTGACGCCGTCGAGGCAGGGGAGGAGGATAATAGAGAAAAACTAGAGATAGCTGATGTGATACATGAAGAATTGGTCCCTGAGGCGGGTATAAAAGAACATGAAGACAAACAACACTAAGTGTGGTTCCTTTATGGATTTAGGTGCTGTGGCTTCAATGGTTCTAGCCATAGATGGGGCTTTGGGCGATTCATATTTCGTCTTACGACTGAGCGGGAGTTTGGGTAAATGATACCTACATGGAAATCCCCTCGTATTTTCAGTGTGTCCCAGTCAAAGCCCAGCCTGCGGGAGGACACTCTAGGCTAGATAATTGCCAATTACACGTAACAGCTGCGGGAATGCAAGTGTTCAAAAGAGCAGCCAGCGAAGACTCTCTCTCAAATTCGCGTAGGCTGCCTGAGATAAAAAAGCAACTACAGGTAACAATTTGAGCATTATTGGACTTTGATATGGTATGGGGCAAGTTTTTGGTGATTGGATTTAAAAATATAGAGACTCAAGCAGGAGAAGCGATGGTAGTGATCTCGTTCTTTCTCACAGCTTATCTATGTCCATGCAGGACTGCGAAATCAAGGTATTCGCAGCTTATCACAGCTAGTAGTCACAGTTCTGCGACTCGATAAGAATAAAGAAGGCCCAACCGAATCCCGCATCATCTCAGTTGAGGTCACTGGCTTGATTCTCGCCAAATTGACTGCCTCCAGAGTCTAAAGACTGCCCACTTGCAAACGTCTATAGTCATTACTTTGAGACGGAAAGTGTTTGGCCTTTATAGTGAAGACAGACAGAGGTCGGCATGTACATGTGATTAGGTGAAAAAAGTTACAGGCGGCAGGCCACTGATGCTCTCATACCGCCCCTCTGGGGATTTCAAGTGCTTGCTAGGGCAGCGCTAACGTCGGGTAGCTACATTGACACCAGAGCGGCTGTGGGGGTTAGGATTCAGTGGTGGGTTGTTGGATGGATACTGTTGCAGTCTACAATGGTGACGAAGCTACTCCTGTATCGGAATTAGCTGTAGCACTTGGTTGGCATCCTTCCTTCTCCCACTAAGCCAATCTATGATAGTCTGTAATAGCGCATGACACGTTGGCTGAGTTACAGCAATTGGTAGGCTTATCAGTTTCCTAGGTTTTAGCCTTTATATATGCCATCTAGTGGTAAAACAAACGGTGTATGCAGTGACAGAGTAGCCTAAAACGGAACAAAATAACAGAATCCATAAAATAAATGCGTATGTAGTAATTCGAGATGCATAAAGTAGCAATGGATTCGCCACAGGGCTGCTCACACTGCAATCTGTATTTTGCGGTTCGTCTTTCTAGGCGTTAGGTAAGCAATGTCGCATATATATATTTTTGGTTTACTTGATCAACTCCTCCTATTGATAAAGCACGCATCGAGCATACTGCAATAAGATCTTGCACAGAATGCCTCAACCATTTGTGTTTTCGGATCTCAAAGCACCCGAAAACTTTCGCCTCATAACTCTCCTTCCCAGAGTACAAAGAGCCCTTGCAATGCACCATTTCCGAATGTCAATTGCAAGACCTTTCATCTTATGAGGCGCTTTCGTATGCGTGGGGTGTCTCTGGAGCACAGGATGAATCTCATCCTACCATTTCTTCCTACCATTTCTTTAAATAAACACAAATTTGCTATTTCATCTACACTAGGACAGGCTTTGCGGAGATTGCGGAGGCTGGATACGGCACGGGTTCATTCAAATCCTATACTCATACACCTTTCAGCATATTTGGAAACTTTTCGCGGATTTGCAATAACAATCGCCGCGTAAACGCATCCAGAAATATTCCAAGAGGGGGGGGTTAGTCTGAATTATTCTATGGGCGCATAGGAATGCTTTAACATGGTAAGCCAGTCGTGCAGTGGCTGATTTGGTACATAGACCAATATTTAGCATTATTGCCAAGAGGACCGACTCTATACTCTATATATTGGGTCTTGTCGTATTATCTGCTTAGTCCACCGTTATTACATCGTCTATACTATATATTAAATCTTAAAGGTCAGGCTGTAACAAAAGCCTTGCTTCAATACGCCCACTCGGCCGAGGTTTGTTTCTTGAGCATGCTAACCTGTATGAGCAAACTGGAATACAGGCTTTATATGTGGCAGCTGGGGCGTTTGTGTAAGTCGCTACAAGGAACATAAAAATTTAAACTAGTCACTTCTTGTTATAATTTGTCTTATAGCTTACAGTTGTCCCTAGCATGTTAATTATGCTAATTACGTAAAATACTAAGTCTTAATAAGTTCAACTCCTTATATATAAGAAATATGGGACCTTTAGAAGCAACTATGCTTGTGGCCAGATACCTTTTGAGCTTTCGCCTACCTTGCCTACCTAGTTATACCTCTCTCCTTCATGTTCCCATAAAAGGAAAGAATACTAGACAAGGCAGCTTGTTTATCCGGACGACCTAGCTTTGGCGTACTGATCTTGCGATGCGAAGGTTTTCGCTAATATCTAGCTGTAAGTTGGCACCTGTTTAAGGGACGTACTCGATCATTGCGTTTGTCTTGTTTCACACCTCCCAGTCATTTGCTAAAGGCAGCTCAGCTATGGTAGCGTAAGAACATTCCTACTAAACAGAAGCTACAAACGTGCTTCATAATCTCATTGGTTATTAATATCACACATTGTGACATGAAACGTTGAGCTACCTACATTTAGTCTATTTACACGTACGCAAATGTAGTCGCCCAGCCACAAGGTCGTGCAATGGGTACCGACACCCGGATTCCACTCCTCAATGTTGGCAACTGTCGTTCTCTCCTAGTAGCAATAGTCGCGTACGAGTCGCCCGACTTAACGAGGTAGAATTCCTTGCAAATAATTCACCATGCCCAGTTCGATGGGATTCGGCGTTGTAATACCGTTGCCCGCCGAGCTCGTCGTGGTGGGTGGTGGAGAGTCACGAAAGGTGCGTTGCCTCATGATATCTCAGTGGTAAAAAGCTTAGTAAAGACAGGTTCTAACCGCCATTTGCTCAGCAGCATCGTATTCGGCGCTTTATTTTCAGTTCGTTCAAAACGATACACGCTTTGAAAGCAGCAGTACGCTTTCTCCCTTATCTTCTTGTGGCTGTGGCTTTTAACCTTGGCAGCGATTATTTGCTCTCCAAAGTCAAATATATGCCTCCATATCTAATATCAGGTGTGCTTATCACGATAGGTGGATCATTTCTCTATATATACTTGAAGCCTGAAACGTCGACGGCCATTATCTATAGTCTTGATGTCATACTTGCCGTGGGCGTCAGTTTGACAATGCAAATTGGATATACGGTAGCTACATTGAAAGTCGACCCCGATGATGTCGCGAATTCGCTTAGTATGCAGAATGTGAGCCAGATGGGCGGTACAACAATTGCCCTTATCATTTCTGTTCTCGCCTTTAAGACTGCTGCAGTACGTAATGTGAGCTCAGTCTTGGCTGGTCAAGGTTTTACGAAAGAACAGATTCAGGCGGCTGTTGCTGGAGCTCAGAGTGCACTATTTGAACAGCTGAGTATTGACACCAAGGCAATCGTCATTTTAGAACTCACAAAAGCTATGCAAGCACCATTCATTCTAGTTATTATTTCGGGAGCTGTCCTTTCTGATTTCTGCTCCATTCATAAAAACGGAGAAGCTCTTTAAAGAAATCATAGCTGTTGGTGCATAACCATAAGTTACAGCCACTACAGTATAATAAATACTCATATAGACGTACTCGACCTCGAATATTTCTAATACTCTTTCAAACATAAGAACTTTGTTCCAAAGAAGGAAAACCAACAGTGATTGCGAGATGAAATAGCTTCTACAGGTGAACAGAGGCATAATTGACACCTAGCAGCTTATTACCGAAAATACAATCCTTAATTCGACTATACTTATTCTTTATAACGTGGAATAGATGCAGCCACAAATCCTCTCATCCAGTTGCATCATGCGATATCTTGAAGTATTTATTTAGCTTACCTAACATCGGATACATGCTATGTTTAGGATTTCATTTTCTGGCTGTTACATTTAGCGGGTACTTATTGAGCGAGTTTGACTGTCTTAGGAGAAGACTTCGTACGCCGGCTTTAAAATTTGTAAAGACGCACTCAATAGCAGAACCCCATTACTAGCTACCGTATATAAGCAAATACTACTTTGCCCAAGGTGTATACCATGCTCAGATAAAGTTAAAAGGATCTCTATGCACTACTAGTAGTTGATAGATAGTTAACATGTCACTGTAGGTTAGGAATACACCGCTGCCCTCTCTAGTCTCTAGTGGCGTCCCCACACCCATTCATATGGGACCACTGCGATTCAATGCGCCGAATTAGGAAATCAATCTCTTATTGGCTGCGCAATTGGTTGGCGATCCCACTGCGCCGAATTAGGTATCAAATCTCTCATTGGCCGTGAGGCGCACAGCCTTGGCTGCGGAGAATCAAGTATGGGTTCGATATGTAACGGGTACCACTTTACGGAGTTTATGCATGCTATCCTTTTTTTTCTAATTAGCCATGAAGGGTTTCATTCGCTGTTAACGCAGGAGTCGAACGTCAAGGATGTAATCTATATGCCAAGTCCGGCCCAGTAAAATATAAATATCTGGAATTGCTTTGGGTATCCTTCAGTCAAGCTACACAATTTGCATAGTCGTCAAGTTCGTAGTTCATTGTTTTTGCCTCTTCATCTCCGCAATTTTGTAATCTTTTTCTTTTGCGAAATGGCAACATCGCACCCAGAGTTCAACAGGGACACCGAGGGCCTCGACGTCGCCAAGGCTTTCTCAGATGGAATTCGCAATAAAACCATCATAGTTACTGGCGTCAACCGTGGAGGAGTTGGGTTCTCTACATCACAAGCTTTTGTAAGTTTCTGTGTCACATGCCAGTCCTCGGGCTCTATTTGCTGATCGACAAGTTTTGCAGGCCACTCAGTCCCCAGCATGCCTGATCCTTGCCGGACGCAACCTACATAAAATCCAGGAATGCATCGATGCCGTCAAGCAGGATTTGCCACATGTCAGCTATCGTGCGCTGAAGATTGACCTTTCCAGCCAGAAGTCAGTTCGCGCCGCAGCTGCGGAAGTCTTGTCCTGGTCTGAGGTGCCTACCATCGATATCGTGGTGAACAACGCCGGTGTGATGTGCGTTCCGGAGCGAACTCTTAGCGTCGACGGACTGGAAATGCACTTTGCGACAAATCACATAGGACATTGGCTGTTGACATGCCTGATCATGCCAAAGCTGATCAAGTCTGCTGAGGGCAAACCAAAGGGAACTACCCGAATTGTGAACGTCTCTTCTCTGTCGCCTACCGTCGCGACTATGCGTTGGAGTGACATCAATTTTGACAAGCCAAACAAAGAGCTGCCAGAGGCAGAGCAGCCGCCCTACGCGATGCTAGAGGCATGGGGCTTTTCAGACTGTCGAGATCGATCATATGTTCCTTTGGACGGTTACAACCGCAGTAAAGTAGCCAATGTGCTCTTTGGAATTGGAGCAAACGAGCGACTGTACGGCAAACACGGCATCCTCTCTTTGGCCGTGCATCCGGGCATAATACAAACGGAGCTGGGCAGGGACTTTGATGAGGAACAACTGGCAGCCTTGGCCGGTATGAGGACCAAGGGCATTTTTATCCATCAAACCCTCGGTGCGGGAGCTTCGACCTCGCTGGTGGCTGCACTGGACCCTAAGCTGAAACCTGGTGAGACCATCAATGGGAAGGAGAATTACGGATCGTTCCTAGTGGATTGTCAGATTAGCGATTCTGCGACTGCGCTCGCTGTTTCCAGCAGCGAGGCCGAGAGGCTCTGGGTGTTATCGGAAAACCTGGTAAAGGAACGGTTTTCTTGGTAAGGGTACTTGTGATTATGAGCCATTGGGCTCTTTGTGCCCATATGGTTGAGGAGAGACGGACTTAGTACAGTTAAATGTAAAATACTAGTATTCAAAACGTTATCCAGCTCGGCATTGACTCGTCTTGGTGTGCCTGATCCCATAATGCATGGCCTGGGACATCGTGCAAGGCGTGAATCCAGGGGAACTGGCCGGTGACAGCGCATACTTCATCCCAGCTGCGAATATCGAGTCTCATTGCCATTAGCCGTATCCTTGGTGGAAGCCAGTGCTCATCATAGCCATCAGATGCCCAAAGACCACCAAGGATTGAGAGCCAGAGGGCGAGTGCAGGGTTGTGATCTTCCAGATTAGTGTCAAGGATTTCCTTTAGTCGGCGATCTACACGCTCGTAGTCCAAAATTTGACGACGTCCAGCATGTAGAAAAACAGTCATTGTAAATATTGTCAGGCCGATCTGATAGGAGGCTTGTAGCAGCCATAGCCTTTGTTCTTCTTCCGAAGGGTGGAACTGAATGAGGCGGTACCCAAGCGATAGTATTATCTCTTGAAGAGTTTCTAGATCGATTGTTGCGCCATTATTGAGCAGCAATGCCACGCCCATCATATCCACCAATATGCCATGAAGATGGGGCTCTAGCAAATCGTGCTGTGGACATGAGGCAGCAGCATCGCCATTGATGTCTAGCTTTGTGAGTGCCAGAGTATCCCGTACCTTGGCCATGCGATCTCGAAAGAATAATGGTGGTCCACCATGCTGAAGTGAAAGCATAATGTCCACCCTTTGAAAGCAAATGTAAGCTAGAGCAATTACACCAACGACAGTATTGTTATAGTATTACTTACTTGCAGACTTTCAGTAATAGTGCCGGATTTCCCTCAAGTTTGGACAGACCACCACGAAGCTGGATCATTTTCTGTAGGCCATCAAGGTGGACCTTGAGGTCCCCGTATCCTTTTCTGATCAGCTCTTGGCTGATAAGAGTCACCACAATCATGATTGTAGAATCTGAGAGGGCATCGGGGCCAACAAGTAGCCTCGTGACATGATTGAACGTCTGTGACAAATGATATAATGCTTTAGGTGAGCTATTTTCATCGTCGGAATACATCTCATTGCACGTTTGCATCAGGGCAATATTACAATAGTAAGCTAAAGAGTATGACAAGTCAGAGTAACTGAATGGCTCCGACAAACACGTGCAACATACCTGCTTGATTGGCGAAGATGAGAGGGAGCCACATTCTTTTAACCTCGTCCATAGAAAGCCATCGATGAAGGCGATACAATCTGTTCATTGTACGGAAAAAGTCTAGTATCACTTATCAGTAGGAGGCTTTGAGAAATTGCCATAAATGTGAGAGCCTCACATTCGTTCATTATCTCCATCGAAGGCTTCGTGATTATGATCGGCAGACCAGTCAGTATCGCATTGCTGGGATAGTCCATTATAGAATTAAGTTCGGCATGTTCCTCATCGCCATAATGGTACTCTCTTTGTGACTTGTTCAGATCCCGCCGCAAGATAATTGTCCGTTCGCCTACATTAAGTCTTGGTGGAGCGAGTTGCCGCCTTGATCGCCGGTGGAATCTTTTGCCAGCATTCTTACCCTTCATAACATGGCTCCGTACCAGCTTCTTGTCAGCTCTGTTGGTTTGAATGCCAACGACAAACTGAAATGTTTTCCCTGCCATTTCCTCAAACTTTTCATCATGCTGAGTGTCGAAAGTGGTGTAAATTAAGCTGGTCCGGTAATACCGCTACACTTGTTCGGAGTTAAGGTTGGGGAATCTCCGCAATGTTCAGCTTAATAATTAGAGGCTGACTTTGGGGATAATTTAGTTAAAACATAATTGACAATCACTTTTACTAAATTCTCATACTCTTTTCTTCTTTATAAGCCTATATAGGAGTGTACGTAAAGTAAACTTTTTAATAGCTGCACGACTACGCCCCTTTGCCGCGAAGGCTGCGTAAAATAGTAGCACTCACTAGTCAAATTTGGCAGCAATAACAGCGATTCCCTTTTCAAGCATTCATTGTCCAGCATTATTGGAACCGTATTAAAGAAATTTTATTCTTCCTTGTTCTTAATTGAACTACTATGCTGTTTCCACTTTCCCTAATTCGGTCTCAGCTAAAAGATCATAAGTTTTAAAGTCCCGCAGAGGAACTTTTCTCTGGAACAGAATATCAAGTTCTTCGAAAGTTCTTCCTTTGCTTTCAGGAAGCCTAAAATGACACCAGATGGCACAGAAAAAGCTTATGCCCCCGAATAAGAATCCTGCTTTTCCTCCCCAGTTCGCTTGATCAGTATTCAGCATATAAGGCATAGCAATTGTGCTGATGATATTGAAGAACGATTGGACGGCAGTGGATAATGCGATAGACTTCGTTCGTAAGCGTGTAGACGATATTTCGGAAATAATAACGAAACAAATTGGCCCGACAGTCATCTGGTAGATAAATGTCCACCTGCATAGGTAAAAGCGTGGGTCAGCAGCGAGGTTTATTGAAATGAAGGGGGACAAGGGCCAGTTCTCAGCTTACACGTCCATGCAGCTAGCCATTGCCCAAATTGCGCCTTTATTGTTTGTGGGGATGCTAAGGAAGCCGATGATAAAGAGAAGCAGTGTCATCACCCACATGCCAGTGTTATAGATCGTTCGTCGGCCCAATTTGAACTAAAAAAAAATTAGCATAATTGCTGCTTAGTGAATGTAGGATGCTCACATAGTTTAGCAAGAACCATGAGGTAATGGTACCAACAAAACCCAGTGCAGTGTTTCCAACGCCCACTATTGCGTGTTAGCAATCATCTTAATTCTACATATGGTTTGTCGGCCACCTACTATCAAATGAGTCGGCAGCATTAAGACCGGCTTGCTCAAAAAAGTAGTTTGCATAGCCAATAAGCGGATTTCCGGCAATGACTTGGATCAAGTACACCATAATTGTGATCTCTGTCCTTACACGGTTGACCCCCTTGAATAGATCCCAGTAATTCGTAGTCGCTTCGAACTCTTGTTCCAAGAGATCCGTCTGTTCAACCCCAAGCAGCACTTGGTCAATGTCAGGCGCATTCTTCGAAGACGATAATTTTTCTAGGGCTTTACGAGCGTCCTCTTTACGTCCCTGACGGATAAGCCAATATGGACTCTCTGGAGCAAAGGGTAGACCTATGAGAATGATTACCGGCCAGAGCCATTGCAATGCCTAACCGTGTTAATATGGTCCAAAATAAATGAAGACTGTGCAAATATGAAGAGATTGTTACATACAAACGGAGCTTTATAGGCCCATTGATCCTCTCTGCCTTCCAAGCCGGCAGCGACTCCTTGAGCAATAAACTGCCCAATGACGAAGGCTAAATTGATGAATGCTGTGAGTAGACCCCGGAGTGCAAGTGGACAAATTTCAGATGCATATGTCGGAGCAATGACGACGTAGAAGCCGTATGCCAAGCCGCCCAGAATCTCACCAGCGCAAAGCATAGAAAGAGACGTGGCAAAAAATTGCACAAAAACAAATCCGACCGACCATACGCAGCAGACTGCCAAAGTCCATCTTCTGCCAAATCGCTCCATAGGATATCCACTTGCAAGAGCACCCAACACCTGTCCGATTGGGTTACCCATTCCAAGAGCCGTCTGCCATGGTGCGGGGATCTCGTAGCCGTCGCCGATGGGATTTCCATATCTCTTCTGGAATGCCGGAAGAGCGTAAAATGAGAAGATTATTTGGCCATCATATCCCGACATAATAACAGCAATACTGAAAAACATGGCCCAGAATGTGGCGGTGGGGTACTGCCGCAATGCTTGCCGAAAGCCAAGGTCATGTTCGGCGCGGGTTATATCGCGAGTCACATCGATATGAACATTGTCTCCCTTCTCGTCCCTGCTAACTTCCTGCCCGACACCTGTTGCCTCCTCGTGTTTCTCCATTTTGGAATCGACGTCCTGGCGACCGATTAGTCAACCAGTGATAATTAAGTGAAGATTGTCAATCTTTGATCCGCTCTATAAATCGGAGAATGGAAAACAGGGCCTGGCGATGGAGCAAATATATGGCGGCTTGGAGAATGTACAAGCAGCTCTGTGTGGGGGACACACCCAAGGATCAACCCCAGCTTGGTCGTGTCGATCTAGTTCAACTCGCCGTTTTACGACGCCATAGTTTTTCCATTTGGAGGATATTCCGTGTCGATATCGAAAATGTAACGTCACCTGAGGCCAGTGTAAGTAGTGCGAGCAGTAGGTAGTACTGGCATCAATATTTCCGTCGCTTATCCATGCCCAGCCGATTGTACATACGTGGGGTAGATAGCGCTCGACAGCAGGCCACTTTGATACGGAAATGAGGCAGGCTGGGATAAGTAGACCGCTATAAGAACACTAGTATGGAAAAGCTTCATTCTAAAACCCCCTGTTAGCGTTGATAAGCTACAACCCAATGTGCCGATTTACCGAGAGATGGAAGAATATTGTAGCTATCACTGACTGTGAGGCGGGGGGGAGAATGCGGAGAAGTGGAGGTGGGGAACTCGATTCTACGCCTCGCATCGGATAAAGCCGCGGCACAAGGTCAGCCGATCTTAGGTCTCGCTTGGCGCAGGTACTGTCAGTCCACCAATATGTATTGTGGTTACTGCTATTTGATCCCTCCACGCACAACGCAGAGCGAAATTAACTACCTAGGTAAGCTTATTTTTCTGGAACTTGGCTTTGGGCCCAATCGGGAGCTATACGTCGGACAACCAGCAATGGGACCAGCAAAGGGACCAGGAAAGGACTCCTCCCTCAATAAATATCCCCCGCTATTCGGTATTCTTTTGGCGCAATTCGCTACGTAATCAAGAAACCAGAACCAGCACTTTTAAGCTGCTTAATGGCCGCCATTAGATAAAACGCTACGTTTTAACCCACAATCAATTGCTATGCTCTAGCTGACGGAATGTAACATAACTTTGAATAGAGCGAGATAGTGGTTGACTATCCGCTCTCTAGCGCAAAATGACAAGGCGTCATAACGTTGCACCCTGTATCATGTTGATACGAAGTCCTGTACTTACCAATGCCGCACCCATGAAACCTTAATTGACTACTAATAAACTACTATTAATAAAATAAAACACGAATAAGTACTATACTAGCGGTCAAAGTGCTAACGCCAGTTGTGTTATTGACGGCCAAGAAGGAGTAGACAATTATATTACAAGCATTCTCAAAACCTAGATTGACAGCAGCGTTGGTGGCATCCATGCGAAAGATCGCACACAGATTTTTCCGCAGGAGTCTTTGCAGCGAGATTTCATGATAATAGCAAGGCTTCATCGATATTTGCACTAGAGTAATACACAGTAATTTAAAATATTTCTACGAGCGACTGAACTCCACAACAAATAGCCAGGCTAACTAGACTAGGAGGAAGCTCGATAGGATAGTACTTTGGACGCTTGAGTCATTAAAACAGATCAAAGAATGTAACCTAATGATAGAAACGTTGACAGATACTAGAGCATCATTGTATGTACTAGTGATCAGTACAAGCCGAAAGGAGACTATCAGGTCCCCTCCAGACTTAAATAATGATGCCGTAGGAGATTCTGCAGTATACGTCCGCTACCAGCCGATTTAATTTAGCAGACCCGGACACAGGTCTTTTCCAGTACCACAGTCAGGTAGATATGTGATTTCCGAAGTATATTATTGCTAATACACAATGTCTCTTCAGTAGCCTCTTTCAGTTTATCTTTTGTGTGTAAAAAGGCTGGAGAAAACGATTACGTTTTGAAGCTCGGGTCCGTAGCTCAACTTCATCCACAGCTCTATAGCTGGATATCAAATATTGTAACACATGTGTCGTATTCGTAAGCATTTGGTTGCTGTATCCCATACACACGAGAGAATGTCACCTTTTAATAACTCTCCGGCGAATTCGACTTAATAAAACTTACTGTCTGATTCTCAAACCATGTAAGTGCAATTCAGTTAAGAAACGCTGTAGGAAGATTATTATTATTCTTACAACTGGAAATAATACCTATTATGCTTATGTTAACCTCTATATTTTAATGTGCCTATTTCCAAGTAGCAATATTAATTGCAGTAATATGAAATAGGTTACATTAGATACTCAAGCAATCATGGCAGGGTTCGATTATATACTTCAGTTTATAATTGAATGATGTAGAGAAAAATTGACCGCTTAAAGCTTTAAGACTTGTCGCATACAAAGTGCTTGTTGTATTTAATCGCTGGCACATCAATTGTCACGAACCAAAAATAGAAGAATATTTGCTAAATAATATAGTCACTGAAACATTTTGCTTTTGGAGGAGAAAGATTGAAAGCACTAGAGATGAAAATACTTACAAACTACTCCTCGAACCTGTTCCCTCACGGCAGCGAAGATCCATATAGCCCTCTCCGCGCTTTCTGTGTCAGCCTAATCACAGCTAATTAGCTCAATCAACTCAATATCCATCGTTCTCAAAATCAATGCAGCTAATCGATCGAATAGCTCCACGGATATTGAAGCTACACGTCTGTCTAGATCTAATTATCAATCGTTTCGAGCAATCAAACAGCTGGCGGCTTACATCTCCTTCCAGATCGTGGGGCTGTGCCTAGAGACGTATCTGCTTGCTGATCTTTTTCCGCCATTATCATGTACTCCGTACAATGACGACACAGTCTAGTCCTTTAAGGGCAGGAAGCGTCCCGGGTGCTTACTTCCATATCGCGGTGCGCCTCCCGCTCGTAATCAATATTCAAATACAGTAAGATCTAGGCCTAATTGTGGACTATACATAAGTAGGCATTTGGCATAGGTAGTCAGAGGTAATATTTTAGAAATGTAATTACACAGGAAACTGTTTTAACATCACTGTTACACGTAATATGCTAGTCACAAAGCCCTTCAGAATACATAGTAGTACAACTTACTCTGTTAGTCCTAACATTAGAGGAATAGCATAGTAGTAGATATAAGTCAGAGATAAAAATACCAGCAACGAGAGAGTAGTGTGTTGTCGAGTTATTAGTAATTTCTATCAGCTCCATCTGCATCACTATGCTAATCTAAGCTGTGGTGAACTATATTTACGATTAAATTGTGATTAGTCTTCGAGAAATAAAATATGTAGAATGTCTAAATTTTAGCCTTAATTCAAGAAGAGTATCTTGCAAATATACCTTTTATATACACTGATCTGCTGAACCTACTTGTCTCAAAATCCTCATTTTCTTCTTCTCCTTCTCCTTCTCCTTCACTAACTCCCTCTAAGAAAGCACTTTATATCAAGAATTTCTCATCAAGCCTTGGCTAGACAGCCAATTAAGCGTAGCTGGATAAGTACCGGATCCCTTTCTAAGTATTGGCCCAGATCAAGCGCGTGAAGTATCGCCGGTATAGCTACCTCCCTTGAGCGGTTGGTGCGCGCACAAGCTTTGACACTAATTGTAATACTACAATTACCAGCTATCAACGAATTCTATTCTAGCATGTCAGTCATGGCGTTGCGTGTAACCATATTTTCATTGTCGGCGATAAATATTTCCTAAACTATATAATCCTTGGCCACGGGGCGATGTGTGTGTCTTCTCCCGGCGTGGTAGCATCCGCCGAAGCTGCCATGATGGAATGCCAAGAGCTGAAGCCACTACTGGGCCGTTATCAGGTTCCAAAGCACCTTGCTATTATATTTCAATTCTTCTAACAAGGCTTTTAGCAAAAGTCGCACTGGTGAAATAACTAGTTTTGATATCGTAAGTTTATACCCTTGGGCCCGCTTCACTTCAAGTACAGGGTATTTCGAACCTGGCTACAATTTGGGAGACTGCAGGTTAGCAGAGCTCCCCAATCTCTGTACAGAGTGCTTACGTATAGAGATACCTAAGTTCAATGCATATACTATTAAGAAGGTTGGTAATATTAGCGTATTCTGGTGGCGTGCCTGAATAATTCTTACTCAAAGTTAGGATCATCATAAATATGATCCAACTACTACTATTTGCACTTTGGGTAAAATCTACGGAATCTAGTTAGTGGGGCTTGTCTAGAAATACCCATTCTGAAAGACAGCATTCTGGACAATAGGATGGCAATTCCGATGGGACTGGACCTCAAGACTAAGCTTAAATTGACCATATTTCCGATTTCATGTTCATCTACCGTGCTCCGAGCTGAGAAAACGGTAGCTATGCCAGCTAAGAGTCCGGGGCGTATCACTTTACGAGCACGGTATCCTAAGAAAAATTCTAAAGTGGAATTTCAAATACGGTGTCCATTTCCACTTCGGGCAAAGTAACGCGGTCGGCAGTGAGAATTTATAGCGTGGCTAGTTATGAATGGAATATTCCAAAATAGGGAATCATGCTGACCAATTTGCAAGATAAAGTATAGCTTGTTAACTATTATGAGTTTTAGAACTAGCCTAGATCGCTGACACTTCACAACTTGCGCTATTTACGCCTTTGCATTTCGGGAGAAATTGCCAAGGCCAGATGGTATCATTGCATATGCCAGGGCGATTAGCTCCATGGCGTCTGAATTTGAGATCTTAGGAGTATTTTCCATTGGCTTGCGAGGAAAGCCCAGCTTGAATGAGGAAAATGGCACAGCAGCAAATTTCCTGGTAAGGCTAGTGGTACGCTTGGTAATTTTTAAAATGTCAAAGTAATGGCGACGAAGCGCAAAGAATGACATTGATAATAACGTTTCTGGTAATCACCTTAGCAAGTGAGCTGTACTTATATTTTCAACTTGGTGATATACATACTTCTACGGAGCGTCACGACCAGTATTGCAATATTTAATATTCAAGAATCCCTCTCGTTTCTAAATTTGCAAGACAGACAATCATCTAAACACAATCAACCCTCTTATTTACCGTTAGACGGCTTTCGCTTTAAAACCACTTTAGACACCTTTGCAAGTGTCCGCCTTTGCTCTTTGCTTCCGCAGCCACCAACAACGGCTAGGCTTTACACAACCACTATATACTATAAATCGGCATTGTCTCACTTTCATTGTTGAATTGGCACAAATATGTGGGATCTAATTCGAGAAGCGCCTCTTGGCTAGGCACTCCGTCTCATTACACGGAAAAGGATACTTAAATATCCGGAAGAGGAAGATGACTTTAAGCTACCAGAGAAATATGCGTTACAGCTCAGGGCAAGCGACAAATCGAAGGCGCATCATCAGCCACGCAACTTGGATGAAGTTCTCAATGCATCACCCGAAGGCGATGGAAGCTCAAATAACTCTGAATCTCTTCGCAATGAAGATGGTGACGTGGAGGCTCTTGGAAGAATGAGAACCGCAACAAGTGTTCATACGGCGCCATACAGCAACGACCGGCTGCAAGCCGAAAGAGAGATGGAGCTGCAGCGCACAAATCTATTCCCAGCAGCCCCGAGAAAACAGCTGATGGTATGGTTCTAGTGGATTGGTATACAACAAATGGCCCAGCCAATCCCCAAAACTGGTCTCGTGCAAAAAGATATTTTGTTGTTTTCGTTTTGTGTTGTTATACCTTTACAGTCTGCTGCGCCGGTCCTATATATGCCACTGCTGAAGAAGGAATACAGCATCATTTCCATGTTAGCCCTGTTGCTTCTACACTGGGGCTGGGACTTTACGTATTAGCATATGGTATTGGAGATCTCCTTTTTTCACCTCTCTCTGAAATCCCTAGCATTGGGCGAAACCCCATTTATTTTCTGACTTTTATTGTCTACTGGATTCTAACATTTCCTGAGGCTGTGACGAATGGCTTTGGAAGCCTTTCAGCTTTGCGATTCTGGCTTGGCTTTTTTGGATCTCTGGCTCTGGCTAATGGCGGAGCGACAGTGGGAGATATGTTTTCTCTTATGTATATCCCATTTGGACTCTCCTGGTGGGTGTTTTCTGCATGGGCTGGCCCTTCTATCGGCCCGGTCATTGGAAGCTTCGCCGCCCAAGCCAAAGCATGGAGGTGGCCCATGTGGGAAATTGTGTGGATGTCCTCAGGAGCACTAATTCTATCATTTCTCTTCATGCCGGAGACGTCAGCTCACAATATCTTACTGCGTCGGGCGCGTCGATTGCGCAAGTTAACAGGCGATTCACGACTTCAGTCCCAGAGCGAGATTGATCAGCGCCACATGGCCCCATCTGCCGTCGTTTGGGATGCTTTGTTCAATCCTCTAGAGATTTTGATGAAGGATCCGTCCATTTTTTTTTGTTAACCTTTATAGTGGATACTTTTATGGCGTATTTTTATACGTTCTTTGAAGTATTTGCTCTTGTTTTCCCTGTATTTTATGGCTTTGATCTTGGCCAAACGGGTCTTACTTTCTTATCTTGTCTCATTGGTGTTATCCTTGGTCTCTCTGCCTACTTTGCTTACTTGCAATTTTATATGGTGCCTGATAATATTAAGCATGTTTTTAGAGAACAAGAACACCGACTCGTCCCTGCCATTATTGGTTCATTTTTACTGCTAATTGGACTCTTTATTTTTGCATGGACGGCCAGGTCTAGCATTCATTGGGTAGTTCGACTTGTTGGAGTGGGCATCTTTTGTTTTGGACACTTCTGGATAATGCAGTCTCTGTTCATTTACATTCCTCTTTCTTACCCAAAGTACATTGCCTCTCTGTTTGCCAGTAACAGCATCTGGAGATCGGGCATCGCGGGTGGAGCTGTTGTCTTCGCAAGACCACTGTTTATTAATCTGGGCGTGGCCAGAGGTGTCACACTGCTTGCAGGATTAAGCTGTGCGGGCATTTTTGGCACTACAGCAATTTGGATGTTCGGCAAGAAACTGCGAGCTAGATCTAAGTTTGCGATCTAATTTTGCGCGAAACTAAATTAACAGAATCGTTCAAGTCGATCTTCAATGTTTCAGACTGTTCAAAGATAATATCTATCAGTCTATAACAGTCTCAACTCATTTAATGGTGTGTGGCATTTAAGTCATGGCGTGGTAAAATAAGGTTTAAAATATCGGATGAATAATGAAAAATCGGGTTATGTGTAATTTGGTTGGCCTTAATAGAATTATAGATCTCAAAGGATGCCTAGATAAAACGGTGTATTAAATAAAATAAAATAAGAAATTCTAATTTAGCAAATACAAATGTATTTTAGCCTCAATACTTGGACGATATAGAGGAAATACCCAGAGCAAAGACTTCCGTGCTGCAATGAAATTGCATTAATATTTCGTTTGCAGAGCCCGAATAGGCAGAAGAGGTTAAAGTCACGCGAAAACAGAAAGTGTGACAACGAAAATGATGAACCACTTTTTGACGGGAGAGAAATTCGTGGCGTGTCGGGTCATTGGGATAAAACTAAACAATATAGGGATTTGAATCTGTTCCCTCTCCACTGTTGTTTTTTGATATCGAAGATCCGTCGTTACTTGCCTTGCCAACTTGTATGATGGCCATGATTATAAAGTGGCAGACTAAACATAGAAGGAAATCAGACTAGTTGTTTCTAGGCAGAATTTGACGTCAATGGACGTATTATATATTATCAATTCTAATTCTAATCTCTTGCAATTCATTGCTCGTCAGCCCGACAAACACAAAATCTCGGAACATGTTCCGAAAGGAAGGTAGACTTCCGGAAGCGCTTATGATTGGCCAGGGTGCCGAACGGTGGCTTAAATGCCCATTGATTCTCACGGACAATCTGAAGGTTTCTGATAAATGTAAAGAGCTCAGTATATGCTATATTCACTCATATAAAGACTTTTAATATTATTAAGAGTAAAAGCTGCAGCGTGATGTTATTTAGCTATTTTGGAACGGCAAGATTCCATTCAAGAAAGAGTTCCCTACGCTGGATAGGCAAAATATATAAGTCGCAATACAAAGGACCCGCAGCCTACAACTTCTCTTCTCTATTTCTCTTGGCTTGCTTTATTAGACAATAGAAAATATCTGAAACTATATATGTCACTTATCTCAACGAAATTTAACATGTCTTTATGGTTAATTGAACAAAAGAGCGCCTATAAATCACAAGTACAAGCTTTCGATAACTAAATGCTATCCGCTAACCAATAAGGTACTGAAAGCTGTTTCGAAGGCGTCGGATCTGGGGTACCGCCGTTACAATCGGCCTTCTTAAAAATATAATCCTTATTACTTATTATTATAACTAACTAGCTGGGCAGAGAGCTCTTATTTATACAGACTTTTCTAGCCCCCTGTAATCTGCTTGTACCGGTACTTTCATGGTTACTGTCCCTTTTCAGCAGGCCTCGACAGTGAGACGCTATCGGTGGGCTCCGACGTCTTCGCCAAGACCTTACATTTTGCCTGTCAAGAATTCTTTTTCTTAAATGGTGAGTTGAGAAACATTGCGCAGCCGTAAGACTTCAGTCAGTTGTTAAAAACTTTCCTTCCCCTTTCAACAATAACGTTCTGCCTAGTAATAATTGCTACCAACGGAAGTCTATAGACCTAGCAGACATTCTGGGGTTTCAAGACTCAGAGTTGTAGTAAATGGAATCCAGTTGTAATCACCATCAGCCCCCACATTGCTGGCGTGAACACCAGGTTGGAGTTTGCTAAGGAGGAATAACAAGTTATGTACTTTGTCTTTATAACACCCTCCTTGAAAAGCTTTTCAAAAGGAGCACAATTTATCAGGGAATCATTCTTTGGCGTCAACCAAAGCCTATTTACGACAGGCCGACCGGTCGCATTTGTGAAGTTGCCTTCGTAATCAAGCCAGGTTTGGCTTTTGGAGAGCTCGTTAGTTCATCTTTCTTGTAAAGCTTGCAGGAGAATAGTAATAGGTAAAAGCTTACAAAAAAGCCATGGCAACGTCGCCATCAACGTAGATATCGTTCATATCTTTCTGCGGCCAATACCATGTCTGGCGAGTAGTCCCGTCTGCGTTAGTCGCGAATTGGCTGCTCAGGTTTAGATTTCTGCAATTCTGGGCCGTAAAGCTAAAGTTGGTATAGTTGATGGCCTGCGGCGGCAGCTCCAGTCGCGCCAATGTTTCCTCATCACCGACCAGCAGATTAGACATACTGTCGACAGGCAGGAGCAGATCCGTGAAGTTGTTGTTTCCGTCCAGGAGCACGGAGTCAATTGTAAGATTCGCCAGCTTAGAATTTCGGGCTAGCTCCGCCACGCCACTTTGGAACGTCAGGTTTGTGAGTTTCATGCTCGTTGTTTCTGGCCCTCCCAACGTCACAGACAAGTTGCCGACGCCTCCGACTGACAGACTTCCGGCCCGCGAGAATCCAAAGGTAAAGTTGGTCAAGCGCTTTAGTGTCCAGGCGTCCAGCACGACGCCAGCAAGAGAGTCACCTATGTCGAGGGGGTTCCGAAACAAGCTATCCACCGATGCGAGGCTGGTCTGCTCGACATAAACGCGCTTGCTGCCATGGGCTCCCGTGACGTTGCGCAGCTCGTTGTGTAGCATCGTCCGGAGGGTTGGGATCCGAGTGTGAAAGTAGCCGACCGACTCTAGGTTGGTGATGTCGAGATATGTCAGATTGTCAAAATCGACGATGTCGAAGCCTCCATAAACAGTCTTCAAGTTCGGAAGACTAACGTTTGCGAGTGCTGGTATGCATCCCAGATTCAAATCTCCATGGATGGTTGTGAGGGTTGAGCTCAAGAGAGTTATGGATGAATTGGCGGGTGATGGGCCTGTGACTGAGACCATTGCACAGTCCTCGCCTGTGAGATTGCCGGTGATGACCTGAACGCCATCAAGAGAAATGTTTTCATTCAAACTCGCCTGAAGAGTGATGGTGCCGTCGACTGTACTGCAACTTTTGCGCAGTGTATCGGCGTCGGCGGCGCTGTAAATGGTGGCAGAGCCGCACTGGGCAGCAAAGGCTACCACGCGCGGTTAGTATCTCTTGTCAGTCGGAAATCTTGGACGGAAATCTTGAACAAGCTCAAGGCAACTCATACCCCTCGGTGCCATGCACAGACTGAAGACTACTGCGCAGCGACGCATAACTGTTGTTTGAGTCTGGTGAGCAAAGTCGCCGCCGCAAACAACAAAGGAGTGCGTTTGGATCATCAACATGGGGGACATCCAACATCCAAATAGTAGCGACCATACACTTCGTTATACTAACGTAGTATGAAATCCCCTGACTAGGCCATATTAAGACTATAAACGCATGTAGGACTCGGCCTTGCCCTATCTCGTAGCCTCGCTACGATCTGTATTTCATTAGCGAGCTTCTGGACCGAACTGCGCAGATGGCGCTAACGTAGTACAGGGTCTGACGCCGCCTAATAAGGGTCTATGCAGATAGACGCCCTTAAACCTCCAGCATCGTTTTATCACGTGTGGAGCAGATGAGGACCGAACGTTTTGCTCCATCACATCACCAGCGATCAGTAGATGGAAATCCATTATCTCAGCAGGCGGAAATCTTGAGAAAACTATCTCTCAAGTTCAGCGTCACGAATGCTTATCCCGCTGCCGCTGAAACTTACTAGAAGATCCAGCGCGCATTTTGTATCATAATACCAGCGATACTGGTTCATGAAACTACTCGACGAATACCATAGCCTTCAAATGGGTTCGTTCAGGGTAGAGCAGCTATATAGAAAGATGAAGTAAAAAATAATTGTAGCGTAGCCGCTTAATGACTACTGAAAGGTTTAAGAAATAATCTGGCCTATAAAGAAATAGGGACTACAACGAGATTTATTCCTCAAACATCTACTACTGCAAAATCTCATCTATTTCGCGAAAATTGTCATACAACAAATTGACACTTGACACTCAACATTCGCCATCAAATTAGTTGATAAGCCCATTGAGAACTATGTAGCAATTGGCGCCGCACTTGTGCTATGAGGTCATGATATGCTCTTTATCAGTCAAAGCTATGATTGAGGATTTGTATTCTCTAAATTAATTCCGTTCAGAAGTAAGAGTTTTTGCAGCGACGATCGTCACTCTAATAGCCTTGCGGAAATTCCAAATTCTGAAGAGGAAAGAACTTCAGGATGTGCGAAGCCTGCAACGCCACGGCATCTTGGGAACGCGCTCCCGCTTGATGCAGAGTGCTAATCGCATCGTGAGTTAAACAATTCATTTAGTTTCTCTTAATAGGATGTCGCATTAATTTGCTGGTTTTGGCCAAAAGTTGTTGAAAGTGGAAATCAAGGTGACAATAAATGCTCAAATTCGTCATTAGAATATTATATCTCGAATGATTCTCGAACAGCTTTCATGCGGAAGCTGTTATACATGTAACTTCACTTATTTGTCAATTCCGATGGTAGGCGGGCCGGTATTGAGAGTTGGTGATGCTAGAGCAACATGTTGAGCCGGCTGTACTTCAACGTCGCTCATTTGGGACTAATTTGTCCGTACAAGATGCGGGACTAATTTAATTTACAAGATGCGGCATTTTTGCCATTGGCTCAACCATGTCATGGGTGGACGACCTCAAGAGACTCTCGACCAACAGCGCCGAGGGTTGGCCGATGGAGGCTGTTCTGTACCTTACAAGGAAGAACACCGACCGATGATAACATTTTAACATAAATTAACGGAAGGTAAACAGTAATTATTGAGATACTGCCGTAGCTACCGCCGACTCAAAAGAAAAGCATGTCCGTATTCTGGTTGAATAGGTGAGTAGATCGGCTGCCGGACGTGAGGATGGACAATAGCAAGCATGTTGGCCTTGGGCCGCCTCAACGCAGGGATGACAAGGGTCTTGGGGAAGGTAAAGGATGACGCACGCAGTATTGAAAGAACGCAAGAGAACCAGTCACGAAATAAAGAGTCTATAGGTGCTACCGTGGGAGCTGAATGGAAGAGAAAAGGGCGAAGAGAGGTCAAAAGCACGAGCTGGTGGTGGTGGATAGAGGTCGGTTTATGTAGTCAAGGGGTTGATCATCCCTCATGTAAAACACGTTTGAGCGATATGGCTTGGTAAATTTAAGAATGCAAAAAAAGATAGCGTAATCAAATCATAGATAAGCCTGGCATTCTACCAAGGGTATGTGACAGTCCATGGATATATTAGCCAGCTAGAAGGCCGTCGCTAGCCATGAGACAATCGTTCACAACTGGAGCACTTCATACATCATTCCAGACGAGCCTCACAGCTGAGGATCTAACCTACCGATTGGGGGTCAGATAGCCATGGAAATGATCATTCTGAATTCATTACGCGAGGAAAAATAGACGCGATTTCCAAAGGTAAGCTGTTGAATACATGCGGCAGCTAGATAATGGAACGCGTTTTAACTAAATGCGGGACTCAGACTTGATTTGAGCTCGATTAACCCCAAGGCGACAAATTTAGGATACCTGTGAATATCAGGTTACTATTTGTACACTCATTCTACAGGAGTTATCTGGCTGATTTGAGTGCTTTTTCGTTGATAACTTGAACGCTCCTTCGATGGATCTTAACATTGCCATAATTGCCAAATATAAGACGGATTAAATAATAGCTAGGCTTCCAAATACTGCATGGTATCATTTGTATCGTCGCATGGTCATATAATATGCTCTGACTGGGCTGAGGTACAGGATAAATAGATATGTCGCGAAAATCCTAGTTAAGGCATGTAAACTTGGTACGCTTTGTTGACCGTGTAACGGCTTTCATGTTCAAAATTTTCCGATGCACGAACTAGTCACACAATCGGAATGATATTCATCAGGTACCACATCATTTTCCACCTATAATAGCCTATAGAAGCTCCATGGAACGTGTGATTTATAAAGACTTTTGATGTTATATTAGCATGAGTCGCTCAGCTGCTCAGAAGTGCAGTCAACCAAGCTTCGTTGCCGTCGTCAAAGAGAAAACTGTGTATCCGATAATTCTTCCGGTAAGTCGGTTCGCCCTGGCTGTCGTATTTTTCTTGACAAAAATTGAAAAAGAGTCGCAAACTGTGGTACATACAAGCAGAGATGTTCATGTCCTTGATAACTGAGAGTGTCTGCTGCCAGCTCTCTGAGACAGCTGGTGTTAAAAGGTCCACAGATTGCATCGCCGCAAGCAAGATAGTCCCCGCCATGTGGAGATGAAAAATGCGATACCACAAGGCACATTGTGCGTGGATCGATCAGTGCCCGAATCTTGGTCAATCAACGAAATCATCTTTTGTGCGTTTTCGACGCACTGCAAGGCACCGTATCGTATCATGTGGCCTTTGTAAGACATGTCAAAGTGGGCATCGCTAACTGCCAAGGAGCTATGTTGCAAGACACAGCAACGTGCCACCATTGGTCTGAATAACAGGATCCGCTGGCGTGACCCTAATCAAGGACGGGAAGCCTTTAAACCTAGAGCCATCTATCCGTCCTGCTATTAGTACAAACCTAACCTCGAACGTGGCTACCTAGTTCTTGTCAGCCATCGCGTGTGGCAACAGCCCAAAGCCACAGCCGCCTGACTAGGTGCGCGGAGCAAAGTTCGCTTATACAATGCTGCCAAATTACGCTACCCTGTATTAAGTGCGCCTGTGCTTAGAGAAATGCAGAAGGGTATACAAACGAAGGCGCAAGTGTGAGCGGATGCCCCAGGAGCCCTCCAAACACATAGCTACTAAGGAAGATCGCATAGGGCAAGGAGCTTATATAATGGAGTAGTCAAACGAAGTTGGTTCTACTAGGCTCGATCGGTTAATTCTACAGCTCGTCCAAGGACAAAGCCTTGAGGGGTGCGTAAGATAACATACCCTATATTCTATATATTTTAATAACTTTGTATTGGAGGGTTGAAGGGTCGTTTTGTAATATATAGTATCTGGTTCAAAATCTACAGTAGTAGGGCCCAGGTAGGACTGCGTCGCCACTTCTGAAATAACAGCACATCACTCTGGAATCATTCACACGCACCTACTTTCTCACATTATTCCTTTCCAGTCGTTTCTGATATAGCATGTACCTTTCTCCAGCTTTTCTTCATGAAGTCGCTTTTTAGAATTATCCTTTCATGTCGTCGAACAAATTACAAGAAACATGCACTGCAAAATGAAGCTCCTACCCCATGTGGACTTGAGTTGCGTCCAATCATCTCCGCCGATTTATGATGGGTTATGTGGATTCTTTAACGTACAACTTCAATAGCCCTTGCGCCATGTACTTTTCCAAATTTAGCAGGAGTTTCCATGCTTAGAATCTCGAGAACGACAATGTCGAGTCCAATCATCGCTTGCCACTAACCTCGCATCCTGGCTTCCACCAGAGAGAGTCAGACAAAAGCAGAAAGAGACGTCAACACGTCCAAATAATCTTTTCACTTGAGCAGGAACATGAACAGCTTCTTACCAGTCTAAATCGAGGACAGATTCCCCCCCCACTTTTAATTCTAATATAATTAAAAGCTAACTATTAAAAAAAAAAAAAATCTTTTTGTTATTTTCTTAGCAGTACACTAATGACTAGGTGTAATCCAACGCTGTAATTGTTCGTCGGTTGCCTGCTTAACTGAGAGATTGTCAGGTATATTTACGTTAACTTTAGTAAAGTATGGACGACGGTGGCTGGCCTGGTATTTATCTGTGCCATCCTTAGTGGGAGCATCTTTGGGATTGTAACCGGCAAACAACAAAACCCAGCTGTTATTAGGACCAATCTGAGCAACAGTCGGTACACCTGGTGCAAGGACCTGATCGCCGATGTAGTGCCAGCCATCGTGCTTCTCCTCGCTTTGAAGAAAGTAGTAGACCTCCTTCTTGCGCTTGGAATCCCAAAGATGATCTGGGTTGTTCTTCATCACCTTGCGGTACTGTTGGCCAGGGGCGGGCAGGAACGTATCTGAGTATGCGATGCCAATCTTGTACGTGTTCCGATTGTACGCTCCCACAGAATAGGCCATGAAAAATTTGCCATTAATTGCATGGATGTTGCCCGTTTCAATGAGCTTGAAGTGTCCCTTGCCAGAGACATAATTCTCTGAATTCAACTCTTCGCCAGGAAGCAATAAAAAGGTAGGGCTGGATCCGGGTGTCAACGTCGTGGGGTTGTTCATTGGCCATGCGGCAACGCCATCACGCTTTGGTTTCTTAGACTCCTGCTTCTGATACACGAGATATAGCTTTCCGTCCGGTGTCTCGAAGTACTTGCCGTCGTAGTTGGCGTCGACGTTGTCTGAGAATGTTCCAATCATCACCTTGTCCCCAATCCATGATGTCGGTGGCGAGTCTGCAGGGCCCGGGTTCTTCGAACGCGCGTGAACAATGACACTCCATCCGGATATTCCATCGCACTTTTTAGGCTTGCTTTGAACGTGCAGCGTTACGAGCGCATCCCACGAGCGATCCTTGCTCTGGAAAGGGTGAATCCCAGCGGCGCCGCAGATTTTTGTGCCGGCTGCATGCGCTGTTTGATTCAATGCCGAACCGGTTTCATATTTATTCTTGAGAAGAGAGGCGCATCCGGCCGAAAGGTCGCCACTGTTACACTTCAGATACTTGTGCGTGGTGCCTGAAATGTACAGATCCTTGGCGTCTTGATAAACAACATGAAACGGGTCCGAAAAATGGCCCGTTTTGGCACCCGGATCGGCGTTTGTCACGGGAGAGATGGTTATATCAGCTGCCCACGCGTGTGTAAAGAGTGCAAAGGTTGCAAGCTTAGTGAGATAAGTAATGATCATTTTGAATGCTCGGTCTCAAGAACCCATAGACTAGGGCAAGATGGAGACTCTGAGTTTTTTAACAGCATGATATTGAAGCTTATTGTATATTTATAAGGCTGGAGAAGGTAAATCAGTGCTTCGAAACGTACTACATCAGCCGTCACGGAAGTGTAACCTCAGCCGGCCCGTCGCTCCTGAGGCCGCCCGACCGTCCGACCGTCCGACCTGTCTCTAAAATTAGTTCCTATTACGTCTCGGCGCTACACTAGCAGAAGGTGGAGATAAAAAAGAAAGCCGCAGCGGTTGACATGAATGTGGTAATAGGGGTCTGTCAGGGTGTGAGAGAAAAAGGGGTGATGGGCCCGATCCCCAAACAAAAGTGGACATGCGTGTCACTACTCAGTCTTTTCTCATCCTTCTCATGTGTTCCTTGTAATGCCGATCCCTCGTAAGCAGCTGTTAAGGCTGGTTCCGTCACAATAATTGCTACAATTGCGATTATTCGTCAATTTTGTTTTTGCCTTGTTGATTTAACGGTATGACGGATCGTTACATCATGCCTAGTTCGGCCATAGTCGCCACTTTCGATTCTCTCATCAAAGAGCGTCGTCCAAGAGCTGAGATCCATGAAGCGGGTCAATTCAGTTGAAAAAGAGCAGATTCTACTTCTAGAAGGTCAGCCAATGTGATCATTTAGAGAAAAAAAATTACGACCAATTTACTAATTACATCGGTCTCATCTCAAGCTTTCAAGACTCTACCCATTCTATAGCCACAAGGTAACGCACTACAGCACCAATTGTAAGGACCGCTACAGGCAAATATTCCTGAAGCTGTGGACAGCTGGATTACCAGCCAGTTTTTAAACATTCTTTACGGAGCAGAAACACAAGTGATTATTACTGCTGCCTAGATACTCAAGATTATTAGCCTATATGATTCAGGAAGGTATATTCATAAATGCTTTTCTAAATGGAAGTGGTTATTGCTGCTGCCTGGAGGGATTCTTTATTCTGCCAGGGCATTTAATCTTTTATGAGAGTGTGGTTGCTCACCCCGGCTACCGCTTTTTGGCGTTGATTGTAGAACTAATAGAGTAAGAAAAAGAAATAGAACTAAATTATACTCCACAAGTATATACTCTATTAGCTCACTGAGAAGACCGTAACAGTATTTTATTGGCCGTTTTACGAAAGGAACAAATCTTTTAATCAGCACCAGGAAAACACAGGGGAAAACAAACATTTACACGTTTTAGGTATCTATGCCATAATTCATTGCAATCAATAAATTCCTGCAACGAGACTACCATTCCAATAGATAAATCTGTGATATTCCGGTTATATTGCTAATATCGAACTGGTACTTGAGTTAATCAACCTGAAATTAGTTAATATTAGCAGAGAAAATAGGAGTTTATATTACGACCTGAACCCCATGTCCATACATTAGTAAGCCTAGAGGTATGTACTTAGGGATTAATTAAGTACCGATAGACTAATTAAAGGAAGATTATGGTTTATAGGCCCCTTTATTAGATTACTTCTGTAAGCTATTGTAAGCCTATGCATTATAATTTAACTATAATTTAAATAAAATAACTTACTATATAAGACTGTTTATTATATTTATTAAATATAGCTTAAATAGTTAATTATTAATATAGTATTTATATAATAACTAAATTAAACCTTTATTTAAAATTATTAGCTATATAATTAAAACTGCTTATAAAATCTTTTATATTTTTTTATTAATATAAACCTAATGTTAAAGGTTTATTCCTTAAGAATTAATTATTTTATATTAAATATAAGATTAAAATATTATATATTAATAACTTTTATTTAAAAAAATACTTTAAATTTTTTAAGTAATTTAAATTATTATAGTAACCTTAAGTAACTTTAATACCTTTACTTTTAATTTTATTAAGGATATAAATAAAGATATTAACTTTATTAATAAATTTAACTAAAATAAATTTATTATTAAGTAATTTAAAAAACTTATTAAAAAATTATATAAAAAATAAAAAGCATTAGCCTTAAGAAAAGATATTAAAGTTACCCTTAAGCTTTAACTTTTATTAGTATATAATAATAAGCTTATTAAACTTTAATTATTTATTATATAACTTAAGGCTTATTTTTAAAATTTCTTTATTATTTTTAAAAAAGAAAAAGATAAAGTATCCTTTATAGTATTTTATTTTTTAAAACTTACTTTTAAATAGTTTAAATTAATTTAAGATAATTATATAAAATATAACTTTACTGCTAAAGATATTATTAAAGTTATTTTTAAAAGTTTTAATAAATTTAAAGAAAAATTTAAAAAAGCCTTTAAAGATATTAAAAAAATTAAAATAGCTAAAAATAAACTTACTATTATTTACTAAAAAGAAAAGTATTTAAACTATACTATAATATTTTAAGATTTAATAATATATATTAATTAAAAAGAATTAATATTTATTAAATAATTCTATAATAAACTTAAACCTAAAATTAAAAAAAAAGGTTATTAAATTAATTAAAAATAATATAATCTTTTATCTTTTATAAAAAAATATATAAAAGTAAATAATTTACTATAAAAATTAAAAATAAATTTTTTTAAATAAAAAAAAAATATTATTTAAGATTTTAAATAAATTAAAATAAAAAATAATAAAAATTAATTATTAAAAATAATAGTAGTATAATTAAACTTATAGACCTTAATATAATATAAAAGAAAAAAAAAGAATTTAAATATTATAATTATAAAAAGCTAAACTATATAATTAAAAACTATAAATCTTTAAAAAATAATCTATAATTCTTAAGCTAAAAGTAATATATATTATAAATAAAGGTAATAAAATTATTTATTTATTAAAATAATTAAAATCTTTTAAAAATAATAATAACTATAACTTTTATAAAT